CCACTTGAAAATCCTTGAGAATACATTAAGGAATGCAAAAAACAAAACCGCAATTTATTTTTATTTCGCCAGCAACCCTGCAACTCTCCGTTTCTGGAGACTTTTATTTAAAACTGGCAATCGATTCGAGGCGAACTTATAACTTCCTGAGCTATTTAGCATCCAGCGCGTTTTAACGTTTCGTATGGGAAATATCAACTTTGTAATAATTACTGGCAAATTAGGGGAGTGCGTTCGACAGGAAAAGGTGATAAGTGGAGGGGGAGGGGGAGGTGGAGTGAGAGGTGGGGGTAAAGGGATTTAAGGACGGTGGCAAGTATCAGGATATTACGTTGTCATATTCTCTTAGCCTGCGTAGCTAGCGGTATTGTATGGCGGTATTGTGTACTAGTCGAGTGAGATTTGGCGGTGGAGCCGCTGTACGAGCCATTCCCTGTTTTGGATCGCTGCTCCGCCGCCAAAACTTTTATCACACAGTACCGCCAGCTACGCAGGCTAATATTCTCTGGATATTTTATGTTCGTTACAAATGATCTAATAGACGCCCGGGTCGTCTATTCAATTTTGGGAGCCCTAGCGAGGGCGTTGACAGGTAGGGGGCGTTTAAAAGAGAGGCGTTTATTCTCACCATTGGACAAAAATCCACAAAACTAACATGCATTCGTCGTATATGTAGTTAGTTTTTTTTTATCCCAGGTAATTTTTATTTCTCCTTTGTTTCAACTACATTAGCAGATATTACCGTACCCCAAAACAAAAGAAAAACAAAAATCACGTGAGATAAAAAAATTTACTGCAACGAATATTTCATCATTCTCTCTTGCCACAGTATATATCATTAATAGCAGACAACTGTATAGTCCATCCATTGATATGTCTACGCCTTTTAGGTTAATGTGGATTTTTTAAACGTTAACTTTCGATGTCAGAATCTTTACTTTGAACTTGACGTTGACCAAGATGCAATTCGCAAAATCTTGTTAATCAAACAAGAAATTGGCTAAATTTAAATTGAATTGTTTTGCTCCTTTTTGCTAATTCCTAGTGTTTTGTAAGTAACTGACGTGGGGAGGCGTTTATTAGAGAAGGGGTCTCAACAAACTTAAAAGCATAAGATGAGCGAACTGTCATCATGGCGGACGGTCACGACTGTGAGCTCTCTACCTTTTTAAACTACACTTCAAGTATAATATTCATTATAACTAAGCCAAAAGCAAAAAACACAGCTTCTAGAGTGTTCACGATAAATGGTGTTTACATGAAAGCGTTGTGCTAATTGAAAATGGCTTAGGACGCGGTTTTGTTAAACACAGGCAAAACTCCTTTTAAATAAATGGCCCTGTCTGTTTTGTTAAATTATCTTGCCTATTCCAGCATTTAATTTTAAAGGTGGTCCATAAGCCTTATTGGCTTCCATGGGTTCCTTACCTCATCTTTCTTTCTGTGTATATATTTAATGTAAATGGAAAAATGATACTAAAACAAAACAAAAAAGGGAGGGTTTATTAGACAAGAGGCGTTTATTTGAGAGAGGGATCGTCTATATCACATCATTTGAAACGTGACACTGTTTGCATTTATGGTATTTACGCAAAATTATGTGTACCAGTCAAACATAGGGCCAATAAATATTTTAAAGTGCCATATATTCCATGGTTAAAGTATACCATCGCCAGCTTTTAAAGGGAAGAGAAAGTTCAGTGGTTTGATCCCTAAAAAACAACAGATGACAAATTTATTAATAGAAACAACAGCAAAGAGACGAAAAAAATAAATTAATAAATTAGTAGTAACAGTAAATGAATAAAACTTACTCATTTTCAACCACTTGACAAGGCGGCCAAACGCTCGGGCAAAAAACTCATTGGCTCGGTTATTTAAACGAAGTCTAACTTAGAACGCGGTTTAAGAAATCTTTGGACCTTCAGATCTCTTCCTTAGTGGGTCAATTTGAGAAGATAAATGTTTTCCTAGTGTATACTATTTAATGAAACTGTTCACGACAAATGGTGTTTGGATTAAAGCCTTGGGCAAACTGAAAATGACTTAGAACACGGTTTTGTTAAACACTGATTTTAAAAACTCTGTTTAAATGACCGGTCCATTCATTTTTGGCTCAATTTGCATGAGGAAAAAAAGTTAGTTTTAATAGCATGGCCGTTGTGACGTCAACTGAATTGCTCACTCACTTGGAACTCTTTCTTTGTTCATAACGATTTATAGTATGAATTAGAAAAGATATTTCGCATTTTTTAAAATCCACGAAAGCTATGGTCAGGTATGCGCAGAATTTCACGTTTCAGTCAATTTTGCTCCAGCCGAAAGTTGCCGAAAGTTTTATATTTCGTGCAGGTGAACGAACCCTGAACGAACTCCCTAAACGACGGCCATTGATTGGCTAATGTATAATTGCAGTCTGATATCATAAGTCACGTGTCATGCAAGCTGCTTCCGAGGTGTAGCAAGGAAGGTGGAGTGGAGGACGGTACGCAGTGTTTTGTTTGTAACTGTTTACCTGTATTTCAAGGAGTTATAAGCAAAAAATGGCATCTTCAGGTATACAATGTTTCCTTTATTTTCCTAAAAAGATACTCATAGACATTTTAATTTTGTTTTATTTGAATTGAAGGGAAATCTTTGTCTTCCTTTGGCGCACTGGGAATTTGAAATCTACTTTTAAGTTTTAATACTGCTATCTTTCGTGACAGTTGCAAGGTTGAGACGTACAGATGTAACGAGAACGATATTGTCGCTCTAAGTATTTTGGACAGCAAAAAAGCTGAATTTTTTTCCTCAAAAGCTTTACACAAATGGTTAGCAACGTCAACGTTACGTGCAAAGTACGGTTTTATTAAGAAGCTTGCATAAGCTTATGCATGCATTTCTACGGCAGCTGTTTGTTTCGCAACTGTCCTTCGAGCTGTGTACGAATTACAGAGCACTGAACAATCCTACGTTTAAACTTAACTTTAAAGTTTTTCCCATGTTGTTCAAAAGAATTCGAGCACTTTTAATGTGAAAGAAACCTTTAAATCATAAATGAACTGAAGCAAGTTTATCGATCTTATTACAGCAGTTCTCGTTCTTCAATCCAAAGGTCCGTTGTGAGATAGTAAGAACTTGTAGTTTTTAAACTTCTTGTACAGAATGAGTAAGTTATTTCGTTCTTAGATAATTTTTATTATTTAATTTCGGTTTTTTAGAAATATCTCGCCCACTAGACTGTTTTACATAGACTGTACTGAAATTTGCCCTCACACATCAACATTCAGAAATACCGTGGTAAAAGAGAGGATTGAAATAACCTAATTTGTTTGCCATGTCTGTTCTTCATTTATATTTTATGAAAATTTGCTGTCGTCTGTTGTGAACTGTATATTTTTGCTCTCTGACTTTGAATTTCTTATGACAGTAGATCATGCAAAACACAAGGACAAAAACTAGCATTTGGCAGAACCGAAATATAACATTGTCATAGTTATCATCTTCAGTGTTTTCCAGTAATTTGGCTTGTAGGTTTCAATATTTTAGAGAAATGAAAATGTGTGGAGATATATAGTTATTACATTCAATATAAACTATCTTGGTCATTGAACGTATGCTTCCCCAACGAATTATTATGCACCTGTTTGAAATGCTACACACACGTTTTTAGTTGCCGAATGGGTAGATGCAAAATACGTTGTATACAATTTGAAATCAGTCCAATTGTAGCCCCATCTGAATATACATTTTTAATTCTCCTATGCCCCAGGTAACACATTCTCAGACTGTAAGAAATTTTTATAATGCAGACATATTTTTGGTATTTACCAAAACTAAGGGAACAGGAAATCACCTACTCCTTTAGCTTGGTGAACCCCTGCGAGGACTCGACAAATTCTAATATTATGACAGAAAATAAAGTAGTTCAAAGAATGCTTGAAGCTAGTTCATGGCAGTTTAAGAGCAGTTTAAAAGTTAGTTTCTTCTCATACTATCACTGTAGCTTTGTCAACTTTGAAACATGTCATACATATTTCATAATGAGGATTAAAGGAAGGAAGCAAATATAACTGCAGAGAACACCTATTAAAAAAAAGTGAAAGATTTTGTGTAGAAGCAATGAGCATAGTCATGGTAATGAAGTGAGTTTGAACCTGTATCTTGTTCAGTGCTTTTAATTTACAAGACACAAGGGGCCGGCTGCATACAACTTAACACCAGTCATAATCAGGGGTGAACCCAGGGAAGGATTTGAGTGGTTCCTTCTCTCCTTCTCCGTTTTTTAAAGGCACTGTGAGGTCATGTGGGGTATACAGGGTTCATATGCACCTTGAAAGTCCTTGAATTTTAAAATAAAAGGTCAAGGCCTTGAAAGTTCTTGAAAATTGCAGTGGGTGCTGGAAAGTCCTTGTATTTCGGTGCTAACTTTATCCAACCCAGCAAACACAGAAAGACCTTTAGGATAATATTGCTAATGTTGTGGAAGAACTAAAAAAGACATAGACTCGAGGCTCTTTTTTGCAGTGAATGGAGTCCTTGAAATATGGGAAGTGAGTCCTTGAAAGTCCTTGAAAAGTCCTTGAAGTTTTTGTTCAAAAAAGGATATGAACCCTGGGTATATGTTGTGGTTCAATTTTATCCTTGGTTTAAATTTTATTTCCCATCGTGTTTGGGTATTGTAATGTATGATAATGAGGTTACAACAAAGGGAAATAAAATTAAACCAAGGAGGAAATTGAACCACAACTTATATTTTTGGAGAACACAACAATCCGGACCCCTCCTCCCATCCCTCTTTCCAAAGTTTCTGTGTGGGTTGTCTTCTGCTATTGGCTTGAAAAACGGCACCTCATTGCTTGGAGGGGATGGGGAGGGAAGGTGTCATTGTTCCTTTTAAAGTAGATATTGTTGGTTTACAAAACATGAGATGTTAAAGTGCATCTACTAATTTTGTCTCTGAATTTTGCTTACGGAGAACTCGGTGTTTTGTACCTGCCAGTTCATGGTCTTAATTCTTCTTTTTTTTTCTTGAAGATGATACACCAAGCCGTGGAATTTGTGACTACATTCTGACAGGCTTTTCAATTTTCATATTCATCTGCACATTTCCTCTGGCAATTTTTTTCTGCTTAAAGGTAGTGATAATTTTGTTGTATAGTTTTGTCCATTTATGGGATGTCGAAAAATGGTACATGTACCTATGCAGTCCTTGAAGAAAGGGTGGAGGCATTGTGGAGTTTTGTAGTGATTAACATGATGGACTTAAGGTCCAGAGATCCAGGTTCCACTGGGCTTGAAATTGACTTTTTTCCCAGCATCCCTGATTTTCTTAGGATTTGAAACTAATTCTCTGTCACTCTGCAATTTCCACAGATAGTGCAGGAATATGAGAGAGCAGTTATTTTCCGACTTGGTCGCTTAATGTCTGGTGGAGCCAAGGGACCAGGTAAAAAAAACGTTAATGTGTAGTGGCAAATTGTTTTTCTTATGGGGTTCCCAAATGTGGTGAAGATTCAGGAAGCTACTGCGTTTCATTAGTGTTTATCTCTGTTTGATAAAATTTATATTATTAACCCATTCGCCCCTGAACCGCCCGTAACCGCCTGTGCGGATCCGGGTCCTTTCTGCCCTTTGTAACGTGATCAGTTTTAACGGTCAAGGACAACGTTCTTCGCTAACTTGTGCAGAGTGAAGAGATCTTTCAAACTATACCAGAATGAGCACAATTCAGTCAAGGACACCGGAGAAAGAAGCAAAAAACCACGTGACAAGGACCTGAAAATCTCCATGAAAATCTTGTTCCATTACCCACCTACCTTTCCTTTCACCTAATCCTAAGATCCTAAAAGCTTTCCATAAAAACTCTTCCCACCAAAATGAAGCCTACTAAATGCCCAGCAAGAGAAAAAAAATGAGGCAAGAAAAGCGAAAAAAGAATTTCCCAAATTTTGTTTTCTCCAAGATGCCCCTGTATTGATATTTTGCATCTGGATCAGAAGGTGGATCGGTTTGGGTAAGTTTTAGCTCTTTATAGTACGACAGTGACCAGAAAACCACTCAACTAGCTTCAAAACGTGTTTTTCGGCAAAATCTCCAGGAGCGAATGGGTTAATTCCTTTGGCTTTAACTGTGCATTAGTTTAGTAGCACTCCTCATACTTCTATTTCCCAGGATTGTTTTTCATCCTTCCCTGTATTGACTCATACCAGAAGGTGGATCTCAGGACAGTGTCCTTTGATGTCCCACCTCAGGAGGTATGTCAAATAACTTCTTTTACAATTTTTCATTTATGTGTTGAAAACAATATTTTGCCATTGATTTATTTGTTCAATATTGGTTATCAGAAGCTAAAATGGGTACTTTTCTGTTAATTATTCTGCAATTTGGGGATAATCCAGATAACTTTTTTTGTTGTGTAGAAACAATAATACTGCACAGTAAAATCATATTCATAGCTTCAGGTTGGCACTAATTCATGTAAACTGGAAAGTGTTATTATATCCTGATCTAAAAATATCACTTTTACAGTGTAGTGTGCTTACTGTTGTCTCTCAGAAATAATAGCAAGAAACAAGGGCTGTCACTTGAAGTTTCCAGATATATGCAATATTAATAGGCAGGGAATTAAACATGTAGGGGGTTCTTTTGGATCCATTTTTCTTTTGCTTACTATGAAAGTGGCTGGGTTTCCCTGCACTCCCAGCTGGAACTGATTTGGTCGCCTTGGCGAGTCGAAAAATTGCAGCAGAAGTCTTAAATTGCAGCAAAAGTTGCCAATTTGGTGAACTGGGTTCAATGGTAATGTGCCAACAAAAAAGTTTTAAAAAGGTAATGTGCCAAGCAGTAGTGTTTTTAAGTTCGTGCTTATGGTCTTTCTAAGGTTAAAGTGAGATAATAAAACATTTTGCTTGTAATATTATTTATGCTAATATTGCCCTACATGTCTTGTTTTATTTCTGGTAAGCAATCCTGTATGTTTGGCAACCAATTTATGATTTTAGGTTGCCAAAAGGCAACTGTTTAAACATTTGAGCTTGTAGCACTGGGTCATGCTTGTTGTGGCGGAGTAAATCCTTGGCTCTCAGCCCTGATTTTGAAATGCAAAGACCATGTAGGAAAGTAGTCTGAAGGAAGATTTTATTTTGAATAAAGAAGCACAGATACAAATAAGAACAAAACAATTTGACTATACAAAAAGGAGAAATGGTCATGACATTGTTCATTTTGTGGGGTTACTTGTGATCCTGACAGCAATAGGTGAGCAAGGTTAGTATTAAGTGCAATATGTGCCTTTGGAGGGTATTAATTAAAAAAGAGTTACAAGTTGGCCTTTTTGAGTGGGATGGTATTTTAATAGAGAGGTCTACATTGCCAGAATTTCAAATTTTACAAAAGAATTAATGATTTCCAGAACTTTGGTATTTTCCCTTTTGTAGATTCTCACAAAAGACAGTGTGACAGTTGCTGTGGACGCTGTTGTCTACTTTAGGATTAGCGATCCAACCATGTCGGTCACTAATGTGGAAAAAGTCGATCAGTCAACCCGCCTTTTGGCACAGACTACATTGCGAAACTTCTTGGGCACAAAGAACCTGAGTGAGATCTTGACAGACCGTGAGGAAATCAGCAAGACCATGCAGGTTTGTGTGAAGGACATGTTACACAAAATTACAGTTGACATCAATGTTATCTAGCAAAAAAGTTACTGATCACTTCTTTCATGATTACTTTTAATTAACCCTTTAAGTCCCGATAGTGACCAACATCAATTTTCTCCTAATGATATCCGTACAATGTCAAGAGGTTAGGTTATGAGAATTAATAAAATGATCACCTAAGAGAAAATGCTTTGATCTTTTGTCAAATTCTCTCAACTCATTCTTTAAGGAAATATGTAGAGATCAGTCTGGAGAATTTGTATGTGGATATTGGTGCTTAAAGGGTTAATCCTTTTAACTCGTCGCCCCCTTGTGATGGTAATAGGCCATTTGCATGATGACGTCACTTTACTACTATGACCAGAATCCTTCAGGGTTTTGCTTTCTTGTGCAGATTGGCGGTTTTGTTATTGAAACTTCTCTGGGATTACCAAATTAAAATATGAAAGGAAAAACATATTTAGGATTCTGGTCGTAGTAGTAAAACGGGCAAATGGCCTATTTTGTGAACTGTTCCCATGTATGTAGACATAATTATTGTTGTTGCATTATCACAAACGGGAAATCATGGTATGAAATGGGCATTTTGTTAGATGTGTGCTTCAGAGGTTTACGAGATGCTCAATTGATTGAGAATAATACTTAAGGAATGGTGGCGTCAACAATCACATTGCTGAGCACCATTGAAAGATGAAACATCAAATTGACTGGGACTCTGCGACATGTATAACGTATTCTACAGACTGCTATCAATGTCTTACTTTAGAAAGCTGGTTTACTAACTTAGAACAAATGCCACTGAATCGTAGCCAACAGTTACCAGCGCCGTACAAACGACTTATTGACGAGATCAAGCAAAACTAACTACGAGAGAACAACTGGAGAACTGACAATTTGACTAACAATAGACGACTGTTTAACTGTGACAATAGACGGATTGAAATGCAACAATCACTGATTGAGTCTTCATAGCCAATAACATCACGGCTTAACTGAGAGACGACCAATAACATCGCGACATAATTGACCAATCAGATCAATAACCAGAGTATAATACCATCAACTGACGTGATACAACTCACTTTGACTCTGAAGATGACTACCGCACAGGTTGTCGAAACGTTAGTCACTGTCAACAACAACAGTCCTGTTCAGGACTACGTTCACCCGGACGATCAAACTCGACCTTTTTTCTTAATCCGTTCCCAGGTGTTCAGTTGTTCAGTTTGATCAGCTTGGCTTTCCATTTCTCAACCATTCACTTGCCATGTATTCAGCAATTCGAACAGAATAACATGAGGAATGTTTTTGCTTGAAGGGTTACAGTTTTTGCACACTGTAATGGTAGAGAAAACACACAAGATCAAATTTAATACTGTCCATGTCCTTTCAGACTCACCTGGATGAAGCCACTGATCCTTGGGGTGTGAAAGTGGAACGTGTAGAAGTGTAAGTATCCCACATTTTAGTATTATTAGATTCTGTAATATGGCTTTTTTACTGAGGGCTTAAAATCTTTCATCCATTTTCTTAAGTTCCTGCACTGTCAAAGCAACCATGCTGCCACGCCATTGTCTTTGTGTGGTGTCTGTCTTCCAATAATATTTCTATTATTTCCTATTGACTTACACATAAATTTGGGGTAGTGGGATACTCAGGGCCCGGTTGTTCAAAGCTGGGTTAAGATAACCCGCGGTTAGTGCGAAATTTGAATTCAGATTTGAACGCTTAAAAAGTATATTCAGTTTAATTCTTTCTGTCGGCAAGTTGATGATTGGATGCTCTTAAAAATAACGGAGAAACTTATCCGAGAAAATGCTTTTGAATAAAAGAAAAAGGCAAAATGAACAACTGGGCCCAGTGACTGGGATGATCAAAAGAAGGCAAAAATGAAACCAACTAACTAACTACTCCGAATTTTTGCGCCAGCTAAACAATATCAAAATATTTATATTCACAGTCTGGGGGTAGTAAGACTGAACTAAATGCACTGTAAATGCACTATTTGCCTGTGAACTTGTTTACTTCTGATCACATGTACATGACCTCTGAAATTGTTTTTGGTTCAAGCTATTCGTCTCGATGCACAATAATATTGATCCTATGGTTCATTCATATTATACTGTTTTTGCCCCTCACATTTACTGTGTTCTTTCGTATTCAAAACACCTGCAGGAAAATATGGGTCGTGTAAGTCAAGTGTATTATGTTTTGAGATAAATTGATTATAGGCTTTTTGAAGTTCCCATTTTGCAGAGGCTTTAGTTTACATCTCAGTAAAAAGTTGTGTATGGCAAGAAACTTTGTTTGAGCTGTGAACTTTCAAAGGTATATCGAAACTCGCTAATGCTGACATCAATATATCATGCTTGCTGAATGGGTGAACACAGAATTGAGGAGAAGCATAACAAATGATAACAGAATGCTCTTAATGGCGTTGAGTCGTGTTTGCTTGGAAATAGCAAAGAAAATCCAAATTATCTATCTAAACCAATTCAAGAATTATTGAAAAGTCAAAACAGAGTACGTTTTTTGTAATATGATGTTTGAAAGGTCAGCTGAATAGCTGATGTTTCTACATGTAAAATAACCATGTGTATATAATATCCTCTTCAACCTTTTTAAAAAGCCCTATATAAAAATATTCAGCACAAGAATTAAGTTCACGTTCATAAATTTAATCAATACTTTAGTATAACATCTCCCCACTACTTATATAGCAAAATAATGTAGAGGGACAATAAATGAGAATTTATACTTTGATATCAGGGTTTAAGGTTTATATACCCCTTGTTTCTTTTTTTTTTGTTTAAAATAAGTAAATAAGTAATGTACTTTTATAATATGAAATAAATTCTTTGGCTTAAGAAAAAGAAGAAGAAGAATGATATTCTATTCTCATAAAAAGAAAGGGCAATAACGGGTATCAAACTTGGTCCCTTCCAGGACATATTTTGCAGACCAGGGTTGCATTGATATTAAAACAATTGCAAAATGAGTTTGGTGGCACCAGAATTTCAAACCCTTCTGTCAATCATCCCTGTCCTTTAAGTCCTGAGGACTTTTATTTTGCAGACCAGTATTCCAGGAATGCATTAGATATTAAAACAATTGCAAAATGAGTTTTTTTACTTACATATTTTTCTACTCAGCTCAGTGTTATTTTTCAAGATTATTGTAACCAATGTCTTATATTGCTGTACTGTAAATTTGAGCTGTCACAAATTTCGAATAAAAAACCCCTATATAATAAAAAAAAAATCTGTCAATCATCCCTGTCACTTTAAGTCCTGATTCCACTTATTATTTAGTAAGGCCTTGTAAATAATGAGTTGTTGTATTAAGCTGGCTGTTATAGCAGGTGCTTGTAGAAATTTATGGTTGTAAAAGATTTGTGTAATTTTTGACCCCTGCAGTCCACAGTTTCCCCCCTTCCTTATCTTTAACCAATAATGTCAATTGTTTGGATTGTAGGAAGGACGTTCGTCTTCCTCTGCAATTGCAGAGAGCCATGGCAGCAGAAGCTGAAGCTACCCGTGATGCACGTGCAAAGGTACTAAATCAGTCTGGCACCCCAACTAATTTTCAGAATTATTTATTTTAGATGGGTTTCGACACGGGAATAAGGACTTCAATTTCAAATTTAGCACTGCAAAAGTTTTTCTGACTGCTGTATTATTTTTGAAGTAACGAGTGCTGATTTGTATGTCACTGCAGATATCACTAATAACTGGTGAATGCTCACTTGCAGAGTAGGTGGTGGTAATAGGTAAACCTCAAAGCAAAAATTCCTTTTAGTTAACATATTGAGATTTCACAATAAGAAGGTTAAATAATGATCATCTGGATGAATGTACATGTAGTCCTGAATAAGACTGTTGTTAATCATGACAATTTGGGTGGTAGTCATCTTTAAAGTCAAAGTGAGATGTATCTCTGGCTATTAGTTGTAGCCCTTATGAAGAAAATGATTACTTGGTGAGTGGTGCGAAAAATTAGAGTTTCTGTTAACAGACTCTCAGTGAGGTCCCTTAATCACAGATTAGACTCAGCTGATTTTAACACCAAGTCTGTTTACGTCATAGGTCATTGCTGCCGAGGGAGAGATGAATGCATCTCGTGCCCTGAAGGAGGCTGCTGATATTATTTCAGAGTCACCTTCTGCCCTTCAGCTGCGATACTTGCAGACACTTACTTCGATCTCAGCTGAGAAAAATTCCACAATCATCTTCCCTCTTCCTGTGGACTTCCTGAGCAGGTTTCTGCCAGACCAAAAATGACTAGATGGCCAGAAAAAAATGGATCAGCACAGCTCTTCTGTGTCACCTCCACTAACTGAAGTCAGTGTTCTGTAAAACGTTTTTATTGAATTTTTGTGGCATCACTGTCATTGAACTTTTGAGCTCATTGTCTCCAAGAATTATCTATTTAATTATTGAATTTATTCTTTTAGCTGGTATTCCTTTAGCTTTTAAGTGGAATGCTGGCTTAAAGTACACAGCAATTGTAAAGTTTATTGACTTGTACTTTCAGACAATCTGGTTTCTCTTAATCTGCATCTACATGTATAAAGTAATGAGGTTGGATTGATCAACCCTTAGTTTGCTAATAATTTTGCTTGAAGGTTTCATCAGGTAACAGATGTCTTATTTGTTTGACTCTTTCAATTGGCTGTTTATTTAGTTTGTTTTTTTTTACACAAAAAAGACTTTTAGAAAAGAAAGAGTTACTTTTTGAGCACAAAAAGAGTTGGCATTGTGTGGTTTAAGCAAGTAACCCTTTAACTACTTTCTAAGTGCCGCACTGTCCATTTTTGGTATGGTGTTTTCAATCCTGGGTGAGGATATAATTATTATTAAAATTCCAGAGTGGATTAGACAAAAAGTGTTATGTGTGTGTACATTAAAAAAATAGCGCTTAATTGTTCACAGTTCATTTTTGAGTGTGTATTATAAGATATAAGGTAGCATGTTTTATGCAGTTTTAGCAGTAATGAGTTTGTAGTTCGATTAGTGTTAGTACTAGTTGTGATAACGTTTTGTAGCATACATCAACAGTTGAAAATTGAAGGATAATAGTGAGAATTGGGAATGTTGTTAAGTAATAACATGTGACTCATGAAGATAAAGTGAAAAAGAAAAGAATTTTTTGTCCGAAGTGTTGCCATGTGTTTACCAGGGGAAATGAGTATTAATTAAATATTTTTTTTTGAGAAGGCAGTCGAAATAAAATGCATTCATTTAGCCAGCTGCTTTAAGGATACAACTTAGTTATGAGACTCAAAGTTCATGTAATGATTTGTGAACACTTTTTCATGTCTTGAGCCGCCAGGGCCCAGTTGTTCGAAGGCCGATTAGCGCTTAACCCGGGATTAAATTTAACCTGGGTTTTTTTTTTCTTGGGTTCAAAAGCATTTTCTCGGATAATTTTCTGTGCTATTTTTAAAGCTTCCAATCATCAACTTGTAGACAAAAAGAACTAAAACTGAAATGCCTTTTAAGCTTTCAAATCTGAATTCAAATTTTGCACTAACCCTGTGTTGTCTTAACCCAGCTTTGAACAACTCGGCCCAGAATGACATATCCATGGAACTTTGATCTCCTTTGACCATTATTCAAAGCAAGGGTTAAATAATGTTTGTATGTTGTTTAGTTATGTTACAAAATGAGTTTTGAAAAATACCGTCATTATTTTGTCGGTAAAAGTGAAGAAGAGCTCCCCTAAAAGTCTGTCAGCTGACTGTCTCTGATCTGTCAGCCGTCAGTCTACCAACAGTTTACCAATTCAGTAAACAAGGAGTATAATACAGGGGCGGATCCAGGATTTTTTTTAGGAGGGGGTGCACTCGTCTCTTGCTCTACTTCAACACCAATAAACCACACAGTTTTTTTTTTGTTGCGGAATACCAGTTGTATTAGAAAACTGCAGGTCATCTCAGGGGGGGGTGCGCACCCCCTGCACCCTCCCCCTAGATCCGCCCCTGTAATAAGTCTTAATACATTTTGAATTGTCACTTGTCTTTGGTAAATACAATAAGAAACAGTAAAAAAGCACACCTTTTTTCTTGGAATTAATCTTTGTGAAAGAAGTTATTTACGGAGCACAATTTCCCTTCATTTTCAGCTTAAGCAAGATGTTAAAAATAATGTAAAAGTTAGCGTCAAGTTTAATCCTTTAACTTAAAGAGAGGAGCGATACTGTGCCAAGGACATGTTACTCAAAAGTAATCTGTGGCATAACTGACAGTGTCCATAATAATCGTACAATGTTAATCTGCTCTAGAGATGCAAATAAAACGTATTTAAAATCAAATTCATATTATAATCATCTATCAGAAGTATTGATGGGTTCATGCTGGTCGTGAAAATTCTGTGAAGTTTCATTTTATTAATAAATTTTCTATACTGGTTGGGGGACAAATACAGCTGCAAAAAATTACAGTTAACTGAAATATTAATGTGTGCCTCAAGCAATTACAAAAATCAGGCTACATACTTCCGTGGCATCATTTTGTTTTCTCTCTTTTGTTAATTGACATCCATAAAATGGCACTTCACATTGCCTGGAAATAATTAAAGTAATTTTGCCACAAGTGTTTGTCTGTCAACCAATTTGTTTGCCGCTGTTGTGCGAAACTTTCTGTGAAAGGTAAGAAAACTGTTACAAAGATCATGGAGTGATAGCCATTAGTTCAAAGCTGAAGCATGAATCCCATTGGGCTTACTGTTTCGACTTTATTAATATGTAGTGTTTAATACCAGCTTCACAATAAAAACTATCATTTCTGTTCATCGCTAGTTGTTATGATAAATTAATATTGCGAATGTCACCCTGAGGTCACATAATACTGTTATGCACACAGGATTAAAATTCAAATCCAACATCTGGTCAATTCAATTTAAATTTAATTCAAAATTAAATTTAAAATTGTTCGCACCTGCTTGTTTCACATAGGAATGTGCTGCTTTAAAATCTTACGGAAAACCCCTGCATGCCTCTGTAATCATGGTACCCTGGGTGCATGGAGACTGTAGCTTGTGATGGGGGTTTTTGCATGAGTTTTAAGGCTTAAGATTTGTGGACTGGCACACAAACAAGATTCTGGTACTTTTCAAAGGTGTTATCAAAACGTTTTGACAAGCGCCTTTGTCGCTTTTACAGTGGAGTTCCCTACAGAATGTGGTCACCTTTTCCTAGGTCTCATTATAGACAGAGTCAAAGTTGTAAAAGGGCTTATATGATGTAGTGAAGTAAAAAAATCAGAGGAAAATTTGGAATGTTTCTTCTTTCTTCTCTGTCGCTTTCAATCTAGTAAAAACCAGATTATTGGAGTCGGAAGCAGAAGAGAGAGAGAGAGAGAGAGTAAACCAAACAAAATTCTCATTCCCACACTTTGTGATTGACTTAGTTCCTAGTTTTCACTTGATCATATGTCACAGAGTCATTAAGTGGAATCAGAACATCATTTCCACGAGATTGTGATGTTCTATGCTTCTGATGACCAATCTTACTCTGCTGTGTGTCGCAGGTGAAAGCCAGGCTTAAAAGGATTGTTATGGATACTTCAGTCTTTTTCTCATCAACTTTTCTTGACCCTCTGAGGCAGTACATAACATCTTCACTGGTTGAGTGTTAGATTAGCTATCAAACATGTGATAATCATAATATGTACATCACATGTCGCTTCCAAAACACCCTATACGGGTGGTTTGGTCAAACCCCCATCCCTGTTTAGTTGGGCTTACTTCCTTGGTGGGTAGTGGTGATCCTCTTGATCCTCCGGGCCCAGTTGTTCGAAGGCCGATTAGCGCTTAACCGGGGTTAAATATAACCCGGGTTCCTTTTTCTGGTCTTCAAAAGCATTTTCTGGGATAATTTTCTGTGCTATTTTTAGCGCTTCCAGTCATCAACTTGTAGACAAAAAGAATCAAAACTGAAATGGTTTCTAAGCTATCAAATCTGAATTCACATCTCGCACTAACCCTGGGTTATCTTAGCCCAGCTTTGAACAACTCGGCCCTGTTGTTTATATTCTGTCTTCTTCCATTCTGATATCATGTTATTAAAGAAGCCTTGCATGCAATGTTCATAAACGCCTAAGATGGAGTCCCATGTCAGTTGTTCTCATAGATGCACCTCTAGTGGTCTTAATGTGATGCCCCAGAATGTATCCAGAGAGGATAGACCCACTGATGCAAAAAGGGCTGCTGGTTTTAATAAACTACTTTTGTTTAAATTAAAATTAGCGTGACTAGCCTCGCTTGAGTTAAGGTATTCCTTTGAATAATTATTGTTTTCTGAAGAATGAGGCTAGTCAGGCTAATTTTACAATATTAACCCAGCAGCCATTTTTGCATTGGGTCTATACTCCTTATTACAAAAAGTTTATTCGTCTTAACCCTCTCACTCCAGGAAATTTCAGGATGGATTTAAGCATTCCTTTAAAAAGCCTTAGAAATTGCAAGTGACCCTTCATGAGGTTGGTATGGATCAGTTTTCTGTAACCAACCAATACAGGTTTGTCTATGCCCCAACTCACATTAAAATGGAGATGTACTGTGTTGAGGTTTTTAATACACATTTTTTTCTACGTGTTCTACTCACAAACTAATTAATAAAATGTACTAACATAACTCAAAAATTAATGAAGACTAACAAGTGTCCTTGAATTTCCACTGATTTTAGAAAACAAGGTTGTGCTAACTTGTTTAATTAAATATACCTTACTTGTATTAAAATTCGCGTCGTACTCATTTTCACTCAGCTCTACATTAGCACAATTTAATTTTGTGCACCTTGTTAAGACTTATTCGCGTAAGTAATTTTCTGTGTTCGTTCTTTTTGGTTTGTTTAATAGAGCTATTAACAATTAACGCATTCATAATGAGTGTTTTTTATCAACAAATATTACAATATTTGTCAAAACTTAATCAAAAAGCCATCAGGTGGCCCTCAAAAAATGCCTTCAAAATTATGTAAATTATGTAATGTAGGCAAAATCCAACTTAAAACATATGTCAAATGTGTATATGCGTTAATAAATCAAATGATTAGCATTACTAACAATGAGTGTCTCATATTACACCACAAAGCTTTTCGCACAGATTATAATTTGTGCAGTACTAAAATTGGTGCATCCAGCATTGCACTAATTCTAGTACTGCGCGAATTTTAATACAGGTAAGGTATTAAACTCCCTAAATGTATCTATTAATTTTATCTATTATATATTGACATCCTACGTGTATAGAGCTAGAGAAAACTGGACTTAGTTGAAATATTTAAAGCTTTCAAAAAAGATTTTGCCTTAGATGCCAAAAAACAATTATTCATGTCTGTGAACATAATCTACTACAACCGCACATCACAACAGTTGCAATCATGAACACTAACAAAACTTAAATAATTTATTTCAAAAGATATACCCTGAATTTTTAGAATTCTGTTTTATATTATTACTGCAACCATAAATTCTTTAAAATTATGACATCAAAGATTAAATAATATCATTCATTTTAAGAATTCAACGATAAAAATTTTGAATGACGTTTCGATGATTCGCTCATCATTTTCAAATTCTAAAAAATTAGATTGTTAAAAGTTCTTTTAACAATCTAATTTTTTAGAATTTGAAAATGATGAGCGAATCATCGAAACGTCATTCAAAATTTTTATTGTTGATTTTTATTCTTAAATGTTTATCGAAAGCGTCTGTTATTAGAATCATTCATTTTGACACATAAAAGTTTGGAATTGACAACATTATTTACCAAAATGTTTGTGATGCTTGAAAATCATGGAGATTTCAATATTAAAAGAAAATAATAAACATTTCTTTATATTTTCTTAGATTGGTACTTTCTACCACGTACTATAAAATAATGCTTGAATTAGTGCCCAGGAGCTCATTTCAATTTTCTAAGTTGAGAAGGGGGTGCTTACTTTGTTTTCAAATATTTATTTAGCATAGTCTTTACTTTAAGTGAACAAAAACTGTAACAGTAAACTAGAAAATATCTGTACGAAGAAACTGACACCTCTGTATCTGGGTTACTCTTAACTAATAGTCCTGTTAATTTCCCTTCTATTAAGCGTTTCCAAGTTTTGGACATGTTTAAAATCTTCTATTCTTTGACTATACTTTGCCATATTTAGGGCACTTTTGGAGCAATGGTAGTCGATTTACCACTTGGACAAAAGACATTGTTTTTGAAAACTGATACCTGTACCTTAACGTAGCGAACTTTTAAGACTTGGATAAAGCTGCACATTTACAGCAATGTACCTCTATTTATGGCTATTGAAAAATTGCAAATAGTTGTAAATGTATACCAACTAAAAGCCACAAATTCTGTGATTTTCTTCCTTAATAATGTATTAATTTATGAATAAGTTGAGTTAACGTTCGTATGAATATCTTCTGGAAGAGCATTATGTCTTTTATTTTATTTTACTCTACTTTTTAAAATTTATAGTTATGGCAGATGTTTATTTGCAGCATTCGCATACAGTATAATAAAAAAATGTTTAGCATCAAAACCCGCCACACTGTGCATTTAATATTTATAAAGAATTATTTTAATACTAATTTAACCTAAATTCTTCTCACTTAGTTGAGATTAATATTTTGATTGAAGATAATACAGCTGCATGTATGTCTCTATTTCAGAAAAACAATCAGAGGCCATTAATGTAAGGCTATTCTTGCCCTGGTTAGCACTTAAAAAACTTAACCTTTTATGTTGAAATCAAAACAGTCTGAGGCAGTAAATCATGCAGTGTATAGCAGATCAGATTACTACCCTTAAACCCTGCAGCCACTGTTTGGAAAATGAGCCTGTCCCCATCCTGACCTGAGTGATCATGAGTGCCAGTAATAGACCCAAGGCTACTCTTCCCAGGCAACATTACTACAGCTAGAACTATTTAACAATTATTATTTCTCGAGCCTGAATGGGCTCTAAGTCAATAGCCCAAGAGGCCGAAGGCCGAATGGGCTATTGACTCAGAGCCATGCGAGCGAGAGGAATAATTGTTTTCGTAAAATCCAACCAGTTGGTCAAAAATATCGAGACAAAACAACTTTAGGTAGCAAAACGCATTCAGCCGCCGGCATTGTTTTTGTTTTCAAAGCCGACACTTTTCGCTACATAGTAGCTCAACCAATCAGAAAACAGCATTGGTTATAGACCACTAGCTGGATTTTACTACAAACTGTTATCATATAAGTAGGATGATACCCTGCCAACAGAGCTTTTCTTTTGCTTTCTTGATTTTGGCATAATTGATGAGGACTCTGCTTGAATCAAGTAAGATCTTTGTCGAGCATGCACTGCATGTTGCTAGATGACCTGGTACATACTTTCCAACACAGACCTAACAGCCATGCGCTTGGTACAATGGACCTAGTTATAACAGGGTTCTTACTCTTTTCAGCTTTTTCAAATTCCATAACTTTCCATGACTTTTTTAATGACCTTACGATTTAGCTGTCAATTTCAAAAATTTTCAAACCTATCCTTGTGTTAAGGTGTTTTCGACCTAAATCGCTTCAGCATCCACAAAACTCTGGTGTCCACCAAAATATGTGCTGTTTGCGCTGTTTAATGACTTGTCTCTACTTTACTTCGTTGTTCCTTTGGCATCTACAGTAACTTATCTACCAGACAAAACTTTAATTTTCCACGACTTTCCATGAGTGACAATGAAATTCCATGACTTTCATGACTTTCCAGGTTTTTCATGACCTGTACAAACCCTGTATTATTTTGAACCACTGGCTTATCAATAAACGGATACTAACAATCGAAAAAGCCGGTTTGAAGAAAGAAAACAGATTGCCTAGTCTAAAAGTTCAGGCTTCAGCCGGCAAAGGCTAATAAAAAGCAATTCAGGCACATCAGTCTTCTTTTCTCCTCACCTTAATTAAGAAGACGAAAGTAAAAGCTCTGCTCGCACGGTAAAGTCGATGACTGAAAAGCTTACAAACAGGGCAAGAATTAATAGAAACAGCTGCCAGTTCAAAGTTTGATGTCACCAGTCTAATGTCTCTTTCTTCATGGAAAGGCGTGGACTGTTCTCTGAGAAGAATTGTGAGTACCATCGTCGATGCTTTTTAATTAACTGATCTTCTTTCACTAAAAGTGGAGATGACAAATACGTCTTGTGGTTCCATATCATGATGTCACGTTCAACCTATTTGAAGTTCCAAACATATGATAAATAAAACTAATAATATTTTATTATTATTTGTTAAATTTACCAAAGACAGTTTTTTGAAAGGAATCAATAAATTGAAAATGAAATCCGAGTTTACAAATTTAACAGATTGCTAATAGTGATAAATTTAAAGAAAATGTGGAGTTTTTTGTAGACTGATAATAAACTTCTTCACTTTTAAACTCAAAGACATAATTCAACTTAAATTTTTACAGTTAAATGTAACCCATTTTAATTCTAAAGACAACTCTATTTAAATTTGAACACCAAACTTCTTATTTCAACTCAACTTAACCAACATTTTTGGACTAGTTAAACTGGAATTTTCCCAATTGAATGAAGAACAATTCACATGTACAACTTAGTTTCTCTCAAAAACTTAACGTTCAGTTTTATAACAATAATGAGAAGTACGACGATAATGAATCTTTATACATCATAAACTTTAAGGCCAAAAACTAATGTCCCCTCAATAAAACAATAACATAACTTTTTGTTTATACCTGAATAGCTTCAACATAAAGCAACAACTTGGCCAGAAAAGTAGGCATTGTCCAGGAAGCATAGATATGATGACACATAGTCTGTAGAAGGGGTTCCTTTGGTGTAAGGGAATGAAGAAAGATCCCATCACCAAAGATACTCTTAAACTTCAAAAAAACCAGGCCAGGTCCAGCCTACATTGAAAAAAAAATACATTTATCTTTGTTGAGATACTTATTGAATGTGAGATAACAAGAAAAGAGAAAAAAGGAATGAAAAATACAGGAAAAAATGGACACAGTTTTAAGAAAGAAAAAAAAAATTACAGAGATTAATTAGGTGAAGAGATAAAGAGTTAAAGGAAAAATTCAAAACAACTCATATAATCATAATTATAATCATAATCATAAAAATAATAATTACAATTTATTATGTATATATTATGTATTTTTTATTTTGTTCTAACAGTAATATATTCTTAGACAATTGTGCAGTTCTTGAGGGCTATATACATGAATGAATTTGCAGAGGGATGTATCATGATTAAACAAAAAGCTTTATAACGTACATGTGATGCACTGGTTGGACTCACCCATTCATAACTCAAATTTTAAAAAGCTTTTGTTTTCGCAGACAAAATGAGAACCTGTAAGAGGCATAAGGTGCAAGGGGATTGGGTCGAGCTCTCAAATAATGTTGCTTTACAGCTCCAAAGCAAAATTACCGAAAGGACGTCCACAATGCCACCGAACAGACTAGGCTGCGTCACAATAGTGTAATATATTTAACACTTTAGTTCTTGTCCCTCTTACTAAAAATTGTCTCTTGTAGCTTTTTCTTTTTTGTTTTCCTTTTTTAGAGGTCAACCCTATATAACCCGCATTAGTTATCTTTGTGGGGTTTTTGTTTTATTAGGAGCAAGAAGAGTATATTCAAATTCTATTTCTCCTTGCTGTTGTCCTAAATCCCAAAGGCCGTAGTAATCATCATAATTTCGGCACCTGGCCTTTGTAAGAAATATGTATTTGTTTAATGTATGTAAGTGTTGCTTGTTTTTTTTTTTCGTTTGTTATTTTCTTATTGTATTCATTTGTAATATAGCTTTTTTTTTCCTTTTTGTTGTTGGTGTTATCTTTACTTTGGTTTTTCTTTTATGTCAGTCTTTAAATTAGTTAAATATTTGTATAACTTAATTAATTAGTAATTAATCTTAAAAAACATTGTAAAAACTGTTAAAATTAAAAATTAAAAAAACTAGGTGCAGGTATTTCTGCAGGACAACACTGACCACCTACCTGTCTAGCTGTCACATGGAAGTCTAGCGATGGAATTTTATATCCAAACAAAACAAAGGAATGTGTTAACTGCAGTTGGCCAACATGCTTTTCATCTTCAAGTGGTTCCCACTGAGCTGACCAGCTGTGATGTGCAACCACCTGACACCAGTCCAAAAAGTTGTATCTCAGGTCAGCTCCAGTGATAACTGGTGAGGTATGGAGGTGGTTTAGATGGGTGATATCTGACCCGTTCTCTGGAACCTCCTTGAAAGAATATTGCAAAACATTATAAATATTGATAAAATTGTGATATTTTTAGTGCAGCAATGTTCTCAAAGCAGCAAGAAAATTCTTGTACTTATTGACACTAAGAACATGTTACTCAGGTCACCCTCTCCCACTCAGGGAAAAATATCTGAACTTGATCAAAGAAAAATGAATAGAAATTACAGATGTGATAAATTAATATAATTAGAAATATTTTTCAGCCTCCCTTTAAATAATGATAAGAAAACTTACGTGAAAACGAATACAAGGCTTTTGATATATAGAGAGAAACAGAGAATCGGTCCAGTTCAATGAAATTCAATTGAATTTTATCATTCACACTTTATAAAATATTAACATTATATATAGTAAGGTAAGAATACACTAATAAAGTAGAAGAAGAAGGAAAAAAAGTGTTAATTTATGAAGTGTTCTATCAAGGAGGCGTTTTTTAAGACTTTTTTTTCTTCCTTTTCCATTTTCAAATTTACTGTTCAGGTTTTAACTACATTATGACATCCATTATCCTTCGCTCAATAAACTCAGAGAAACATTAATTTTATAAAAGTTGTGAAAACGTGTTGTTTCACTTTTGTAAGGATCAAAAAGATGTACCAAAAGCCCGGGGGAGGGGGGGGGTACTGCCATATATGGGCTATATGGGTATGTGCCGCTGTGAAGGGTATGGTTTTCGAGCAGTTTACTCTAGGATAGGGTATATAAATCAGAGCGTTTGGGTCTAGAATAGGGTATCATTTTTTAGGAAACTGATCAGTTGGTTGAAGATTTTATCTAGACTAGGGATTGTGGTATAAGGTTTTGTTTTGGCTAGACTGAGCTAGTGACCTCAGTAGTTTCTGGAAAACAGCTACTCTAGGACAGGGGAGATTTGAGGAGTTTACTCTAGTATAAGGTAGCAAAATTCAGCTGAACTAGTTCTGCTATAGGTTAAGGTCTCCAGGGACTCAGCAGCACATCCCCACCCAGAAATTCCTAAAGTACCCCTCCTCCCCCCGGGACCAAAAGACGTATATGAAGTTGATCGGGAGATCGAGGGCGGGAAATAATGTCACTTTCTGCTTGCCCGGGGTGGGGATGGAATAGACCTCCAAAAAACAAAAAAATTGAAAATCCCTGGGGGCGTGCCCAGGGGGGACGGGATGGTTACAAATCAAATTGAACCACACATTACATGGTAAAAATTATGCCATCCACGGTCAATCATTTTAAGTTCAAATGTTATATGATAGTTGCATCCCTCAACAAAACTTTATAGTTTTATGTATAAATTTGATCAGTTTAATCTTGTAATAACCTTTAAGTTGGAACTTTGCATATATAATTTTGCTTCCATTGGCCTTTCTGTATAATTTTCACAAAATGGAAGTTAGAATTTTTTTCAAACTCCCACAAATCAGCCACTGTTAGTAGTGAATAGAAACTGAAAGCATCAGCACGGAATACGTGAGGAAAAAGCTCATTCTTGTGCAGTGAAATTTGCCTCAGGCAAGCAAGCAAGGCAATAATAATTTATTATTACTATGGCAATTAATGATTCTTCTAAACAATTTACACTCTCCTTTGATTCTGTTTTGTTTTTCTTTCATTTTCTAAAACATTCTTGCATTTTGACATCACCACGTACACTTATAACTATCATATGTTCGATATCTATATGACTATTGTGGAAAGAGAGCTTTTTTATAACTAAAGCACATTTCACAAACAGTTGCATAAATAGATTGCAGCTATGTAAACACTCGACTGAGCACAAAAATGAAATAAAAGAATCGCCTATCCTGTGGATTTTTGTTCAAGAAAAATATAAGGAAGCTGTTTAACTTGAGGAGTTCTCGACATATCCCGCTAAGCCTTATCTAATTCTTAAACTTTTTTAGTTACGTGACATTTCTCCAGTACTCGCGAACTCAGTAAACGTCATGGAACGCGGAACACTTTAATAAAGCTTAAAAAAATAATTGCCACTCCCGCCACTACACTTTTCAACTTTCTTTTGCCAAAGCTGTTACTTTGTATTTGATGAAACAAAAAAATCTAAAAGAATAAACAAAAATAGGTTACCTCAATGTGTGCATTGATACTGTGTTGTGTACACCCTCGATACGTCCAAGACCCACTTTTGATCTCGTCTATTATATCCGGTGTCCAAGTGGGCTCGGTCCCTTCCGCATGATACCACATATAAATTGTACAGTTCACCTCTAAACAAGGCCAAGCCTTGGTTTTTGCAAAATCGGGCACTTTGTCACTGTACGGGATTTTGATACACTTGCCATCTTCGCCGCGGAACGTCCAACCATGGAATGGACATTGCAGACAATTTCCCACAACCTTTCCTCCAATTCCTAGATTAGCTCCCAGATGAGGGCAATAAGCGTTCACAATATGCGCTTTACCATCAGTTCCCCGGAAAACTGCTAGTTGCTCGCCTAGCATGGAAACGTACTTTACCTCACCGACCGCCAGCTCGCGCGACGCGAGGACGTGAAACCAACCATTGGGATACACAGGTGGAATATCGCCACATTGCCTCCGTTTTCGAATTTCGTTTGCTATTTCTTTTAATGGTCGCTTTCCATCGGATAAATAACCAGTTTCATGGAGTTGTCGCTTCATTTCTAAAGGCAAAAATAAAATTCTCCAAAGTTTCCACAAAACGTACCCAAGCAATAAAGAACCCAGAGCCAAGAGCCATGGGTTTACCGTTTGCATCTTGGACCTAATTTCACCCCAGACTGAGTTAGAAAAGTCGTGGAATTTAAGAAGCATGGGAGAAGCAGCTGCAACGACGACTAAAAAAAAAGAAAGGCAAAGAAGTTTGGAGGACGCCATTGTTGACATGACGTTTCGCAATTGCAAGGTGAACTCACGACTCTCAAACACTTGAAATACCGTAACCTTTCTGGAGGCCTCTGATTGGTCCGAAGAAAAAATATAATTTATGCATAACCGGGCACGCGCCAACAAATGTGATCTGTTGTTTTTTCGTTTAATTTTTTTTGTAGCTAGAAAGTCAGACGCTGGTCTTATACCGAACACAGGCTATGTATATTTTATTAATAGCCAGAAAGACTGTCAATGTGAGGCTAATTCCATGTGAAAGACAAATATTTTGTCCTGAGTCTGGGCGTTGGTTTCTCTTTTAGAGGTCAACAGGTCATGCGGGCATTCGGACCTGATGTGAGTATTTATAATAGAGGCATTAATAAATACAAGGAAAAAGTTGTACGAACGCAGGTGCCTGACGACAAACGTGCCTCAAATCACGAGAACATTAACAAAAATTACAATAAAATTGGAAGTAAATTTTTCCTGTTACGAGGATGTTATCCTTCATCATTCAATTTATTAGAAATAGGTGAGTCGAAAACCTTCGCGAAACTCGGTGTGAAAAGGGCCGGGCCACTCCGGTTTAGCCCTGGTATGGATGTAGTCTTCCTATTATTGTTGGCTTTAGCTCTGACGCTGGATGGGGTCACCAGTCGCGACTGCAAAACAGTCGTCTTTGTTTTTCCCCAAAATCACTTTATCAATAAGGCGGGGGCGGAGAAGTGTGAGGGGAGAAAAAAGTTTTCTTCACGTCTCTCCCAAGTATCACCCCGAGGGGGGACTCCCACATGCAAGGGACGCGACGAGAGTGCTAGATTGGTGAGCGGAGTGCACGCGCGCGAGCAGCGAGCGGCGAAGCCGCCAGACGCGAGAAACGAGGGCACGCGCGTGGTCATTTGCGTGTCTCGCGCGCCTTGCTCGATTGAACCAAGTGCTTGTCATCTAATGAAATGGGGAAAAAATTGGCGAGCAAAGCGAACAGGGGAAAGCCTGGGGAGGGAATTTTTTTTTGTCGTTTCAACCCTCTTTTCGCTTTTTCCCAACTGCTACGCCTGGTCCCCAGGCTAATGCTTATCTAGCCTTGGTGGCAGGCGTTTGAAAGGGAAGAGAAAAGGAGTTTTGGGAAAGGGATTCTTAGGCGCGAGAGAAACGCGAGGGGCGCGCCCCTCGCGTTTCGCGTTTTTGGGCGTTTCTCCCTTTCCCTTCCCTTTCAAACGACTGCCACGCAAGGTAATGCTTATCGGGCATCAGAAATATTTATCTAACCCCTAAAGGAGACCACACTTCAACAAAGTCCCGGGGGGTTCTTCCTTATATTGAGCCGTTTTGGTCTGGACTTTGCCCATTTCGGTCTGGAATCGGGTATGGTTTTCGAAGGAACTACGGGAGTGAATGAACGTAGTTATCGTTTGGTTCCAAATGAGTAAGAAAGAGAAATATGCGAATTCGAAATGTATTTTGAGAAATCTTTTTTGTTGCTGTTCTAATCTGTTCTAATCTTCACGTGACTCAGTTCGTAAGGCCAGGGAGTCGCATTTGATAGATAAGGCCATGACTCAACTCTTGAACCTCATGGCCTAAACCGCCGTGACGAATTATTGTAATCCATATCCTTAGTATTTTTCCTTTCCAGTTTTTATGTTGTACGTCATTTCCGCCTCTCCCTTTTATTGCGACATTCTCCATCTATATAATATTGTGATTGCTACATAAGTTCAGTAACATCTGTAAACCTGAAGACGGCTGGTATGGCCAGCCGAAATATTGTTGTAAAAAACAATACACGTTGCTTTAAATCAGCTTTGCAGTAGTCTTTGGACTTCTCGTTCTAAGTAATGATGACATTTTTTCTTAGGAACCAAGCCTGAAAATGGGTTTGAGTTAAAATAGCATTTTCGGTCTGAAATAGGGTCAGGATTTTGAGAACCTGCCAAAATTTTCCCGCCCAAAAAAATCCCAAAATCAAAAATTTCAAATCCCCAAGAATACTTCGATCATCCCTGTCACTTGAAATCCGGAGTACCCCTCCCCCGACTGGAGCTATAACGGACACCCCGATAAAACGGACAGTAGCTAAATCCCCCGTAAAAACAAATTACAGACGTTTGACTGAAATAAACTCCCGCTATTTCAGACTCTCGCTAATGCACCTATCAATGTAAATCCCGTGGGGGGGAGTGCGGGCAAGGGGCGGGGATGAGACTATCCCCCTGTCGGGCTTTTGATCGTGAGAGGCGACCCCGGGGTCGGGACATTTGACTTTGACCGATAGAAGCCTGGTATCAATTCAGAAACGGTAACCAAGTCCGTCCCTCGAGGCTTTCTGAAAGTCACGCTGTTGGAGAAAGTTATGAAGTTGTCATTTGTTTTAATCGCCATAAACCGATACTTTACATGTACACTGTCATCTAAACAGATAATGTCTATTTTGAGAAAGTTTTTACCTTCAAGTTCCCATCTGATTGTAAACCTCGATTGAAATCGAATTCTACCATGAAAGTCAGAGGATTTTTTACAGGTCACTGATCCGACCTGTTGCGACATGTTGAGCCGATGTTATAAAGCATTTTACGTTTCATTAATATAGTAGCACGGTCAATCTTCCTGGAGTGATTATGTTCCAGGGCTCCTGGTTGTTCAAAATCAGAGATGCTAGTGGAGAGAGAAAATACTTAATTACAGCGAGTAATTTAACCGAGCTTACGTTAACCTTAAATAAAAGTAGTAAGAACGTACTTTTGAAATGTTCTTTTATTCGTTGTATATAGTATTATAGTATTGTTTGTTTAGCCAGTTTTTCCCCTGGGGTGGGGGCTTTTTTGACACTTTTGATTGACCTTTCGTTTCCCACCCTGGAAAATTTGATAAAAAAAATTTTAAAATTTGTCAAATCCCCACCCCTTGCCCGCACTCCCCCTCCCCCCACGGGGTTTACATTGATAGGTGCATAAAGAGGACACTAACTCGAGGTCCCTACATTGTCCGCCGAAAAGGGAGTTGACGGTAGGTTTTCCATATCATACCGCCCGTCATGATACACGTGCATTCAACCTGAAAATAAATAAACTAAGTTTTACGTTGAAAATTTTCGATCCTTTTTGGCTGCGGCACGAAGGAAGGATTACCGATTGATTCAGAACAGCAAACTTGTGCAAATCTTCAGAGGATACGAGACTTTCACTTATCAAAAACTGACCATTAATATACGACTTTACAAGGGAAACTATACTTTCTTGTTCACACTTGCACTGCTCAAAACAGGTTGAAAATCAAGTGGGTCAAATTCAAAATTTTCAGCCATCCTCACTCATCCTCGCAAAAAATTGCCTTGAAAGAACAATAATAAACAAAACTCACTCCTTTATTTAACCTTCCAAAACAAATAGCACGTGCTTGAATACATATTATTGCCTCGAGTTTTAGATCCATGGGCCAAAGATAAACCTAATGATGTTTAGGTCTATCAGATATACACTTTCCACCCAATGTATTATTTAAAAGGCGATAGGGCACTAGGCAATTCCACCCTAAGAAATTCATCCAAGTTGGTGCTAAAACAAACAAATACCAACACAGTTTTATTGCACGTAAAATAAGAGACTGGAACTCCTTACCAAATAGTGTCATTGAAAAGCAGTCATGTGCCTTCACTCGGTGCCATTTTTAAAATAGGTGACCCTTTTTTTAAACTTAATATTGGCACCATAATTATTGTATTTTTAGCATAAGCACATGTACATCTGCACAACTGCCTTGATGGGATATACCCTTTGCAGATTATACGATTAGAATTAGAACTAACCCCTGAGCCCCACCCTACTAAAAGGGGCTGATCAGCGGTTAAAACTACTTTGGGCATGCATTTGGGAGTATTTCGCAAGGCTTTGTGGTTTCCCTTACGTCACGCGAAAAGCCGCTCCAGCACATTGCAAGCCGCCATTTATTTTTGAGGTTGCCACTGCCGGCAAGTACTTAACAGTTTCCACGGTTTTTAGTTAGTCTTTTGAATGATGGATTATCAGATTCATGAATTCAGAATACCTTTGCCTATCTCCGTTGAAGAATATCATATAGGGCAGCTCTATGCCGTCGCAGAAGCAAGCAAGAACGAAACGGGAGGTGGGGAAGGAATCGAAGTTATAGAAAACGCACCCTGTGTCCACGAAAAGTACGGTAAATGTCAGTACACCCATAAAGTTTTCCATTTGGCAAGTAAAGTGCCAGTATTTGTTCGTCTTTTAGCGCCAAAAGGTTCTTTGGAGATTCACGAGAAAGCGTGGAATGCTTATCCGTATTGTAGAACGGAATATTCTAACCCCGACTATATGAAGGATGACTTCTATATTAAAATCGATACTTGGCACAAGGAAGGAATTCGTGACAAGGACAATGTTCACGAACTCAAACGAGATGAGTTGCAGAAGAGAGAGTTCGTCGATATAGAGATATCTGATAATACAGTCATTTCTCATGCTGATTACAAAGAGGACGAAGATCCTGCCAAATTCAAGTCAGAGAAGACCGGCCGAGGACCACTCACTTCTCCGGACTGGACGAAAAACCAGGATTATCCAAAAATGACGTGCTATAAGTTGTATCGCTATAAATTTAAGTGGTGGGGTCTACAGACAAAAGTAGAGAAGGTAATCTTCAGAGCCGTTAGACGCCTTCTTACCAATTTCCATCGCCAGTTATTCTGTTGGATCGATAAGTGGTTCGGAATGACAATTGAAGACATCAGGGCGCTAGAGGACAAGACAAAAGGAGATTTGGATGAGATGAGAAGTAAGGGTGATGTGAAAGGAATGACAGAGAAGTAAACTTGTTTTTGTAGTTATAATGGTTGTTGAAACAATGGACAATACTCCGATCCTTGAGGAAAAATATGACGTAATTTAATGTAAACTGGCAAGTCCTTGTTATAGTTTTCTCTTTTATTTGTTGGCAGTAGTTTACTATTGGAGGGATCTGTTGGAGGTGGCTCATTACAGTCTAAGTAGTGTAGCAAGTTCTGCACATGTGCAAACATCAGATTAATCCAATGGAGTTTTAGTGAGAGGAACAAAATTTATACCGTAAGATAAGACTTGTAATCAGTTTATCTCATTATTATCCTTATTTAGCAAATTTGTTCATTGTGTTCAATGTAGAATTCAATCATAAAGAAATACAGATTGAAATGAGATTACCATCTTAAAAAATACAGCCTGATTGGAGTGAGATTGCATGGGTAACAACCAATGGGATTATCCATTTTTTATCCACACACCCCTTCCAAGCTAAGGTTGGCGGGTTTTTTCATAGGGGCATTCAGTGTAAAGAAGCCGACAAAATTTGGAGCCTCAGGCAACTTTTTCAAAGGTGCCAATGACAAATCAACCCTTTGGGTTTCGGACTCCGACCATCTTTAGGGAGGAGGGGTGGTGTGGATAAAAAGGGGAACATCCTGTTGTTGATTAACTGATTGAATAGACCTTAAGACATGTATCTGTTATCCCTGTAAATTTTACGGAGGGCAAATGACATCACCACCAACTTGCTAAAGAACAGAAAGACCTGGTATTGAGATTGGTTGATGCACTCCATTTTCAGACTTTGATTATTACTAGTATTATTGTTATTATTACTGTTTTTGACAAAAGTTAGTTTTGTGCATGTTACGGCTCCCTTACATGCAAGGAAGAACCTGGAATTTTATCAGAAGTCACTTAGGGCTTTATTTAAGGCACCTCTACATATTTTTTTGTTTACTTTTGTTGTGGAATGGGTGTCATATGATTTCAGAGAAAAAATATTCTGCAAACAGACCCAGAAAAAAAATTATTGCATTTAGTTCTTAAAATTTATAATAACACCAAAACATAAAGAAAAAATTGACCAGAGTAGTGGACTTGGAAAGAAATTCTTGCCAAAACCAAATACCCAACCCCTTTCTTGCAAGTCAAATGTTTGGACCTTTGGCCAATGTCATGCAAGTGGCACACAGCAACATGGTTTAATATTACAATGGAGGTTGTGAAATTCCCAACATTGCAGTTTGTTAAAAGTTAAGCTTTTCATTTGTCCCTTGTAAGAAAACCTCTGAAAAATTCTTTTTCTGTAGAATAAGAAAAAACAAATAGTTTGTAATAGGTTAACATAGTGCTAGTCACTATAGAATTCTCCGCACAGAATGAAATGGAAGAACTGTATTCATGTTTCTTTAATTCATAACTCCTGTAGTGGGAATGTTAATTTTTTGGGATTAGTCATTTGGATAGTATAAGGATTAAAATGTTCTGTGTGGTTTTGATTGTTTTTCTTTGATGTCAAATATCTGAGACTCAAGACTGCTGTCCTTTCATCTGTGTTAAACTTGCAGTGGGTCATCTTTTCGTCAATGAAAGAGTGCATTTCTAGTGTCTCGATGTAATTGCTGGTGTAATGACACCTCGTGGCTGTTCTCTATCAACATCTGATGTCCCCTGCACATTGCTTTTGTCCTTGTGTGACAGGGAAATGTCTGGCTTGTGTGTAGAAATCATATGCTGAGCACCCTGGAATTCATAGGTTCAGAACATTGGGCTCCCTAGAATTTTCCTATTTTCTAAGAGCACAGCCTAGACTTACAATATTGGCCTTTCCTAGTGGGCAACAATAATATTTCTCTATGATTTTGTTGAGATTTCTCTATGAAAGGTTGTTTTACATTGGGCTTGTCATTAAGATTTTAGGAGTCATTTGCCCAATAATAACAAAGTAATGATGCTGTCTTGTGTGACAGCTTTTGGGAAATCAGAAATGTTAAACTTGTTGCATGGGAGTTAGTAGGTTACTGGTACACTTGTATTGTTAATCAATCTCTTTTTGATAAATTGTATGTCATAATAATTTTTATGTCACATAATTTTGCTCTGACACTCTATGATTTTTGAAGTTCCATAACCCACCAGATAGTGTCTAGATTGAGCAAATGTTTGTATCACAATAGTCTGTTTTTGGTATTTATCAATACTTATTAATAACAAGTGAAAATTCTAATTTTATTTATTAATTGAATCATTTTTGCACCCAGTCGCTCTTTCATCAAATTGAAGAGTAGGAATTTATTCCTTACCACAATGACATGGAATGTATAACATAATTATTGCACAGTGTTAATTTTAATGAATGTATTGGACATTAAATTTAAATCAGGTTTACTTACAGTTTAGTGAATGAGTAAAGATTTAATATTGCAAGCCATGAACATAAGGGTTGTTGATTGTCAGATTATAGAAAGTGATTAATTTTATTTTCATTCACTGTGAAAATTATTATTTTTGGTATTCCTTTTTTTTTAATTCACTTGGCTAGATTAGAGGGTATAACTTATAAATAATTTGCCAGTGTTAAACCAAATAACCTGGAGTGGTTTGGGTTGCTTGAAAGTTAAATATTACCGTACTACAGGTACCTTACAAAGTGGGGGTTGCAACGCAGGTGGTTTGAAAACAATTTATTTCAGAAATTTATTCTTCTGAGTCTTTGAAATTGTACTTATCTGCTGATATAGAATAAGATGGGGCAGTTTCACAAGAATAAATTTTTCTGGCCAGGAGCCGAATTCCCAAAGCATTGCGTGAAAGATATTAATTATAATTATTAATATTAATGATTAATATTTTGTTCCCTAAGGTGTTGAAATATACTAGTAAACCATAATTAATGGGACCCCATATTAACCTATAGAACCTTGAAAGTTTATGTCTGTATGATTTTTTCAAGTCTTTCAACAGTCTATCATGAGTAAAGAGCTTTTTGCAAGATCAGGCAAGTGGGTGTTACATTGATTCTAGTGTTCTTTATGGATTTTTAAAAAGTAGTAGAGCTAAATCTTGGTGAATGGCATAAAATTTTATTTGGTTTGGATTGGTATTTCAGTTACAGTGTGGGACACCTACCATGAATAGATTCATAAGGCAAACTTTTGCTTGTGTTACACTCCTATATCGGTTGCTTTGGAGACAACTGAGCTCCAATTTCACAGAGATAAAAAGAATAATGAACATTTACAAGTATTTTCTTCTAATGGGTAATCTGGAGGCGATTTTTTTAAATGTTTTTTTTAGCATGTCATATACCCTGCGAGCAGTGGTTTCTCCAGGCTGGACGTTACGCCCTTTCATAGCGTAGCGTCCGGCCTGGAGAAACCACTGCTTGCAGGGTACATGTCATAAGCATTTAAATGAGCAAATTGGTCATCCCTAAATATCTAAATGCTGTCTATCTTTTTAAAAGGACTCTTTCAAAAAATTCTTCTTCGGCCATGAACTGGGTGTACTTCCCTTAACCCAGTCAGTCAATTTCCCCACCCTTGGGTCTCCATTCTGAGTCAAATCCCTACCCCTGGGGCAAACTAATAGGCACTTACAACAGTCTTTATTGTAGCACTCGGCATCTCCAGGGAGTAATAATTACTACTTAATTTAACTTAATTATTACTTGGTGACAAAACAATGGTACCCACAAACTTTGTGCATTTCCCCAAGTGTAGAAGACATATTCCAGCTGGATATTTGGCGTGGCTATCTAACACACATTCTATACTCACGAAAGTACCTTTGAATTGTTTCACAGAGTATTTACAGCAATGCAAAATGTACAATGCCCGAATATGACATGTCATCATCAAGAAGGGTTAATGTCTAATATAAGGGCTGGTGTTTGTAACAGTGGTCCAGAATTTCATTTGAATTGGACTCTTCCTAAGATTCAAAAAGCTTTCCTAAAAACTTTTCCCATCAAAATGAAGCCTACTAAAAGATGGCCAGCAAAAGACAAAAAAAAGAGGCAAGAAAAGCAAAAACCAAAACCCGGATAAAGGTATCCCCATGTTCTTTTCACACGCTTAAAAAAAAAGCTTCTACTGCCATGAGGTGAGGGTTAATTAGATTTCTCAGATTCAGTTCATTCAAGGCACTTGCAGGTTTAACCTTTTACGTCCTAAGAGTGATGGACATTAATTATCTCCTGTCAGTATCTATATTCATAATCAAGAGAAAATGTTACGAGAATTAATGAAAATGATCACATTATGGAAAATGCATTGATATTTATACAAATTCTCTTAACGTATTCTGTAAGGAAATGTATGGAGATCAGTCAAGAAAATTTGAAGCTTCAAGGGTTAATTTATGTGGAGAAATCAAACAGTTCTTGTGTCTATTTAGCAAAACAGATTCCGGACAAATGGCTTTCTTTTAATTTATTTTCGTTCAACTGCAAGCTAAGTTAACATATCATGACTTGTGAAACAATAATTCACTTGTCCTTCTTTTCTGAAGAAACTCCAGCATGAAGCTCTTTGACATCTTTCTCCAGAATATCAAACAGCAGATTTCCTTCTTCATCAAACCAGGAAGCCACAGACCTTGAGACAAGAAAAACCAAGAGATGCTGAGGTTGATCAACCCCTTATACCCTAAGAGTGTTCAGTATTGAATTTCTCCTTGTTATACCAGTGTTTTATACAACAGAGTAGTCATGCGAATTAAGGACATGATCAAACAAGATGAGGTTAATTGACACTTGAATAACATCTTTCCACTACAGTGAACTCTCTCATGGCGACCACTTCTCGTGAGTGACCACCTCTTGTAAGCGACCACTTTCTCATGCACCAAGGATGGCCGCTTACGAGAAAGTTGACTGTACTTCTATAGGAAATGCCCAGGGGCAACAGATATTTTAAGCTGATATATAGCATCATGATCAACTTTGTGCAGAAAGTTCTTTTGATCGGTCAAGTTCATAATTATTCAATTCTACAGTAAACAGAGGCAATTTATGCCATCAACTGTAAAATCTAATTGTAATCAAGGTCACAATCAATCAATCAATCAATCAACAACTTTATTTAAGTGTCTAGTCTTCTAGCTTGCCGTCAGACCTACTAATCGGGGACACTACTTAAATAACTTATTAATAAGAAATATATATACATAATACTATAAGCCAATAAGATTTAACTATTCTAAAAACTACTTAAAAGATACACGATATTCAATATGCTTCGAAAATACACCTATGTAATAAATAAGAAAAAACTATATATACAATTTCGTAATATAATACAATCCACTGTGCCCTGTGGGGTGAAGTGCAAAAATGTACAAAGTGACAGACAACACGATCATGGATGTGGATGTATTTAAAGTACATAGTAAGTGCATGTTTTTAAATGTGTTAACTAGAGGAATTCACGTAACGTCAAGGTGCTTCAGTATGTGAGGAGAAGTTGATAAAATTATAGGATTTCCTTTCGAAATAACCTGAATATGAAGTAAAAAGCTTATACAACAAAGGAGTTTGTGATTGTGTTATAAGTCAAAGCTGGATATTAAAACTGTCAAATTTGTCTGCTGTCAGGGATATAATCTTCTTCACCACAACTGCATTTATAGCTTTCAGTTTACCAAATTTTTCCTGCTAAATTGGTCCTAGAAACAAAACTTTTAATTAGTTCCTTAAGTGGGATTGCCCTGAACTGAAACTTTGCAAACTGTGTTATGCACTGGCCAGCTCCAAGCTAGTAACAAAAAGCACAGTTTTAGTCTCCAGTACCACCTTAAAAAACTACAGTGCCATACAGTTGCATAAAACTTACTTTTTAAAAGTTTGTTCTCTTTCCTTCTTTGTAACACCATCTTTGTAAGTGACTGTTAGGTTATAGAGATGATCATAGCGCTTCAGTGATGAACTCAGTCTCAAGTGATTATCAGGCTCCTGTGAAATATAATAGTTGACTATGGCTTTATTCGCGCAAAAAGTACAGGCAGATCACCCTCTATTTGTGTGGCCATTGTTGTTAGTGAAATCTGAACATCAATCATTTGTAGCCATGATAATGTTCCTCTGTTTTTCTTCTATAAAGTACAAAAGATTAATGCTTAGACTTCAATAACAACAACAGCCATACAAACAGATGCCTGTGGATAAAGATAAAACCTTGTATCACCTATGGGACAGCAAAATGCCTCACAAAAAGTCAACACTAACTCTCTGAGATATGCAGCCAAGATAAAAAATAATATGCTTAATTAAAGGGCCTGTTGACAAAAGAAAGGGCATAAAAATTGCTGACTTTGCAAGAAATAAGAAGTTCCACATAGCGGTTCTTTTCACAAGGACAATAAAAACCTTAATCCAAGAAAATGTAACAAAAACATATCCTGACTTCCAAGAACGCTTACAATTTCTCAAAATGTTTGCTTTGCAGACACTTTGAATGCACTGAAAAAGGGAGTTGTGGGTTTGTTACATAAAAATGAAAGAGACCAGAAAAAACTAAAAACAAGCACTTTTCACTTGTGTGGGAAGCCGCATTTCTGTGATTATTGGTAGACAGAAACAGCACTGAACTACACATTTTCTTTCATTTTATTTTTGCATGACAAAGAACAGTGCTTTATTCTAGTGACCTGAAAAGAAAGAAAAACAAAACTAGCCTGTTTGCTAGTTTAGTTCAAACAGTCCCATATTTTGATTCCGCTATGACTTTTATCACCTGGAAGGCTTTGTATACATGTAAGTACCATATTTCCTCGACAGCCGAGGGGTGGCAGTTAATTATTTTTTCACACTAAATGAGGGCTATTATTTGAGGGAAGGTGAGTATTCAAGGGAGGTGGTTATTTCAAATATTGCTCGGCGGAAGTTGTTACAGAATTATTTTGTTTTAGTATATACTAAAACAGTGGATAGTTTTTTTTCACTACTCAATCAGTGAATATGCACTGGTTCCTATTATTTGAGGGCAAAAGGTTTGTAAACAAACAAAGGAATTTCACAACTAATCAAGCAAGCTGTTTCAAATACGAAGAAGGGAGTTGGTTGGAAGTTTTAACAAATTTTTGCTAATTTATCGATAAAACTGGTGAAGTTTTTGTTTACAAATGCAAATTAAGTTTAAGAATTATTTTATTTTTGAGTTGTTCATAAATAAGCTTAAAACTAAATTTAATAATTTTTTTTATAGAATGATTTTAAATACAAAAAGAATTCACAAAAGGAAAAATTTCCCTGCAAATAAACATGAAAAGTTTTAACCATAGAAAAAAACTGTAACAAAAAACCAACAGTATTTGAGTTAAAAATGCATTCAAAACAATCAAATAAAAGCTTGTTTGTTATTTAAGGTGTCAACTTTTGAATACTTGACAGGAATAAAGGAAAAAGTGAAATACATGAACATTACCATAGAAAAAACTGTAACAAAACCTGTGCATTCAAACAATCAAATAAAAGCTTGTTTGTTATTTAAGGTGTCAACTTTTAACTTGACAGGGAGGGAATAAAACAAAAAGAGGATGCTCAGAGGGGTGGGGGGGGGGGTAATTATTCGATGGCGGCCACTGTTTAAATATTTTTGTCAAAGGGGGGCAATTGCTCAAGGGTGGCGATTTATCACAGGACAGCTATTATTTGAGGAAATATGAGTACATAGTATGTATGGTTCATGTTTAGGAGACAAGGCCGCCAACATGATGAAGCAAGAAAAGAAATTAATCTCACAGCACAACAAACATTCCAAATTTCAACCTCAACAGCACTTAGCAAATGAGCCTCAAGTCTTTTTTATAAATTCTTTAGTAGCTCTGTTCCAATCGCTCCTTCTGTGCAACAATAATACTGATGATGACAGTGATAATAAGTGTTAAAATACTTACTACTCCAGCTTCATCCTTCTGGACAGCAAACATAATGTAATTTTTTTCCACCAAAGTTGTGAAGATTGTCAGTGCGGTCATCAATATAAAATATCTAAGATTGGTTAAGGTAGCTGTATTAACCAAATCACATAATTTTAAGAGTATCAGGACAACTAATAGATAAATTCTTTAATGAAAAAAAATCATGTTTAATACTGCTTAATACTTTGAAACAAAAACCTGTTTTGGTTATAACAAAATGCTGCTGAAAGAAATTTTTTGAGATTCATGTTATGGCAAGTCTGATGTTAAAGAAAGTTATCGATCTGTCCCAGGCTTGTATCATGACATCCGCATATTTATTGTGAGTAATATTTTCTTAAGAATTTTTTTTACCTGTCTAAAATTTCATGACATTGGAAATAAGTTAATGGCTATGACACATACAACACTACTGGACTACTGATTTTATCATTGAGACAAGAGTTGTCATATGATTCATTTAAATGAAAACCGTGAAAAAAAATTCAAAACGGCCTGCTCTGTATTTATAGATGGTGGCTATTGTAATGCAAGGTAGTCATGCATGAACTCACAATCTTTTGACTTTTAAGTATAACTTGCTTTGTGTCAAAACAACTTAGTTACTTGCTTACTCTTAGGTAAATTACCACTGAAGATGGTGTAGTTTAATCCTTTGCAGAAGGTGTGGCTTGTCTGCCAAAGGGTTTGTACCGATTTTTGATCCAAAATTCAACACTTTTTCCAGACTTTTTTCAAAACAATAACTTCTTTTTCCAGACTCAAATGACTCCTGGGTTCAAACTTTTCACAGACTCAAGGTTATCAAATAGCTGTTCAATAGAGACCTTACAAAACCGCAGGAACAAAGCTTTTCCATGACGTGCAGGCGAGATTTAATATGATTTGACCAACATTAAAAAAAATTTTACTTGTCAAGCACTTGTCATAGCTTTCAAAAATTCAAGACTCTGTATGAACCCTACTACTAGTATTTACAGATAGTTTTAATGAAACCAATCCACTTATATTTAAAAAAGGTGGGTGATACTATATGTCATAACCGAAATTATAACATTTCATGGAGATTGTTGCTTATTATTATTTATCATGAGGATACAAAACCACACAGGTGGTGAGAATGGGCTTAGAGACAGGGAAAGGAAACAGATAGTCATATATCAAGGCAGCTAAAGCAAAGCAGCAAGAAATAGTGCAGATAGCCAAGCGAATATCTGTAACTTTATGGTCCTCTATGTAGCCAAAGGCATCTGTCATCACCTGAAACATAAATATCAGGTAAATGCTTTTTGACTGGGTAACTATGCAAAGTCATTTCAATACAAGTCATTTTGATACAAACTCAAGCAGTGAAATTGCTTAAAAATTTGTTCACTTCAAGTCTAGTTTACACGTGAATATTTTTTATTCTTTAAGCCAAGTATGTGGAGCTATTTACACCTTGATTGAATAAACTTGTATCAAAAAACCACTCTTAACTGTTGATTGCCATTTAACTTACATGTACTAAAAACTTATTTATAACAGGGACTGAGGAATTGGAGGCTAGGGATTGGAGGCTCAGGTATAATAGTGAGAGGGCGGTAGGAATGATGCCCAATTTTCAGAAAAAAGCATGCTCAACAAAAGTTTTATATGAAGAGGCTCTGCTGTGAGATCCAACCCCTTACCCTTCTGTATATCACTTCTGACAAAAAACGTACCCCTTTTGAACAGCTTCCATTGACAAATGTTACCCCTTTCACATTCCTAGTTTAGAATCTTGCATCCCTTTTAACTGCTGTAAAAGCACTCTCTTTAAAATATGAATAGATCACAAAACCAGAACATTCTGTCAACTTTTTCAAAGCTATAAAGTGCATCTCTTAGCCCTTTTGGGCCTATTAACGACCAAAATGACAGATTTCCCTACACTTTCACATAGTTCAACTAATGAAATCCCCACCAATTCATATCGCTGAAGCCTGAAAAAGGTACCTCTTTGCATTGCGGTAGAACCTCCCTGTATAAGCCGTTATCAGGAGCCCATGGGCTCCGGCCATTTTAGAGAGTACCCCCCTGGGGAAAAAAGCTCCCTTTACACAAAACCAGACAAAGGAAAGACAAAAACCAAGAAAAGTTACTTCATCTCTGCAAAAGCCCCACATAATATTTGCATCCATGTTTTTTATTGAGTGTATCTCTATCGCAGAGGCTGAAGAAAGCTGCTTACCCCAGATAATTCCATAGCAGATGAATAAATATATTCAGATTAAGGCGGATGCTAGTTCCACCAAGGCATGGCTGGATATTGATCTTGACTTCGTCTTGGTCCATAAAAACTCAAAAAAGACTGACACCAATATCCAGCCATCTTGACTTCTTTTTTGCTTGTTGATACATATACACAATATTTTACACTAAAGGTGCATCTAGGAGTTAATGTATTAATTTTTTTGTATTTTCTTCTTTTTTGAGGACACAACAAGTAGTATGATAGCTACCTTTGGGTTTTCAAGCATTGTGAAAATTTTTAATATCATATTTCAATAAAAGATGGAGTCGATTGATGTTGATTTAAAATTGTTTTCATATAAGACAATGTTTCTTGCAGTCTATAAACGACAATTTATAATTAAGCTTTAATACATTTAATATTTTAGTATGAGGAAAGACACTAAATCACGAGATCAATGACCAAATGAATGAGTTATAATGGTTTTCAAAGAGTTAGATACATAACTCACCTTCTTGGCTGCATCATCAAGGGTATTCTTAACAGCATTGCAATCCCATTTATCAATTTTCACGGGATGGTCGGAACCCAAGGCCCACTACATAATCAAAAGATAATAGAGTAAACAACCAAAACATATCATTGATTACACTTTCCTTGAATAAAAATAGTCTAAGAACACCTCAAATCTATTTAAATTTTCTAACCTTATCGAAAATTCCCGATTTTGCGTTCTTTTTCTTTGAAGATGAAGCCGCCATTTTCTTTTTCAACGTACAGTCATCAATATGGTAGCCGAGGTAACCTGGGACGAGTATGTCAGCGGATATCCATTTAGAATTGTAATTCTTGCACCACCGACAAGGACTTATTTTTAAAAAGTTACAGATTTTGTTCTTGAGAAAAACCGTTTATAACAGAACAGTTTACCAAACCGTCAGAAAATGGTGAAAAAGAAAGGCCAGAAGAGTGCTCAGAGTAAGAAAAAATTAGATCTTGCTGCAGCTGTTGAGGCAGCCGAACAAGGAAATGAGGAAGATCTTTCACAGCTGAACTTGAATTCAGATGAGGGATCAGTGGCCACATCCGCGGATCAGACAGAAAATGGAAGCGAGAATGACGGCGAAACTGCTACAGGGAATGACGAAGGAGAAAGTGCCGTTCTTGTGAATTATAATCCTCCCGAAGAAAGTGTTGATAAGGGAGATACAGGTAAAGTATCTAAGAAAGAAAACTCTGACTTGTTCCACGTGACCACCAGTGACCGGCTTTTTATTTCGATTCAATATGTTTGCAATTATAAGTCATAATCCTTTCCTGCAAATATCAAACATCGAATCATATCCATGTAGTGTGTCACAATAAGGCAATTTATTTCAGTTTATTTTTGTCATATAAAGTTTTCTTGTGAACTTCTCCCCACCTACTCGCTAAATTTTTACTCTGTCATACCGACAAATTTAATCAAATCAACTAATTAATTACAGACCAACACAGCAAGTTTACGATGGTTATTCTTATTTGCTTTATTGTTTTAAATGGCACCCACTACATATATCATTGTGACATCAAAGGTGGCAGTGATTTTTACTGGTCACCTAGAGAGAGGTAACAAAGGCCCCTTTTGTAGTCCAATTGGTTTTAACAGAGCTTATGATCACTCTTCCTGGCTAAAATGGTGTTGGTCTTGAAACTTGCCCCAGCTCCTTTGTATAAAATGATCATTTGGAACTGAAATTCTCTTGTTGTTGTCTTTTTGTGATAAAAGGAGAATGGTGAACCCAATTTTTTCTTGGTGTTTTTCGACTCGTTGTGGCTGCACAAAATATATATATCTTAAGGTGAAAAAATCTACTTAGAAAAAATTGTATTATTTAGATATGAATGATGTTAAACTCTGCATTTGGAGCCACAGAGAAGTATGAGATAATGTTACATTGTCCATTTTTTTACGTGATTGCAGGGCTCAAAATTGTGACTGCTACAGTTGCCAGTGTGACTAATATTTTCTCTTTGGTGACTAAAACTTCTGGTTTAGTCGCCACTTTGGCGACCAGATTTTTCTATGATTTAGATTTGAGTTAAAAGAGTAAAGTTAAAGCAAACATTTCATCTTATCTTGCTTTGCTTTTGTCATAAAAAATGTGCCAAATCGCATAAACAAAGGAGTTTACCTCGAAATTTATACCGACTTCTGTCCACGATATTTTCAAACTATCAAATCTGATGGATCTGGCCATACTATGAGCTGCATCATTTACATTATACAAACTGGCGACTATATTTCTCCAGTTGGTCGCCAAAAGGCGACCTGAGGATTTTTTTAATTTCGAGCCCTGCATTGGGTCATTTTTTTTGTACTATGATGCCGCTAAACTTTGTCATACTAGCTATCTGCATGAGCTTATTGGGAAATTATTTTTGAATAGACGAAGCAGTAGATGTGCACAAACTAAGCAAGAAAGAGCAAAGAAGACTGAAGAAAAAGGTAAATATGGTGATATTTTCAAATCTAACGTTCCCATGTATGTATTGGATTGAGTTAGAGTCATTTCATCATCTTCAGTTAGTTCTAAGTTTTATGACCATTGAGTTAGTGGCTACATGTAGCCAGCTCACAGAAGAGCTAGTTATATGGTCAGAACCTCCTCTCTCAAATAACAGTGAAAAAAATAATTGGGACGCATTTATAGTCAGGGCTTTTACTTTCTCTTTGCAATGTGTGTACATTAGTACATGTTGGTGAGAAGTTGAACAGCTGGGAAGTTCTTTTGGTTCTGTTTTTCTCTTTTTTTCCTATGAAAGTGACTGGGGGTCACACTCCCTGTACATGTAGCCAGGGAAAGTCCCTAGCTCTTGGCCCTTGGTGACAGCCCTGAATAGGATAGAAAAGGGCGTTTTTCTAACCCCAGTTAGTAACATCTGTGAAGCAGTGCCAAGAACCTTGTCCTGGGCCCTCGACAGACTTAACAAATTGCCAGAAATGCATGTAAAATTTCCCTGCAACCTGATTGCATATAAGCAAAAGCTTTTTGAACAGTCCAATCATGGCACAAATTCAAATCCTGGTACACAGGTTGGGACCCAGAACTAGGATTTTGACGCTGTTTCGCTGACAGACTAAACCGGCAGTTTAATTCTGTCTGTGGCACAGGCTAACATGTAACTGTTGTAGCTTTCATGTAACTGGCCAATAAAAAAGAAGAAAAATTTGCAGCAAGTGATAATTTTTATTGTGTTCCCTTTTGTAGCAAAAATTTGAAATGGAAGCCCAAGAAGTTGCAGGATCTCAGTTCTCTGTTTCGCAGCAGGAGTCATCTGCAAAGGGTGCAGTTTTAGAAAATGCATTAGATATAAAGGTAAATGAACACTCACGTTAAATAATTGAATAATTTTTTATTATTAAAATGACTTCCTCGTATGATTTTTTTTGATGTTCCAAATTGAAGTAATTATTACTTCAAAATAATGTTACTGGTTTTTTTAAAATAGCTGTTGTGATGAATATGCAGGTATTTCTACATGTGACAAGGTTTTAAAAGTGAAGTTCATCATTATTCATTACTGTTTTGTAGGTTGAGAAATTCAGCATTTCTGCTCGTGGTAAAGATCTGTTTGTCAATGCAAATCTTAACATCACTGCTGGTCGCCGGTATGGCTTGGTTGGACCAAATGGGTGAGATACACACTGTTATGCAGGCCTGTGCCTCCAGTAGATGAAAGTAGTACTGATGATGTTAATATTAATAGTGGAGCACCATGGGAAACAAAATTTGATCATATTTATTCTATGCATGCAAGAAATTGTGGTTCTGAGAAAATCACCCACACTTACATCCATATGTATTTCCACTCCTTCATGTAAGCCGGGGTGTAGAGTGAGAGATAAAAAAAACAAGGGAGATGAATTTTGTTGGAAGAAAAACGTGAAAAGTTTATAGCAGCAGTGAGAAAATGAGAAATGCTAGTGGCCACCAAGGTGAAAATGAGCGGCAATGAAAAATGCAAACATGGAAGAACACATAAAAGATTTCCTCCTTGATAGAACATGTAACTAGGAAGTTTCATGTTGTAGTCATGCAAAACAACAACAGAGAAATGTACAAAAAAGTGTGCTGTATAAGCAAAGTTGTTTTTTTGCTAATTATGACCTACGGATTTTTTTGTCGTTCTCATTGCTGATCGCCATTTAGTGTTACTTGATTTTATTTTTTGTTTGAGTATAAGTATATTAACGAAAGCTTTGCTTTTAGCTAACCCTGGATAAATCTATATATTAACCTTTATTATAAGAGGTCTTTAATAGATGTCTTTTACCACCGCCTGGTTAGCTCAATTGGGAGAGCACTGGTCTGCTAAGCGGGAGGTCACGGGTTCGAATCCTGGCCGGACCAACACTCAGGGTCTTTAAATAACTGAGAAGAAAGTGCTGCCTTTGTAATGACATCTGCAAACGGTTAGACTTTCTAGTCTTCTTGGATAAGGACCAAAAACTGTAGGTCCCGTCTCACAGCAATTACACTTATCTGGTTCTTGTGGGACGTAAAAGAACCCACACCACTGTTCGAAAAGAGTAGGGCACATAGACCCCTGTGTTGTGGTCAACCTACACGCATCACATCATTCATATCATGGGCTGGGTGGGTACAGTAAGCTCATAAAATGGACTGAGAGCGGCTGCCAGTGGCGCCTTTGTGGGCTGACATCCGAACTTACTGTTGACATGTTAAAATATGTTGTAAGAGGGCACGTCTGCTGTCCTCTCATCCGCGACTCTTCATTCAGGCTGTGTATAAAAGTGGGACGGGGACAAGGGGACGGGGACATCGGGACGCGTGTGTGGGGACTTAGGACTTGCGGACGCGAGACGAGGGACTTGGGGACGTCAAGTATGGGACGCGGGGACGCGGGGACGCGGGGACGTCAAAAACTAGGACGCAGGGAACCCGGGATGTTAATGATTATTGCAAAAGTCGAAGGTAAATGCGATATCTCTTTCTTCGTGAAAATGTGTTATTTATGGTCAACATTAGATTGCATCTTCCAAAACCACATTGGACACCTTATGATGTTTACACAAAATATTTCTTTATAATAGAAGTATTAAAAGCCCACTGACTATCGTGATCAGGTTAAGGGTTGATTTCCACTGTCGCGTAATTTTTCCATGCCTACGTGCGTAAAATTTACGTTCGCACATAAAATAGAGGCAATGTCTGAAAGGCCGCACGTAAGCGTAAAAGTAGAATCTCGCTCAACTTCACGTTTAATCTCGACCATTTATATCTTGCCTATCTTATTTACGTGATTAAAATTTACTTGCGTTAATGTGCATAGCCAAAAACGCGTCGGTGGAAATCAACCTTTAAGTACTGTTAGCAAGCATTTACTGTTAGGTTTGCCACTAAAAATGTAGAACAAAATAAATATTGCTGCAATAGTTGAATCCCTCGTGGTTTAGTGGTACAGGCGATGGATTTCGGAGTTAGAACTTCGGGATTCGAAGCTCGCTAATGCCACTTAATTTTTATTTATTTGGAATCGAATGCTGTTATTCTACATAATTTTTGGCGACCGCAACCCACCCTACCCTACTGGCTCCAATATTCCATCAGCAAGAAGACTAGGACAACGGTTTCACTTTCTTCAATGCAGGGGGTCTTCGCGAGTCTTCTCTTCGTAAACAGGCATGGAGGAACCCTAAGGAGGGCAGGGTGGGTTTCCTTTCACCAAAACATATTCACGAGGAAAGTGACTGATATCGCATTTACCTGCGACTTTTGCTATAATCATTCACATTCCGCCTCCCCTGCGTCCCTGTATTTGACGTCCCCGCGTCCCCGTCCCACACGTCCCCGCGTCCCGTAGTTGATGTCCTCAAGTCCCTCGTCTCGCGTCCCCACGTCCCAAGTCCCCACACACGCGTCCCGATGTCCCTGTCCCCTTGTCCCCGTCCCACTTTTATACACAGCCCTTCATTCATTCTCGTCAAAGGCAGCTTTTTCTCTGGTGCCTTTGTGGGCTGACATCCGAACTTACTGTTGACATGTTAAAATATGTTGTAAGAGGGCACGTCTGCTGTCCTCTCATACGCAACTCTTCATTCATTCTCGTCAGAGGCAGCTTTTTCTCCTCCGTTATTCAAAGACCCTGAGTGATGGTCTGGCCAGGATTTGAACCAGCGGCCTCCTGCTCAGCAGACTGATACTTATTCAACTGAGTTAACCGAGTGGCTTAATTGTCACACAATTTTACTAAGTTCATGTAAAATAATTATATTGTTTTTAATTCTTCTCTAAACAGCATGGGAAAAACAACTCTTTTAACACATATTGCTGCCAGAAAGCTTGCCATTCCTCCAAACATTGATGTCTTACTTTGTGAGCAAGGTAAGTGAGTGAAGCTGCTCTTTTGTACCTTGTGGGAAAAAAATATAGAAAAACTGCATCATTCTGCATACCGGTATCTTGTATTTCCTTAGATGTGGAAGCTACTGAGGCACCTGCATTTGATGTGGTGTTGAAGGCTGACAAGAAGCGACTTGAATTACTGGAAGAGGTTTGTTACATTTTTATTATATTGTAGATTTATTTGATTGAACACCCAAGGTGCTTAGTAAATGTTTGGGCCTCGATAGAAGGTGCTTTTTCAAGGTGGGTGCTTATATTGTATTCGAGGTGTGGTGCTTACTAAATTTTCACCATTTTTAGCAAGTAGTAAGTTTATTTTGCAGCAAAACAACTAATAATAACAAAATGTGAAGATTATTCATTATAAGTGGAAATTATTTTAACTGCTTAAGTGCATGAACGTTTCTTTAAAATACTAAGAAATGTTGGTCTGCAAGAAAGTCTGTTTAATCTCAATAAATAGTTATAATAATCTTTTTTGGGGGGGGAAAAGTATGGATGGCAGTGGTGTTTATTCGAGGCTGCAATGATATGGGTGCTTATTAACTATACCTTAACCTACAGGGTGGGTGGTTATTCAAGGTTGGGCACTTAATCAAATAAATACTGTTTTATAATGAATTATTGTCATCATCATTGTCATCACTAAAATGATAAGCATGGCTGCACATGTACAGTTACATGTTGTCCTTTTGTCAGGCTCATACAAATTTTGTTAAAACCTGTGCTGTTTGTTAGGCAGATGAACTGCATTGAACACATCAAGACTGTGTTTTAAGTAGGCATCTCTAGGGATCTGTAATTTTTTTATTCATATCAACATTATTTTATTATGAAGTAACCATTTTTTAATTATGCTAGGAAGCACGGCTTGTTGCATTGAGTGAAAATGGAGATGAGGCTGCAACTGAAAAACTGAAAGAGGTAAAAGAAAGACAGTCTTCTAACCCTTTTAACCCCAAGATCAAAATTTGAATTCTCATTTGTTGCCCCTATTCATTTCCCACAGAAGTAGTGGGGAGAAGTTGATAAAATATCAAGCAAATTCATCTTGTGTGATCATGTCATAATTGTCATGACCACTCTGTTTTACAAAGCATTGATATTACAAGGAGAAATTTGATGCTGATCACTCTTAAGGCTTAAAGGGTTAAGTGTCATACTCACTATGTTTCAACTGTTTGAATTGCATATGAGGGGTGGCGAAGGGTACCTCGAAAAATGTGGTTCTCGGAAAATTTTGGCAGGATCTCGAAATCTCGGAAGCGTTTTTGATAAGTCTCGAAGTCTCGTTTTTGCATGGTTTGTTTTTACTTTTTTTGAGTCTCGAAACTCTTTAACAAAGAGTCTCGGGCTTGGATTTCTAACTAGGATCTCTTCGTCTCGGCAAGTCTCGGATTTTCCATTTGCCACCCCTCATATGTTACAGGTCAAATTTGATTTTGGGTTAGAATATTTTAACCTAGGTTGATTCTCATTCCCTTTGTTTTCTAGGGCTAGGATACAAAGGTAATTGGGAAACAGCCTAGGTTAAATCAAAATTAACCTGAAATCAAATTTGACTCGTAACACATACGAAAATGAGAGCTGCTTGATAATTTTTTTTATGTTATACTTTTTGATTAGGTGTATGCTGATTTAGAGGCTATTGGTGCTGCTTCTGCTGAGTCTCGTGTCCGCAGAATCTTGGCTGTAAGTCACAGATAACTTATTCAGTCAACAATTTGTTTTTTATTCAATGTGTTAATTTTTGTTATGTTTAAAACACGAACAGCAGTGATTGATACATGGTCCCCCAAGGATTTCATGTCAATAGGATTGCTACTTAATGCATTTTTCTTTTTAAAACGTGTTGATTGAAAAAAGTCAAACAAAAGCAGCAAAAATAACAAATGTTTATGCAAATGCATTGTAAGTATAAAGGTACTAAACCCTGGAAGTGACCACTGGCCCTAATATCTAATGGCGAAAATGAAGTTCAGATTAACAAAAAATGGTTTCAACCTAGGTTTATTCTCAAATTCCTTGAGAAAGAGAAAAAACATCTTAACTGAACTTCATTTTCACCTACAATGTCACTCTCAAGGTTAGTACTTTACTTGGAGTCAAGCTCTGTTGTGTTGGCTCCCCTACCATGTCAGTGTAAAAGTGCTCTAAAGTCTAAAGGTTAATCCTATTTTGATCATTACTTTGGTCTGGTAAAAAAAAAGGTAAATTCAGTTTTATTTTCCAAAGTGGAATGAAGGAAAAGTAAGGATATGAAAGTTAATATATAAGTCCTTAATGATTTAAAATTGCTGCCACCTAAGCCTGAAGCAAGCGAGCAAGGCAGCAGACCTAATCTGGATAGGGACCAATTTTTTTTATTTCTAACCACAATGCTATGGATTCTTACCATAATTCCTTGCACACCCATTACCTTTAAATAGCAAACTCTGCTGGCATTTTCGATTGTATGAAGTTGGTTGTAGATTGTTCCCAGTCCCCTGTTTTTCCATAAGATTGTAGAGGTCGAGTGCTTTTCCTCCTTCCCCCTCAGTAAGTATGAAACCATGATAGCCACGCGTACCAGTAAGCGCTCTATCCTGATGATCTTACAAAAAAATAGGGGACTGTGAACAGTCTAGAAGTTCATTGAGGTTATTCGAAATCCTTGATTTAATGTGTCTTTGTGATGAATTCCTCTTTTACGTTATGTTGTCATTAATCGTTTTGACGGTCTTTAAAGCCACTTGTGGTAAGAGCCTATCCGCACTTAAGGGAAAAAGTTGTTATTTAGACAAATTTTCTGTCATCACCAATGCATAACAAATGTGGATGTATTTTCCATTAAAAATAAATTAAATTTAAGCCTTTTATTTTTCCCGAAAATATACAAATTTTAGACAAATTTTCTGTCATCACCAATGCATAACAAATGTGGATGGTTTACCGCAAATATACAAATTTTGGCCTAGACAGGACAATCGTCAAAGGCACCGTGGACAAAATTTGTTCCAAGTAAAAACTGTGCAAAATCGACTAAATTATATGAAAATGTGTTTTTCTTGTCAATCATTAAAATTATTGTCTTAAAGCTAATAATTTTTCAATTAACAAAATAATGATACAGCAATAAGACAAATATCCCTTGTGAAAACTCTTGTTCTGAAAACATTCCCAGACAGTCTTTGGAACTTAAATCCAAACTTAAGCTTTGCTTGCGACCAGGGTGAAGCCCACCTCTCAAGGTAGAGTGTCCTTGGTTATGAAGAAGATGATCATGACCTTGTGCCTTTTGGAAGATCAGTGCAGTGTGATGGAATGCGTGGAATAAATCATTGATTGTGACATCACAAAATGAAAGAGGGATAATAATAATTGTGCATGCCTCGAATCTGACATCCACTGTAAAATCGAGAAGTAATAATATTGTCTAGTATGTCTTGTTAGAATACACGATTTTCAATAAAATTGTTTCATTTACACCAAGGCTGCACTCTTTTACCTGTTAGGTACACCAGTAAAATAATAAAACACTCTTTTTAGCTTTTTCCTCATTCAGTGATATTCTTATTTATCTTTATTTGTCTAATTTATTTCCAGGGTCTTGGATTTACAAAGGAGATGCAACAGAGGCCGGTTCATCATTTTTCAGGAGGCTGGAGAATGCGTGTCTCTCTTGCAAGGTGTTAAACTGTTGTCATTCAACGCTCTATATTGAAGAGGGTCATGAGGAAATAGACCCTCTAGAGTGACTTTTGTTCTTATGATGTCAAATTGTCCCTTCTTTCATGAGAAAACACAATGCAATTTTGAGGGAAGATCTAAATTTTTATCAAAAATTTACTAGTGGCCAATTTTCTGGGCAATTCAATTTGGCAGTTACTGACAGAATAAAATATAGAAATGCCATATTTCAGCAGAAACCTGTCTCTAAGATCAGTTTATTTCTATAGAGGATATCTTAAATAATATTTATGATCATCATATTTTTTACTTTTAACTCACTTGCCTTATATTCTTCCAGAGCTCTGTTTATGGAACCAACTCTTCTTATGTTGGATGAACCCACTAACCATCTGGACTTAAATGCTGTTATCTGGCTAGACAAGTGAGTTCTTTCATTGGTATTGATGGACTGAAGTTACCTAAGGTGTTTACACTCTTTTAGATTAATATAGAAATGACATCTTTAGATTAATATAGAAAAATGACATCAAATTGTTCACAACTTACAAAGTCTAAATCTTACCTGGTTCCTAATCTTGGAAGCCAAATTTAGAAGGATTTGTATGGAAGGTAAAATCAGGTTAAACTAGCATCTTTTCACAAATTTCATTTTTGTCTCCTATAAATAATTAGTGGGCTGTAGGTAAAAAGGTTAAAAGAACAGCTATAAATAATTAGGGCTAGGAAAGGAAGAACTTTCTAAATGAAAATAGGTTGAATACTTGTTTAACCTGAGGATGGATAACTACAACGGAACCCCTCACCTGCTGCTGGTAGTTTCACTGCGAAGTTTTAAACAGTTTGAGGTCATTTCTGGAGTTGTGGTTGATTGGGGTTTTTAATTGACATTGAAAGGTTTTGAACATGCATTTCCCACTATGTTTATCCAAAAATCTTTCGAGCAAGAAAAAGGATTCCGAAAAAAATTGTGCGGCCATTACTTCAATTCCATCATCTACAGTGTACATGTATACTTTCATATACAATAGCCCCTGTTTCTAGTTAATCATTATATTGTGCGATTCTGCACGGGGCGTTTGAGGAGCTGCTCTGATCGTAACCATTGTGCTTGTGAGAAATCACTCAGTGATTGTCAAAGTAGATTTTTTTGTGGTCAAATTCTTTTAACTTTGATAATATTGTTGATTGAATTTCAACTGAAAGCAAAATTTGAACCACAACATAAATTACAGACTGTATACTAGTAATTAGTGAAATCCAACTAGTGGTCTATTATCAATGCTGCATTCTGATTGGTTGAGCTACTACTAGGCTATATGTTATAGCCCACTAGCAGCGAAAAGCGCCGGTTTTTGGGCGGCAAAAAAGGATTAAAGTCTAGCTTTAACTAGCTAAAAAGTAAATTTTTGAACTAGTTGGATTTTACTAAAACAATTATTCCTCTTACAGACTTTATACTGGCCTAAATTGACCCTAATTGTTAATGGTCCCTTTATGGTCCGTGATATATAACTTGTGTTTGGCATGTACTAGTTTTGTGTTGCATTTCTTGGTGGAAAAGATGAATGTATTAGAGATTCAAAAGCTCTCCTTGTAAAAAATCTGGATTCAGAAGCAAACAAATAGACGTATTGTATTATAAATTGGAGAATTGACTGTTTTTATATTTATTACGCTATTAATTTTATTTTCAGCTACCTTCAAAACTGGAAAAAGACACTGCTAGTGGTATCTCACGATCAGTACTTTTTGGATAGTGTTTGCACAGATATCATTCATCTAGGTATGAAAACCAAAATGTTACAGTGTATATGTTGTAGTTAATTTTTTATCTCAGGTATTAATTTTTTATTTTTCCCTCGCTTCAACTTCATTAGCATACAGTAACATACCGAAAAACAGAAGAAAAACAAAAACTACCTGACATAAAAAATTAACTACAACATTTATACAAGAAAACTCTGCTTTACAGTGCAACAGGGAGTGTACAATAATCATGCACTGAAGTAGTTAGTTTCAATAACTTTTAAAGAAGATGTTAGGGCAAGTTATTAGAAGTAGATGGTGGCTTAAGTTAGTTCTCATTAGTATTCAAATGAAGAACAATATATAGTCGTACTGGTTTGAGTTCCCAGGTTTGGTATTTGTAGTATTTACAGTAATATTAAATGTTTTATCTACATGTACTGGGCCCATGTAGTGATGTTTTCTAATGTGTGATTTACCATTGTTTGTTTTGGGTGTAATCTGCACTAAATTCATGTCCACTTTCCTTAATAGATCAACAGAAACTTTACTACTACAGGGGAAATTATGGTAAGTATGGTCCATCAATCTGATTACTGGTATTAATAATGTAAATTAGGATATTTTATTTCAAAAAATTAATAAGTTCAAGTGAGCACAGGTTTTACTACTTGAAAAGCTGGAAGTGGAGTTAATGATCTTTAAATATGCCAATTTCGATGTGTTGAAATTCATACTTGGCTCTAAGGCTTAGGAAAATAATAGAAAATATATAATGGAAATTGGGCTTGTTCTCCCAAAGAAAACACTGCAGGGAAATTATTACTTGTGTTCATTGCTTATGGTCAAAAAGGAGTTGAAAATTTGTTAAGAAACTGAGAATTATTGAAGGTTTTTTTCCATACATCCCAATTTTTTTCTCTACATTGTTTTAGAGCAATTCAAGAAGATGCATGTACAAAAGGTTAAAGAACAAGAGAAGGCTTATAATAAACAGGTACGTGTTTACCATAGCTTTATTTATTTATCTTTAATTAACCATTCTAATTCGTCACTGACTACTGTACTGACAAGACAAGACAAGACAATGTTTTATTTGGAGTCTTATACAGTCCTATGTATATCGACTTTATCCAAATAATTTAAAATCATAACAGAAATTGCACACTAGTGGAACTATAATCAATGTTAACCTAAACAACTAATGATCTTCTTTTCTCATAGCAGTCGAATACGTATTTTGCAATTAACTTTCACACTGGTTTGTTCTTGCTCGGAGGGTTTATTAACAACAGAAAAACATCATCTGGTGCCATTCTGTCTACTGATATTCTGTATTCGTTGTTTAAATATTCAAATACTGTATTAGCCCCTGCATGGAAGGGGGGTGGGGGTTGAGGGGTACTTCTGGGAATTCTTGGTGTGGGTGTGCCATCCAGTTATCCAAATCCTGACCCTATTTCAGAGCAAAGGATGTCATTTTCCACATCCGTTTTCAGATCTGGGCTATGTTGTTCAAAGCGTGGTTAAGATGACCCAGGGGTAGTCAATGCCAAATTTGAATTCAGATATAAAAGCTTAAAAAGCAAATTCAGTTTAATTCCTTTGGTCTGTATTTTGGTGATTAGATGCTCTAAAAAAGAATGGGGGAAATTATCCGAGAAAAGACTTTTAAACGAAAGAAAAAGAAACCCGGGGTAAAATTTAACCCGGTGCTAGCGCTAATCGGCGTTCGAAAAACTGGGCCCTGGCGTTTTCAGACCTGGCCTCTAAGAAATTATGTCATCATTACTCAGATTAGAACGCAAATAAAAAGCTTTCTTAAAATGCGTTTCAAATTCACATATTCATTTGGAATTGAAACATACACTCCCATAGTTCTCTCGAAAACCATACCCGATTTCAGACCAAAATGGGCAAAGTCTATACCCGTTTTCAGACCAAAACGGGGCAAAAACCCTACCCTTTGGGGTGGCACATACCTATATGGCTTTTATAAGGGGTACTCCTCAGCTAGCTCCTGCTATTTCAGGATGTAAATGAACTTCATGTATGTATCCTGTATCACTCGATTTAACAGAACCGAATTTTTGTCTTAGATGTTCTTCATTATAATCCTCTATTATTTGTGCTCTAGAAATCGCTGTAACTACGTCATTTTAAGCCGGTATACTTTAGTTTAGAGGGTGTCAGTTGTTGTTAATAAATAAATTGAACACGTGTCAATGCTTGGACTGAAATTCACTTGTTAATAAGGCACTTAATGTAGAGCGTATATTGTTTTTGTTTGTTCCTCGCGAGTTTTGACTTGAGCATCAGTTGTGATTTTACGGCAAAAGGCAAACCGGTTCTAATGTTGACCAAGTTTTCCTATCGTTTACAAGTCTGAACATCTTGTCGAGAATAAGTAGTTTATCCATAAGAATAACTTTGCACAGTTTTCATCTGTTAATTTCCTACTATTAGAGATTGTCATCTTCAATTTGACGTTTGCCGTTAGTGGTTTATTGGTTAGCCAATTGCGTGACAGTGAATTAGTAGTTCAGTGTTGGATGCGAGGGACTGGATCAAGTTGTTCATCGCGGCAATATTTTCTCGAAGTATTATTTGACTTATTTTAAAGCTATTGAATCGCGCTATGTCTGAGTTGGAAGAACTGGTCCGCTTGTTGTTCCACGGTTTTCCAGTTTATAGGGATTACGTTAAATCTGTGAGGAAGAGCTATGAATTTCTTGAGAAGTATCACTCGAACGATGAGCTGAGGTATGTCATAACAGGAAGCTTCCGGGAAGGATTTCCCGACATATTATTCAGCGATAGCGACTGGATAGTGCTTCTAAACCCGTCAGCCGAGATCTTGACTGTCGAAACTCAAAGTAAAGTTATTCAGTCGGTTGCGGAAGCGCCAGCCCACGTAAAGCTTATAATTCCGCCGGGTGATAGGGAGTACTTTGAAGAGAAGTACCCTACGATTTCAACCTTCCTTGGCCTCTTGAAAACGGACGAAGATATCTGCTTTGTCTCGGCTGAGGAGGCAAGAAAACTTCACGAGAGGGATTTTCTTCCTGAGTTTATGGCCAAGCAAAAGCCGAGTGCACAGTATACCACTCCATCGACGGGTGTCGAGGAAAAAATCTCGGTTGCCTACACCTTTCGTTCACCCCATAAAAGGACAGGAACGCATGGTAGATTCGTCGAGACAGACCGCGTGCCAGCGATCGAGTTCATGGGATGGCCGAATGAAGCTAACGAATGGAAAATCAGAAAGCCAAGAAACTGGCCTAGTGCTGATGTAGTGAAGAATATTTCCACCGACCGCTTCATGATTGTACCAAAACCTTCCGATCTTTCCGGAGATACAAAGAAAGAGTGGCGAATTTCGTTTTCCATCCCGGAGGCGAAACTTTTCGAGTGCTTCAACGAAGACCAAGCTAAGGTTTACTTTTTACTACGTTCATTGTATGCGAGGCATTTGAAAGAAAAGCTAGGAGGAATATTGTCCTCGTATCATATTAAAACAGTGATGTTTTGGACGCTCGAGGAAGAGGAACCCAGTGCATGGTCTGAAAAAAGTACACTGGAACTATTCTTCCGGGTCCTCAAGAAGCTCCTTGGATTTCTGAAGGATGGTTCCTGCCCTCATTACTTCATTCGTAATCATAATTTGTGTTACAAAACATCAAAGAAAGAACTTGAAAATGCTGCAAGTGAAATTAGTTGTTTTTTGCATGATCCTTTGGCTATTTTTGAAGAGCTTGTTAATCCAAATTTTCTTGGGTTAGTACCGCGTCTCGCTGTTTTATCTATGCAAGTGAAAGGAAAACTGGAGAAGAAAATTTTGAGGTTGCCAACATCTGAAGCATACGCATCCTTCTCCGACCCTGAAGCACACAGAGACCTAGAGTTGAAGTGTTTGTCTGAAACCTTGGAAGAGACTGCCACCTCTATTAGAGCATTTCCTTATGGAGTTGCCTTGATCGAGGTCTTCCTTGAGGCTCTCTTGCAAGGGCACCACTTTGCTTTCACTGCAGGGAAAAGTGAAGCTGACCTTGCCAAGATTAAATCGAGTTCAGTGCAGGAAGATTTCTTGGTGATGGACACATCACAGATGAATCAGTCCTTGTTGGTTTGGATGGTACTGGGAAAAATTGCTGTTGACTTTATGACGCAAGGAACAAGCGACAAGTTGTATCATTTCTTTTTTAAGATCTATGCATTGTTTAGACACCAGGATGGTCTTTTAACTGATGAGAACAAGCAAACAATGGACATTCTTCAAACTCTTTGTTGTGTAACAGGGGCATTTTTAGCCACAGTTGATTTCACTGCCGACAAAATTTCCTATCAACAGCTACATGCACTGCTTTGTGAAATTCTTCCTCTGGATGAGGCTAGTGCGCAGCCGCCATGTAACATCACTTTTGTTGTCTTTATTCTTGGCAGTGCAACTTGTAAGATGGGAAAATCTTTCTTAGAGTAGCAACCTAAATGTCAGTTCTCCTTTCTTTATTGCTAAATAATTTATAGGTGGTTTTCACGTTACGTCATCGCCGCCATGCTGGTGGACGGTAAAAAAAAGATCGCTCATTAGCTCGCTTTGTTTGTCCACCAGCATTTGTTCATTTCACCATTGTTATTTGTGTCTCCCGAAATTGCATGAAAACCACCTATTGTGTATTATTCATTTACCATTGTGTGCCAAGGAAATGAATATTTTGCTCTGACAGCTTTTAACACCAGGATATTTTAAGTGTTGTAAGAGTTTAATACCAGTACTTTATATGTTTTAAGGGTACCTACAACACTGGGCTCTGCCTTACTTCGCTCTTTTTTTATTATTTGGGGAGTGGAGACAACATTCATGTGTTACAGTACGTCAGTTCTAATTAAACCTACATGGCGCCTACATCAATCACTGGAAGTGTATTTTGCCTCCACTACTCAAGCGGTACACACAAGACAACAATGTTCATATATCGGCGCGTGGGCCAGCCAAGCCACTGTGCCGTTTATTCAACATATATGCAGATATGTACAAATATCAAGTAATATCTATAAACGAAAGAACAGAAGCACCAAAGCCGGACACGAAAACCCCAAAAAACCAGCAGGTGGAAAAAACACGGGGAACGTGTGCCCCCGACCAAGGCAGTGGTGCAACCCTTGGGGTTTTAGGGTATACTAGTGCCTAAACTATAAACATCAATAAACACACGAATAAAATAAAAGAGAGAAATGCAACCTAACACGGTGAAGGCTGACCGTAGAATGCCTCACCTTCCTAACGACCACGAATTAAAAACTCGAATCCCATGACTCACTGCACACTAACACCCTCCCCAGACCTCTGATACGTGCCGGCAAAATAGCAATTTATGATAATGCGGTGTAATCACAAATTACATTTTTCGTTGGCCCTACTAAAAATAACTTCAGAAAGCAAAAATTAAGTTACACTAGTGAGTGGAAAGAAAGCTGAAATGAATATTTAGAAAACATCCAGGGCTGTGCTGTAGCAGCGCCCGGTGACCCATGGCATCTTAACTTGCTCTTGGGCACCTTGTATTTCACAATTTTTGCACTGGGTTCCCTTTATTTTTTCTTAGAGCACAGCCATGGATTTGATACAAGGTGGCAGAAATGTGGAGGTGCATGAAAACCATGTACTATTTTTCAAATGCTGACAAAATGTTCATTACAGCCGTCTTTGCAAGTTTTTAATTTCATCAAAAATAGCATTAAACGACACTTAAAAACTGAAAAAAGGGTAAACTGTAAAGGCTAGTTTTTAAATATTAAAAGATGTGGGCAAATACTACTTATTGTATGTTCTTTATTGTCTCTGAACCAGTATATGATAGGAGCAAAAACGTGAAACCAGTGGTTAGAGAAAGATCCTAAGCCTGAAATTTTTTTCAGGGTTCTTTTTCCACCGCTTAGGTTGTTAATTCTACTGCGAAGATAATGTTCACTTTCTTGCCTTTATCCGGAGTTCAAAATAAGATTATTTTCATGTCATTTCCACAATGGCCTGCTCTCCAGTTGGCTTGATTAGCTCAAGGGATAAAGCGTTGCGTCCGGTTATCGCAAAGGTCATGTTTCGATTCCCATTCAAGCCTGAATTTTTCAGGTTCTTTTCCAACCGCTTAAGTTGTTGATTTTACCGTGGAGGTCATGTTCACTTTCAGATAACAATGAATTTCGGGCAAGAAGACTTTTTGGCGACTTGACTACTAGTTACCGAAGTAGTAATACTCCTGGGCCCAGTTGCTCGAAGGCCGATTAGCGCTTAACCCGGGTTTCCTTTTTCTTATGTTCAAAAGTATTTTCTCGGTTAATTTTCTCTGTTATTTTTAGAGTTTCCAATCATCAACTTGTAGAGAAAAAGATATATAACTGAAATGCTTTTTATAAAAAAGCCTCCAAATAAGAATCCAAATCTTGCACTAACCCTGGGTCTGATCCCCAGCTTTGAACAACTCGGCCCTGGGTGCTTCTTACTACAGGAACCGGGTTAAACGCAATATGTGCCCACCAGTTAACCTTTTTTCGTCCCTAGCGTTGATACCTACACACATTTTTACAATACCCTTGTTAGTAATATCTTATCATCGGATGAAATCCAGTACATTTAAAATGAAGCCGGCGGTAATGACTAGTAGGCAATCCAAGTGCCGTGTCAGTTTTTGGTGCATTCGTTATATTAGACCAACTGAGTGTCATTTCGAGGTTGTTATTTCCTCTGTCGTTCCTTTGAGATCTTAGAATAGCAATTTTTGCCTCAAGTATTTGTTGTCCTATTTCTTTCAGCAAAAGCAACTTAAAGATCTCAAAGCATCTGGGTCATCCAAGAAGCAAGCGGTAAGAAATGACTTTTGTCCTGCGTTTATAATGTAGTAGAATTCTAGAGTAAACTTACTGACTTGAATGGTTTTGGTGAAAGATGTTTTTCTTCAGTCAGTGACACAGTGGCTCGGAAGAACAAATCCTAGTCTGACTCCCAATAGAGGCCAAACCTATGACCTTATGGTGACTTGTCCAGATGCTCTACCACTAAAGGCTGGTTTTCATTAGCGACGGAGTCGGAGTCGTAAGCGGAGTTGTAAGAGTGCTTATGACCTAGTGAAAATCGAAAAGGGTGATCAGAGTCGTAAGCTGGCGGAGTCATAATGGCTACGGAATCGGAGTCAGAAGAATCAGAACGTTTCCATTTCTTCCGACTCCGCTTACGATGTCGACTCTTACGTTCCGCCTATGATCTACTGAAAACCATACTGTCGGTGTCGGAAGCAGAAGCGGAAGGATAAACCAATCACAATTCACGTTCCCACGCTTTGTGATTGGTTTAGTTCTTCCGCTTCTGCCTCTGACTCCAACAATCTGCTTTTCACTAGATCATGAGCGGAACGTAAGCGACGGATTCGTAGGAAAAGGAATCGGAATGCTGTTTTCACTAGACCATAAGCTCTTGGCTTCTGATTACGACTCTGAATCCGACTCCCTTGGTAGTAAAAACCAGCCTTAAGCTACAGGAGACTGGTGGGAGCTATGTCCAATAAACTAGGTTCATGTGACAGACCAACATCCTGCTGATAGCATGTCAACAAGGCAGTTTAACCATTTAAGCCCTAAGAGTGATCAGCATCAAATTTCTCCTTGTAATATCAATGCTTTGTAAAACAGAGTGGTCATGAAAATTATTGACATGATCATAAAAGATGAATTTGCTTGATATTTTATCAACTTCTCCCCACTACTTCTGTAGGAAATGAATAGAGGCAACAAATGAGAATTCAAAGTTTGATCTTAGGGTTTAAAGGGTTAACTTCCATATAGCTCTTACTTCCTGTGCTTTTCGGTATCAGTCAACGAACCAAAATAAGTAAAGAAGAAAAAGCTGTTGAACTGCTAAACACCTCAAGAGCCCTACCCCATTCGTCATTTTGAAGCGATGTGATTGCTACTGGGTCGTTTTCGTGTTCAATTTCACTATGGGAGTGTTTTGGGGCACGAGTTTTTACCCAGTTTCCCGTGCAGCGTCGTAACAGTCAGTCAAAGAAGCCATAGCATGACAGTCCCATATTGCAATTCGCCCTAACATTGACCTTATGCACAACTCCAAAGTGGTCAATCCAGCGGTACCCCTTCTAGGCGTATGCATTTAGCTTAAATATGTGTCTCCCGGATGTTTTCCCTCTAAGGTAATGTTAATGTTAAAAGTAATTCTTTCTAAAAGACATTTTACATGTTTTTTTTTTAGTAGACTGTTCACAGTCCCCTAATTTTTACGTTAGATCGTCGAGATCGAGCGCTTACCGTAACCTGCAGCCATTTTGTAATTGTTTTTAAATGTACCGAGGGGGCGGGCGTCGGGGTTTTGAGTCATCTTCACGCCACACTCGGTCAAGAATGCTGCCTGTATCGCTCGATTTCGACGATCGTACGGAAAAATAGGGGACTGTAAACAGTCTAATTTTTTGGATCTTGTCTATGTTTTAACAAAATCATGTAACCTGAGATCAGGTCCAACTTTAACAGCTTTCATACATTCTCTTCATTCTCTGGTCGCGCTATTATTGGGCACTCTGCCTTACCCGCCGGAAATTTATTTACCAGTCGAGGCGAACTGATAGATCCTGATCTCAAGTTAAACAAAATGTGGCAGTTGGTAAATTTGACCTGCTAAAAACACCACTTTCCTTTTATCATGTCTTGCAAAAATGCACCGCTGATACCCTTGGATGCTTTTAGGATTTCGAAGATTTTTACGTAGTTAAGGCTAAGAAGAAATTTTATGAATGTCTGCAACAATTACCCTAAAAGTGGCGGAGGCGTTCATTGAAATCTTGGGTTATCTTCTTGTACTGTTTTTTCTGCTAGCTTGCAGAGTAGGCGTTGTTTTAACAAAAGCTCAGAGTTACACTGATTGCCAGCCTCTCCCTTTTTGACTCGCCCAAATTCACTGTCAGTTTCAACGCCCAAGAAACTTCTTTTAAAACTTCTTTTTAAAGGAGGAAAAAACGAAGGCTGTTCAAGGAAGGAAAAACAAAAAAGGAGGGAAGAAAGGAGACATGGATGAGGTAGAGAGGTTTATCTCAGCTAAGTTAGTTAGACTAAAGGCTACGATGTCTGTGTAGAGAAATTATCAGTAAAATCCATCGTAGATTTGGCACGTCGCACAAGGAAAACCTTCCATGTGATTGTCTTATGAAAATACGGACGTAAAAAACTTGTGGTAAGTGATTCAACCTCATTCTGGTGTTTGAGCCAATAACAAGCTAGTCTGTAGTACACAGCCGTTTTTAGTGTCGTCACGCACGTTACGTGACGACACTAAAAACGGCTGTGTAGCAGACTGATAACAAGCCCCTGACCCCTAATTCCAATGGGCATTTGCAGCTCGTAGTCACGTGACCTGTTTAATATGGGATACAGCGTAAACAATATCAGATGGAAAGAGCAAAGAAAAATGAGCCATAGAATGCCAATTTTGAGGTGATCGACACAGAAGACTGGTCTGGAAAATCCAGCTTACAAATAGATCGAAAATTTGTGTCGATTTTAATCGATATTCACCTTGTAATTCGTTTAACCGCGAATATGTTGATAAACCACTTGTTATAACTTGAACAGATTTTTTTTTCTCACAGGTAAATTATTTAAAGATCAAAAAAGCTAAAAGACATTACTTCCTGCAGTCTTTCAGTTATTCTCAATTTACTCTGTCATGGATTTGAAATTGTTTTGTGTTTTTAGGATGATCTTGAACCTGTGGAGCTTATTAAGAAACCCAAAGAGTACGTAGTGAAGTTCTCATTTCCGCTTCCGCCACCGCTCAATCCACCTATCTTGGGTTTAAAATGTAAGTCATGTTAAATTCACGCATTCTTTATAACTTGTTGTTTCTGACCTTGAAGCAAGTGTTGTTTGAAAGTGGTAGAGACGGAATCCACCAAGAAGTTGAGTAATTTTAATTTTCAGTGGACAAAAACCTTCTTTACAATCTTTTTTTACATTTTTCAAGGACGATAGATGTAATTAGTTATCTGTAATAACACCAAAGTAAATTTCTTATGGGAGCCAGAGAAAATAAAAGTCAAATTTCACAGGAATTGTGAAAAAACATATGAAATTTTGAAAATTTCATGTGTAAGATGTCATTTTTGAAATTTGACATTTATTTTCTCGGGCTCTAGTAAGAATTTTTCTTTGGTGTTATTACAGATAACCAATGACATCTTTAGTCTTGAAAAATGAAAAAAGGAATGCAGTATGCTTTAAATTATTCTGGTGCAAGGTTTTTGTCCACTGAAAATTAATTTACTCAGTTTCCTGATGGATTACGTCCTTAAACATTTGTTCAACTGTTGTAGTGTCAATAAAACCAGTGTTTTGAGTAGGTTGTATAAGTTAGAGGCATAAATCAAAATGTCTGACGTTCAGCCTAGTCAAACTCTTTGCTTTACAACTACAACCCTGGTCAAAACTCTTGGGGCAATAACGCAATAGCTCGTCAAAAGGACGCATTTTCCCTCCCCCCTCCCCCTGGTGCAGTGTTGACGTTATACATCGAAGTCTTTTTCTCTTTATCAACATTGCTTGGGTGTGAGGGGACAACACAAATAGACGGCTCTTACAACAATTTCCCAAGCTTTTTTATCGGATAGAATTCGAGTTAATTTAGAGAAGTACTGACTTGTTTCTGTTTTATTGTATACCAACAGCCGTCGAATTTGGATATCCTAACCAACCAAAGCTATTCAACAATCTGGATTTTGGAATCGACATGAAGTCTAGAAGTAAGAAATCCCTGTCTTTTATGACATCGTGCGAAGAGGATGCGGGTATTAATTCGAGCCTAATAGATCGTAATTAATTGGGCCAGTAGGAAAACACGTAGACAAAACAACAAGCTGATAAATAAAATATTATTCAAGCAATAGACCACACTTTCTATGAGTTTACCGGCGTGATAACCCAGGCGGGATGTTGGGAGAACACGAGAAAAGCTTGTAAATCAGGAGCCGAAGGCAAGTGATTTACAAGCTTTTCAAGCTTTTACGAAAGTCTGCAAGGCGTCAATTAACCGTTTTATTATATCCATTTTGAAATCACTGGTGACCCCTACAATCTGATTTGCTCTCAGCAATGTGATTTATTCAAGAATCACACTATTTTTTGCTCTAAATCGCATCATTCATGTTCTAAATCGCATCATTTCTGTTTTTGATTGCACCGTTTTCACTCTATATCGAATCATTTCTTTACAGTTGCTGTGGTAGGTAACAATGGAGTGGGCAAAAGTACATTCTTGAAGCTTTTAATTGGTCAGCTTGAACCGGTGAGTGACTCAGTATAACCAAACGAGTGAAGACTAAGTTAATTGCATTGCTTTCAGAGCTGTATCTCGGTTTCGTTTTTCTCTGTGGGCAGATTTCGCAAAAACGAAGCGACGTCAAATGAGAACTGCGAAAGCGCTGGGAAGGGACTGAACACGTCATTCGTTGTTCACTTTTCCGCTCTAATAATAACAATAATAATAATAATAATAATAATAATAATAATAGTAATCTTGTAAAAACCTATACACAAAAGAAAAAAAAACTGCAGTAGGGTAATTATAGTTCCTCGCCATATATATACATGAAATTCTTAAACTAAAAGCATAGGAGTTAGTTGAAAAATATATATATATATAAATTCATTGTAAAACATGTGCATGACAAAACCATCCATTATGCCTATCAGCCTCTATCAACCTCTAAATAGTAATAATAGTAACATTAAAAAGAAAGAAAAATTTTTAATAATAATAATAATGATAATAATTTATTATTTGTATTGCGCAAATTCCACTGATGTTTATATGATCAAATGTGCATCTGCCATTGTTAAAGTCCCAAGAGTGATTAATATCAATTTTCTCCCAACAATATTTGTACAAAATCAAGCAGAAGGGTTACTAGAATTAACAAAATGATCACCAAAGTGTCTTTGTCTTTGTTAAATCTGCCTAGGGTCTTACACGCCAAACCTTGAATAGACTTATGTTAAATGAATGATCTTCAAATTAAGGCGGCGGATCGCCCTCAAAAATCTGAAACGGGAAACTTGTTCAACTCCCGCTGTTTTTGTTTGTTTGTTTTTTCTTCTAGCTTAAAGGTGACTCGGTACGGAATCACAGACTTGTAAGTAGAAAATACTTATAATTTTTCTACCCCATATTCTTAATAAATACTCTATAGATTGATAGTCTCATGAGTATCAAAAACAGCTCTTATTGCTTTATAATAAATGAAGCACACAAACCTGACAACTAGCCTGCGAGCAAAACAGCTATGAACCGTTTGATTATAACCATTTCACTGGAGTCTTTCCATCCAAGTGCTGTTTTGTTTTGTTTTGTTTTTAATGTTTCGTTTTTGTCTTATTTCTTTACAGCGCTTAGGCTCGTATAATCAGCATTCTGCTGACCAGGTAATTTTTTATGTTGTCTTTTGTCAATGAAGCATTTTGACAAAAAAAAAATTAAACGTCATTACCTGTTATCCTATATTTGTAGCTGAACATGGAAGAGTCACCAGTGGAGTATCTTCAGGTAAATAGTTTTGCTTATGTCTGTCCGTCGGTTTAAGTGTTCTCGCGTAATTTTAGTTGATAACTAAATAGCATGGACTTATAAAATGAGACGTTCAGCCTCCAATCGAAATCAGCCGTCCAGTTGCTTTGGGTTTGTATTGCTGCGCCTTCTGATCAGCATTATTTGAAGTAAATTCATAGACAACAACCGTGGCATACTGGGTTTTCCCGCGAACACACCTGCTTGAAAATATGATTGGTCCATCGGGTGGCTGTGTCTTGTGTGATTGGCTACACTCATCACTTGAGTTTTAAAACGAAAGTCAATTGAAAGCCGCGTTTTATGTTAAATTGTTGTCGAAAAGTTGTTTTTTTTTTGCTCTCAGTGTTTTCAAATGAAGTACACCGGCGAATATCCATGCCGAACTTGTTTTCAGGCTTCAGCCATACTTATTTATCTCACTGTTTACTGGCCGTCTCAGATTTTTCCCAGATATGTCTGGAAAACCTCCTGAATCTCTTAAAGACGCCATTTTGATTTGTGTGAAGGGAGACTGGAAACAAGCAATTGGAAAATTTTAACCGTGCTAACACTATTATCGCCAGCCAATTGCCGACTTGTATTGATGTTGTTCTCTTTACCGTTCTTAGAGGAAATATAACCTGGATTATCAAACATCTAGGAAGCACCTGGGAAGGTTTGGGTTGGTGAGTCACGCTCACACCATCAGAACGAAAGATTTATCAGGTAATTCGCCATCAGGGTCGGAATGAAACTTGAACAATTTTCTCAACTTGCCTCGGGAGTTTTTCTTGTTTTGTTATAAAGCCTATTACACTTCTGTCATTCTCCACTGAAAGTGAGCATCTAAATTTCCATTGTCAATTAGATATATCTGTCATAAGGAAAAAACGTTTAATGAGCATGCTTTTTTCTCAGGCGGTCAGAAGTCACGTGTAGCTTTTGCCGATTTGGCGCTCAGCAACCCGGATGTAATTGTGCTGGTGAGTATATTTGACCAGAAAAACTTTGCATAATAATAGCCCACGTTCCATAACATGACTCCGAGGGTTTAGGGTCAAAATTGCTAATTTTTTTACGACTCCATTGTCTCGTAATTCCCAGAAGAGACTTGAGTACAAAGAAAACTGAACCAAATGTAGAAAAATGACCAGAAAGCCTCGGAGTCATGTTAGAATTAACCCTGCGGTAGACTAGCATCCCGTCTAAGGAGAGTAGCAATACTCCTAGGCCCTGCTTCATGCTACGGAAACTGGTGTAAGCTCCGGCCGTGTGGGCCTTTTGTTCGTGTGCACCTTTACCTTTTACACATTTCGGTGTTACTTACACTCAGACGAGATTTTGTTACGAGGAAGTTGGTTAGAAAACAAAGGATTAATATACGTGCTGCTTTGCGAAGGACGTCGTCAGTATGGAATTTCAACAGTCGCTGCCCAGACGTCATTTCGCGGGGAAACCGGTGATGGCGTCGCAAAATGTCGGCTGTTTTCTCAGGCTAAAGTGTTTCTTACCAAAAAAGTATCGGATCAATTTAGGTTTGCGGGAAACTGCCAACCTACCCCTCCGCTAAGCCAACATTTTGCCCTAATTGGGAAGTAAGTGTTAATGTTAGCTTAAGGGGAGGTAGCCTGCGAAGCGCAAACGTATTTCCGGTGGTCGCTTCTCTCCCTCCGAAAAGGAGAGAAGCGACGACCGGAAATACGTTTGCGCTTCGCAGGCTAAAGGAGAGGGGTAGGTGGGCAGTTTCCCAGAAATCTAAGTTGATCCAACATATCATCAGAAATGTGCTGGTGGGCTTACTTTGCAGAAACATAATCGTTCATGCAAGTAAATAATGTTCAATGTTATCGCGTCAAGCTGAAGCGTGTTATATTTTTCCTTCAGGATGAACCCACCAACAACTTGGACATCGAATCTATTGATGCACTGGCTGACGCCATAAACGAATTTACTGGGGGTAAGAGCAGAATTTGAGTGTGAACTCTTAGTGTTTTTTAAAATATATATATATGAAGAAAAATATGAGCACCACTGGAGGTACAAGCTCTAGTTCTCAAACCTCAAGTGCGTGAGGCCTTATTTGCACTGTCGTATTGCTAAAGTGACAGATTCGCATTGTCTCGCTCCGCTAGCTAAAATCGTCGGAAATATGCGCTGAGCTTAAGGTTTGTGGAAAGAATCTAGACGGGTGGCGTTGGAGCGGTGAAACACCCTGAAATGTATCTGTCATTTCATCTACAAAAACTAATACAGTAGAATCTCCAAGTGCGACCACCTCTCTCACGGTGTTCTTTAGGCACCGGAGATCGGAGAATTCTCAGTTTAGGCTAACGTTAGTTAGCCTATAAGTTAGACTTGCAGTCTCTATTAAAATATTCTTCTGTAGCGGTACACCTTTCTGCCGCTACTAGAATTCTTAAAGAAAACTCCGCTCTCGTAGGCGACCACCTTCCATAAGCGACCATCTTTCCAAAACACCAAATTTTTCTTAGTCAAAGCCCTATATTTTGAACCTGTCGCAAACTAACGCCTCTCATAAGCCGGCGGCCACGACTACGAAGAAAGCGGCGATTTTGTTACAAATAGTTATGGTGCGTCCTCTAGACTCTTCACAGTCCTCTATTTTTCCGTAAGATCGTCGAGACCGAGGGCTTTGCGTTACGGGCTGCCGTCTTGTATGAGTGTGAAAACTACTTAGGGGGCGGTCGGGGTCAGTTTGGGAGGAAGCTATAATTCCCGACACCCGCCCCCTCGGTACATTTGAAAATCAAGATGGCCGCCATTACCGGTAAGCAAGAGGCGCTATATCTCGACGATCTCACGCAAAAATAGGGGACTGTGGACAGTCTATGCGTCCTCGGACCCGTCTTGTGAAAAATCATGAGTCCCAGTCCAGAACCAGTGAGTCCCATTTAAAAAAAGAGTTCTAAATTGAAGAAATATACACCGTCAAATACAACCATAATAACGGCCTCACAAATCACACTAACAGGATAAATCCCCACCCTCAAGGAATGAAGGCTGGCATGAGATAATATTTGTAGAACTTTGCTATAGTTGTTTTTGTTCTGGCTTTTTTATTTTTATCAGGAGTGATATTAGTAAGCCACGATGCGCGGCTTATACTGGAAACATCGTGTCAACTTTGGGTTGTTGAGGACCAAGACATTTCTGAAGTGGATGGAGATTTTGACGATTACAGGCAAGAAATTTTAGAGAAACTTGGAGAGGAAGTCATCGCCAAGTCGCAAGGCAGCTGAATCAGCGGCAAAACCATTAGAGGTAATGGCTCGTGTTAAGGGGTCTGAGTCTTAGCAGTCCAGTTCATTTTGTTTCTTATTCCTGACCCCGGCAATCATTCTCCATAATATAACTTGGGGTTAGCGATGAAATTACTTGTAAATGGCAAATTCAGTGTCATTTCAAACAAACGTCTCCCGAGCGATGTATTTGAAGCTACAAACAACAAGACTAGAGATGAAATTAGAAAAGCTGGAAGGCTGAATATAGTTTTCAAATGGCTTTGCAATCTATTTTAGTTTTCTTCAATTTTGTCCATGCCTTCTTTAGTATTTGCTTTGTTATTTTTTCCTTTTTTAATTTTTTTAATTTTTCGTTTTTTACAGTTGTGGACCAAACATGAATGACAAACCAGTTGTGCGATTTATTTGCACCAGCATGGTCTGGGTAAATTGCTCCGCGGAAGAAGAAACACCTTTGCTGTTAAACTAAAGAGGTCCTCAGCTTTTATGTTGAGCGACTTTCTCTGTTGCCTACTCTGACATTAATCACTGAATTAAATTGTGAACATGGCTATCACAAACCTAACGTAAATGCAGAATTCAAGTGGAGACCCATTTTGATGAGAAAAATAATTTCGGATGTAGGATTTTATTCACCAATACAAGCTTCACTCCTGTATGTGTTATTACTATACTCACTTGACGTTCTCATGGACGCTGATAGTATATGAACCCTTCATTCCCACAAAAAGTTCGACACGGAATGGGATTCCCGTGTGATGGGAATACCTGCAGCACTCTAATTCCCTCCACTCCGTGTAATGCTGTGCGGCGTTAAACGAAATGCGCAAACCATGTGAAACAATTTTCCATCCAATGACCACATCGATATGTTGTTGTAGATTTTCCCCTTTGATGGTTTGAACTCGGAACGACCAAAAAACAAATCCAGCTAGTGGTCAGGGCGGGGCTTGAACCCCCTATGGCTGATTTGCGACTTCGACGCGCTGACCACTCGACCACGCTGCCCTCTTACCCGTCGGATTAGGTTTAGTAACCAAAACAACACATTTGCACCGTCAAATGTTGCAGGGATATTTTCTGAACTTGGATATGGTTCTTCGAATTCAACTTTAGAAGGATCCACTTTTTTCGTAATAAATTTGAAAAATGACGTTTTCGCGCGGTTTTCGGATCTTAAGGTCCCTATTATTTAAGAAATATTGAAAGTTTCTAGCTTGCCTACTTTTTCGTAAATTTTAAAATAAAGTGCGCGCCTTTTATGTAAGCAGTTGAAAGTTTAAAAAAATTGAATAGATATTTAATTAAAACTATTGTTTGCTTTTTGACTCTGAAGATTTAAATAACTTTTTGTTCATATTTTAAGGTGGTAGTGTCTATAAAAAACTTTCAACTTATCAGAAGTAAAATCAAAATGAAAATGAATTACCAGCAAGCGTTTTTCCAAGTGATCGTGTTATTACCGATTGATCCGGGAAAACGAAACATGTAGCACCTACAAGTATTGCTACTCCCCCCTGGATTGGGTGCTGGCACCCATATATACACCTCTATGAAGAGACAAAATGGAGTGAAGTTTCATGGGTAAAGCAACAAAGCGATGGCAATGCTCGAACCCAGACCTAAATAAATAACGATTTAAAGTTAGAGAAAGCACATCCACATAGTGGTTCTTCGTCTACCTTTCTTTGGAGAAATTCTGGAAATTGGAAATGTTGAGTTTTGAAGAGAGGGGAAAACTGAAGTGCCCAGTGAAGAATCTCTTGGAACAAAGGAGAGAACCAACATCAAACTCAACCCACATATGACGTCGATGGCGATATTTGAACCCGGGCGACATTGGTGGGAGGCGAGTGCTCTCACCACTGCGCCTTCCCTTGCTGCCCGAAGGAAGTGTGAAGTGTTAAAATGATGAGTTTTAAAGCGTAGCCACGAAGCAATCAAAAAAACAAACGTCGCGAAGACAATTTGACGAGAAACCATACGATAATAGACCTCTTTGTAGAATTTGTAACTTTCTAAGTGAAGTAAGGGAAAAAATTGGCCACTAGAAAAAAGGTGTTTTAGTAGCTCAGTGAAAATAAGTTCTGATTAGTAGTCTTTATCTTATACGTAGCCTACGAAAACGGCCGTTTCTCCTTGCTCTTCGCAGCTGAGGACGTTTTCGCAAAGTGAAACGTCCTCAGCGGCGAGGAGCGAGGAGAAACGGCTGTTTTCGTAGGCTACTTATACGGCCTTATAATGATTTCTGTCCGGCAATTTATAATAAAAACAAGGAGTACCAACGTAACAAATAGTACCATAAAGAAGTTAGTGCTGAATAGATTTTGTACAGATTACCAATAATACTGCTGTAGAATCCTTCAGGATTTTGTCAATTTGGATGAACATTTTCCGAAGAACTGGCGTGGATTCCATCTGTCACACTGCTAATTAGACCGAGTTGGAAATTCCTTAATTCAAACCGTTTAGTTTAGCTGGTGAACCAAATTAGGTACGTGTTTTAGAAGACAATTTTCCGCGCAACTTGACTAGTAATTTTGTTGCACTGTTGTGAGACACGTTGCATACGCATTGTTCAACACCCCCTAAAACGAGTATTCGTTTACGTTGCAACAATCGCTTTGAAAATAAAACTTGATGCTATTTCGTTCCAAACTTCTTTTCAGAGGTGTTAAAATAACGGACAATTTTCCACTTGCCTGTGTCCCTAGAAAATTTGCCAGACACTATGCCGCAACAAAAATTGTCAATTGTAACAGGCCTTGAAGTGAGGTCGAACCCTCTAATAAAGGCCACTTTCTTGGCGAACAGTCCATGCATTGTCTCTGGTTTAAACCTGTTTACAACAGCCACTTTTTTTTCTTTCAAAGGTGGCTGTTGGGGACAGGTTAAACTGTACTTTGTGCGCTACTGAGTATATCCGTTTACTGGGCGTTTTTCAGGAACGAAAAGTGCAACAGGTGGTTCGCGTATTCTTTGTCACATCTCAACAGGTACTGTGGGCCGTGACAAGACATGAAGTTAGATCATCTCTCAACTGTATATACAAACTTACAGCATAGCGGCAATCGCCGTAGTTTTCATCTCTTTCTAACGCGTCAAAATGTCTCGCGAATCACTGCAAGAACATGGTGGATGTCGAATTGGAGGCTTACCTCGGATCCAATGCATGAGTTGTGAGTTAATAATCTACTATTGACCTTTCAGTGCTCGCATGATTGAAACTTGCAGCTAGTCTCGCTTTTTGGAGCTTAGAGAGCTTCATATTCAGATCTGTCGATTTAGAAATTCCTTTTTACGTGTACTATTATTTGCCAAGAGAGGATAGAGGGTTTTCTCCCCAGTATTTACACTTTGCAGTTTATTGACTAGAGCAATTGCGTTTAGAAATCAGTTCTACATTATCGTGGTTTTATTTAAGCCTTTCTCCACAGTTCAATGTTGATTAACTGTTTGCACTGAATGCTTGTCATAATATTTGACATGGAAAGGAAAACTACCTTTGGATTTTCACAGAGCTCACTTCGACATCTGTGTAGAATAAATAGTCAAAAAAAAGCAGTGTTAAAATAGAGGAGAGAAAAGAGCATGAAGAAACCAACGCGACAAGAAAACAAAACAACCAATCAGGGAAGTCACTATCAAACTAAGAGTTATCTCAGTACTGTATTATAGAGGAGCTTTAATAATGATATTTTCCAAGAGACCACAAAGGGTATGTTTTCGGGCTGGAGTTTAATATCAATAGTAGAGCAGCTTACTTGCAAGAAGTTAGGTTTTGTATAATTTCAATAATATTATTGCTTGTGCTGGGAGTGATATGTTGGAACAGCTGGGTCTAGGTTTTAAACTTGTTTTTGAGGTAGTTGTAATATGGGTTTGTGGAGAATTAAACGTTTGATAAGGGAAAAGCGAACTTTTATACCTCCGAATTTCAATGGTCAGAATCGATCTTTAACTTTAATTTTTACTGTCGGTATTTCCGGATAGTTTGACAGGGGCAAGGAAATACAATATTTATGTTTTGCTAAAATTGATTTGTTTAAGAAAGAATCTGGCACACCCGTTTTGCAACGCGCTTGTCTACGATTGTTAGTCCTCATACTAAGTAACTGAATAAACGCCGAACCCTCTAAAATATTTGTTCTCAATCTTGCAAGATTATTTCGTTGCAAATGTCATAAAAGAGCAGTACGAGGTTCTCTTATCTTAGTCATTCTTAAGCTGGCGCAAATCTAACAATTCCATAGCTGTAATAACATAATTTTGTTTTACTTTGTAAGATACCCGCGTATTTCCGTAAGATCTAAATGACGAGAATCATAGATTGACAAATACTAATCTATTTCTTTTTGAAAAAAGAAGATTCTTATGAAAAAAAAAAATGTTGACGCATGATATTGAAGTTAGTGCAACGAATTTGGGTGGAGTCCGTGACACCTGTCTCTCACCTGCCATTTGTTTATGTTTCAGCAAGTCAACCCGAGGGTGGTGAACTGGGCATATGTGGAATCGTCATAACGGTTTTGTGTTACATTCTTGTAGTCGTCACGTTCCCATTTTCACTGTTCTTTTGTTTGAAGGTAAGCCTGCGGAAAACATTAGATTGCATCGAGACTTTTCTTTATCGAAGTATGTAATGGGTTAGCATTTTAAGAGACTTTGATTGTCGTTGGGATAAGATTGAGGTGCGCGTGGAGTTGTGGGATGGAACGAAGCCAGGAAAAGTAGCTACTTCCTTATTTTTTACTGCTTCTCTTCCCATAATTCCCTAAGTGCCATTTTACACAACTATAATAAAGACAGGTTACAAGTCTGTAATCGTAAACAGATCAGATTCAGTTACGAGGGTGCTCTCACGGTTGTGAGATGGTGAACGAAAACTTTGGTTTTTTGGGGCCAATGAAGTTGAAGGCAATCCTATTTATACTGAACATGTAAAAAATAACGAAATTAAGTTCCGACTTTTCGGTGACATCATGGAATGGAAATAAATGCGAGTTCAAATGAAATTAGAGTACTCAGTTGCATGAATGAACACAGTTAGTTATTTTTCACATGTTTATGTCTCTCCAAACAATTATTAATAATACAAAAATTCTGTTTATCTACCGTTGACGTTAAAAAGACTATTTCAATCAAATAAGCAAATGAGAAAAACTTACTTTTTGACCTTCAATGTTGATGGGTTTTTAACTTTCACAAAGATAAAATATCTGTATGTATTTTGTAGAAAAAGGGCATAATGTGAGCAACATCCTCTGAGTTCGACGAGACCTCACCGAAAAGAAATATTTGTAAGCTAAGTGTCGTTTATTAAAGGAAGTACTTAGACCTATTTTTTATTTTAACCAGATAGTACAAGAATATGAAAGAGCCGTGATATTCAGACTAGGAAGAATTCTCCCCGGCGGGGCCCGGGGACCAGGTGAGAAAAACAAAAAAAAAACAGCAATCTTTAGCTAAGCAGCCTGGCTTCCAAAGCACCCGGGAACTGAGCATTTAGCTATTAAGCTGACTTCGACGGTTCAGAAGGTCAGGCTTTTATAAGTTCCGGAATGGATATATAACACTTGGCTAACCTTGGCATTTCGTAATTGTTTTACTTTACTAGTTAGTTAGTTTAGTTAGTTTGTTTGTTTTTGAAAAACAAACAAACTAACTAAACAAAACTACCCAAAGGTTTTGTTTTTGTTGTTTTACTTTAACTTTGTAAATATTTTGGCCAGGTTTATTTTTCGTCCTCCCCGCAATTGATAAGTACAGCAATGTGGACTTACGAACTGTATCCTTTGATGTCCCACCTCAGGAGGTACATATTTTCATTTTTATATATATGTAATTATTGAAATAATTCGTACTTTTTTCCACTAGGCTTTTATGGCTGTTTAAATGTTCTAAGTTAAAAACTTCCTTTGCATTCACGAATTCCAATCGTACCAGAGGAGCACGCTATTTCCCTTCCCTTATTTGTGGTGTGACGACAATAATCCGCCGAACATGCAAACGATCTCGCAGTTTAGAGCTCTTATTAAAATATAACATAGCGGCTCGATTTAGCCTGTGCCAGGCCCTCCCTGACTTCCACTCGGCTTTCGCGCAACTGTTCTCGTTCCGCTTTCTCTACTACATTGGAGCCTGGAACAGGTCAAGCACGATTCTTCTCTTGGTTATCTGAAACCAAAACTTTATTCGACTATTAAAAGCACTTCCTTACTCTCACAATCTCTCTACTGAATGAGCTTTGCCTTCAATTATCAACTTATCTTGATTCAAAATTAACTTAAAGTATCTTATTAGCTAATTTCTCATCATAAAGTTCTTTCAATTGATTGGCTAGGCTCTGACACGTGACAGCGTGACAGTTACTGTTGATGCAGTGGTATATTTTAGGATCCAGAATGCCACGGTGTCTGTGACCAACGTTGAAGATGCGCAAGGTTCGACCAGACTGCTTGCCCAGACTTCTTTGCGAAACATGATCGGCACGAGGAATCTCAGTGATATCTTAATGGACAGGGAGGGGCTGAGTACGCAAATGCAGGTAAACAAATGCAGTTTGTTTTCTCTTAGCGTGGCTGCTATTTCAGCTGATATCTTAATAAATAGATAAACTTGTTCAAAAGGGGAAAGCCTGAATATAGATGGCCATGGTGGTAATAAACCAAGCGATCACAAATATGCTACTACGGCCAAACATTTAATTTGATCACAATAAAGATTATCGAACGCAGAATACTGCGTTTTAACTGTCAAAAAACGGTAAGAATTGTAAAAAATCCTCATGTCTAATTAGTAGCATGCATTGACGCAGTTGCTTTGTGAAAAGGGTCTTGAGTTGGATTACCAGGCGTGAAACCAAACGAGAAACGACAAACGACGTGCGAGCTCTTTACCTATTGAGTGACCTTAAAATATTTGAAAGCAAAATAAAGAAAAGACAAAAAGGAGCCTCAGAAAAAACAGTGGCTTGCGTAAAAAATATTATTGAATATTTTCTTCTCATATGTTTGCATCCTTAGTCATTCCTTGATGACGCTACTGATCCCTGGGGCGTGCGCGTGGAAAGAGTAGAGATGTGAGTTTCTTATGAGGTCCTGGACAGCAACAACCACGACCACAACAAGAACAAAACCATCACCCAGAAGGACAAGGACAACCTGAACGACAAATCAATAACTACAGTAGTAACGACATAGATTAATGAAATAGGTTTTATGTGTTTCAACCTCATTCTGAGGATTTTCGTTTTGTTTGAAAAATGATTTATAGGGCGGGAAAATTATGGGAAGGTGAATGTGTTTGCGCTTGACAGGCCTTAGAGACACCGGAACCTGCATGCTAATAGCCCGTTAGAGTGTTGACCGCTTTATGGTCCCGGCCACGGCGCCAATGCCTGATGTGCGAACTGCTGATGTATGATATAGATTTACGGCTGCAAACCTTTTTCAGTACCAGCATCTGGTCGTTTTGACGGTGATATCACTGAAACAGCTGATGAGTCATTGCGATCAAAATTCTTTAATCTACCATACAGACGTTAATAGGAGTTTGTCCAGGGCCAGAGAAAACTTGATTTTAAATCTCTAATTAAATAACCTGTACGATGCGATACGATGCGATACGAGAAATAATTTTTTGTATAAAAGAGAGAGCTGCATTTGATACAAAGGTTCATGTCTTATAGCGTTTAACCAAATGTTTATTTGTTGTTCTTTATCACACAGTAAAGATGTTCGTCTGCCTGTTCAGTTGCAGCGTGTGATGGCGGCGGAGGCTGAAGCTACACGAGAAGCCCGAGCCAAGGTGACTTTAAAAAAAAAACACTTAAATTAAATTAAAATTTACTCATCGTATATGAAGCTCTCTCAACTAACTGTGAGATACTTCCTGAGCGAAGTGTGCTAGGCGAGCTCAAGGCTTGGAGTATTTAGTTAATTTCCTGTCGCAGATAAGTAAAGAGACTACTGCACGAGTGCTAAAGCCAAGAAAAAGGCAATTACCGCCATTTTAGAGCAATAGAAAAGAAGCACTGAACAGAAAGTGTATGACTATCGGGTAATTGGTTGCAACTGCAAAGCCACGGCTACACGAAACCAGAGAATCTGCTCACTGAAACCGCATTTATGAAACAGCTCTCAGTGGTCCCGTCAACACGATTCCGGTAAAGAGATATCCGCTGAATATCCGATATCAAAAAAGGCCGTATTCTGGAGGACGGGGCCTGATGATGAGTTTCATTTAACATTAATTTGGAAGTTACTTTTGTGACGTAAGCTAGTCATGTGACATGAGGAATTGCTACTTACATCTTTTTATAAAATAACTAAGATTGCACGCGCGTTCTGATTGGTTAAAAACCTATGGTTTATTGTGCCGGTAAACTCATTGAAAACTGAAACATGCTTTAAAAGCCTTCGGCTCGTGATTTACAAACTTTTTCTCGTGTTCTCCCAACATCCCAAGAAGGTTATCACGGAAGTAAACCCATAGAAAGTGTGGTCTATTGCTTAAATAAACTCTTTTCCAGGTTATCGCCGCTGAAGGTGAAATGACTGCTTCCCGTTCTTTGAAAGATGCCGCTGACATCATGGCAGAGACACCATCAGCTATGCAGCTTCGATACCTGCAGACGTTAAATACAATCTCAGCAGAGAAAAACTCCACCATCGTCTTTCCGATACCCGTGGAATTCATGTCCAAGTTATTTCACAAGTAGAGCTGGGGTTGAAATTTTGGTCTGAAAAAATATGTTGGAAGACGTCAAGTAGAATCTGCGTGCTCCGTCAGTATATCACTGGATCATCATTCATAGAACGTTGGCTAACCAGTTACGCGCAGACATTTGCTAAGAATTTTAGTCGCCAAAAAGGTTATTATTCATGTTGTTCAGTTTGCTTTGATAGCAATTTCTTTTTGCCTAAAAAGGCAGGTGATAAAGAATGACGAAATGCAAAGTTGGTGGGAAATGACAGGAAAGGCCAAATCGTCAAAAGATCAGATCGTCAAATCATACTTGAGACCTCTAATTGCAAGCCTTTTTTTTGCGGCCTTTCATTCTTGGCCGAAGATAGTTTTATTGCCGTGAATGAAGTATTCTTTAACAATAACTGAAACATTTTTATTTTCTCGGCATTTCAATGCAGAAAGGAAGCCGTGTATTTCTTAAAAATTAAAATTGCGCTTTGTATCGGTAATCCGACCGCAACTAGGTCTAGCCTGAGATCATGCCCTCTCCCTATTATCCCTCTATGTCCCTCACGGGAAGAGGGCGTTATTTTTTTTTTGCCTCTCGCCTCGTCCGCCCTTGAAAAAAAAACGCCTGATCGCAGGTTAAACTAGGTCCGGCATCGCTACATATCCGTATAACTTTAAACCAAAAGAGAATGGCCGTTTTTAAATTAAAGGACGCATTATCCGTCTTGGTCTATGGCCGTTTTTATACTAAGGACGCACTATCCATGTGGACGAACTTGTGCAAACATTTGTAGTTCGTCTGATCAGTATGCGTCACAAGTATCAAGACGGACACAAGACGCATTATACGTCTGGACGAACTTTTCTTCGAAATACGTCTTGAACGACGTACTACTAAAGGTAGTTCGTCTGGACGCATGCCCGTCTTTATTCAAGAGACGCAGAACCAGACGAATTACAAAACGTTTGCCCTAGTTCGTCCAGACCGATCAATACGTCCTTAGTACAAAAACGGCCAATGAGTTAGAAAGAATTCATTCCCTCTTGTTTTAACCAAATTAGTAATTGGGATGATGAATTTCTCTTTTTTTATCGGCAGAAATTTTTCAGTACCAAAATCAGCAACTGGCGGCAAACAGCCAGTAAATTATAGACAAGAAAAAGTTAAAACAACTTCAGTAAAGATTAGGTGATTCGCTTTGGCAGGAACAAATAAAGCACAAATATATAATTTCAAGAGTAAAATGCAGTACAATTTTTTTAAGTGGTCTATCTTGTAACGAAAATAATCATTTTATATTGTAAAATATAAGTGAATTTTAAATTTAGATTTTACAATGAAACCGCATTTAATTTACAGCTATCTTTTACGTGGATTCGTAGCCTTGCTAACAAGAGATTTTTCGTCCGTTTTTTTTATTAGTGTTACAATTAAGTATTCGTTTACCTGAAGTGTCAATAAAACCCAAATGCTACGAAGAAAAACTCCTTTCTGCTCTTTCTCCGCGTTTCTTTGTCTCACCCCAACCTCGTCCCTAGGGCTTTTCTCTTTCCCTTTTCCCTTTTCCCGCCCCACCCATTTTTTAAGGGAAAAGCCCTGGGGACGAGGTTGATCTCACCCGACACAGGCCTCTCGCCATGTGGAGTGTAATGGCTACTTTGTCTCTGTCAGTTTCCCAACTGGTATCAGACCTAGGCCAAACGTAGAACGTTTCATGAGAAGAACCAAACTCTAATTTGGGTCGACCTAAATTAAGTGAAGATCGTCTGTTGAGTCAGATGTCGAACTTGGGACGATTTAAACCAATGAACTGAATGAGCCCAAAAAGCAATTTTAGTCGGCAAGCGGGCCCAATAGTTTCTCCCAAACGTGGCTAAATATACATTTCATACCAATTTTTAATCCATTTTGTTTAGTTCGTTACATGAGAAGTTTGACGTTTGTCCCGTAGCCTGAAGCAGACGGATATAACGTGTTTGACGAATCAAACCTCCCCGGGGGGTACTCCCTATGATGGCCCATACGGGGAGTCTCCACCCGTGTACCTTTTTCAGGCTTCAGGTATATAAAAGGGTGGGGATTTCACTAGCTGAAGTATATCAAAGGGTAGGGAAATCTGTTATTTGGGTCTGTGAAGGGGCCTAACAGGGCTAACGGATGAATTTTGTGGCTTTATAAAGTGGAGAAAACTTTCTATTTTTGTGATTGATTCCTATTTAAAAGACAGTGCATTTACAGCAGTTAAAAGGGATGCCATGTTTTAAACAAGGTGTGTGAAAGGGGTACCATTCGTCAATAGAACGGTATACCAAAGGGGTACCTTTTTCGTGAAAAATGGTATATAAAAGGGTAAGGGGCTGGATATTGGGGCGGAGTCTCGTCGTAAAAACATTTATTGAGTACCCCCCGGGATCCAAACTTATTTAGACGAACTTAACTGGGCCAGACGTCGAACTTTCCATGATCTAAAGACACTAAGTTTGGTTCGTCCCATGAAAAGGTCGAGGTTTCGCCCAAGCCTTCTCAGGTAAATTAAGGCATGGGTCAACAGCCATTTTACTGTAAAAATGAGGGGGGTGGTCTATAATATGAATGGTTTATCATGAAGCAGAAAATACCAAAAAATATTACACAACACCAAAATTGATGCTTTAAAACAAACCAAAATTATGCAAATTAGGTCACGTGACCTCACAGCTCCTCAAAGTTTTAAAATATCTTTAAGAAAAAATGGGCACACCAAGGTTATCTTACTTAATTTACTTAAGAAGATACAAAATATAAGCCGCTACAAAAAAACTTTGAACTTTCAAATATCTCGTCTATTTTGAAAATAAACGGGTTTTTCGACTAGTACCCAGTCTCCCAATACAAATGTATCATTTTAACATGCCTTTCCTTTGAAAAAATCTTGACATTGCCAAGCGCAGAAATGACATACTTAACGGCCTTAAAATTATGAAGCTAGTAGAAAAATGAGGGAAACAAGAAAATGTTTGCCCATTTAAGTTCAAGGAGTATTTGGGCGTGGCGTGTCACGTGACCTTATTTGCATAATTGGAGCATACCAAATAGATAAAAACTACCCGTTTATGTGTCTGACAAGTTTTCAGCTTGCCACTGCTAATGTATCGAAAGATAGACCACCCCCCTACTTTTTGACTTAACACCTGGGGACCCATGCCTTAATTACCTTGAGTTAGAGATAGTAATACAGAAAAACATGAAAGCGACGTAATCTTATTTGCAGTATATAACAACAGGTTAGTTCAGGCTGTTTAAATTTTGAGCCCAGGTTGAGCTGCAATTTGAACAAATACGGTTTAAAAGATTGGGTGATCGAGGTGGAGTGGTTTTGCAACTCCTTGAAACTTCCCCTTTGTACGCCTCTAAGCAACAACGACTGCAACGGCTACGAAAACGTTACTTAAAAGTGAAGTCGCGCTACTTCAAACTTTTTCGCGCCTTTTCCATCTCGTACAGGTCGTCAAATGCTGGAATTTTTTTTGTAGAGTTGAATTCTAGAAGACTGCTCGGAGTTCAGGAAAACGAAAAAGAAAGTAGTTGCCTTGTGTTCACGTCCTCCACAAAACGTGAAATTAGGCAGTTTCACGTCGTGGTCCTACAGTGACGGCAAAGAAGGGTACAAAACGCGTGTTGCACGTGCAGAGTTGCTGTTTTGCCAATCTAAACCTATTGCTGTTTTGCCGTTCTCGTTAGCCTGCAGTGCAGGCGTATTTTGGGCGGGCCAAATTGTTGTCAACATGGTGCTTTCGTGAGCAAAACATTCGCGCGCCCGAAGAAAACGTTTGCACTGCGGGCTACATTCTCGTTGATGTTACCGTCTTCGTTGCTGAAGCTCCCTTATTATAATAAACTGATCTCGACAACTTTTTCAAAGCGTTCATTCCAACCTCGTCCCCAGGGCTTTTCCCTCAAAAAATGGGTGGGGCCCACCCATTTTTTGAGGGAAAAGCCCCGGGGACGAGGTTGCGTTCATTCAAACAATCTGATCAAAACATGGGTGCTAACAGGTGCAAAAAAATAAAGCATTGCCGTAAATTCTCGAATTTGCGCGCTAATTGGAACTGGAGCACTTATTTCGTTTATAAATTTTTGGCCTCAAAATGACACTATCAGTCTATATAACCCAAACTGAAACACATCAAAATTCAAAAACACGTTATAGCAAACGTTATGGAGTAGCAAGCTAGTTGGACATGCTACCAGAGAACTTTCCTTCCTCGTGTTTACATTTATACAAGCTCGTAAAGGTACCGTGTTTTTTCGAATAAGCGCCCAACCTCGAATTAGCGCCCACCTCGATAGCCTGTTCCAGGCGTTCCCATCCGGTACAGGCAAAAAAAAGTTAAAAGCGAGCTACTTTTCATCCCTTTCTTTACTTCGCAACGCTCTCCACTATCTGAACGCTTGGAACAGGCTACCACCTCGAATTCGCTCCCATCAAAGCCTCAAATAAGCCCCCTCCTCCTCCCAATCAAACTCAAATAAGCGCTCACCCTCACCCCACCCATTTGGGTGAATAAGTTCTAATAAGAGACTTCCCCTAGGACGGAGTTCTCTTCAGAGTATTTTACAGAAACCTTGCTTTGTTACTTCTTCGCGTTTTGTTATTAGCATTTATTGTTTTTTTTTTTGCAAAATACACATACTTCACTTGCTGAAAATGGTGAAAATTTAATAAGCGCTCAGCCTCGAATAAGCGCCCACTCTCGAGGTCCAAAAATTTAATAAGCGCCCAGGGTGGTTAATCGAATAAATACTGTAATAAGGCGCTGGTTGAAGTCAATGTAAGCAGGAAACTTTAAAATGGCCTCTTGTAATTCCAGGAACTTTTAAGGTAGAAACAAAGAAGCCGACGTTTGGGAGCAAAGTTTTACGAGGAACTTAATAAAGTGAAGCACTTTTGTGCTCACATGGATATTTCGTCTATCGAGGAGATGAGAAGCAAACCCGTACGACTTTGAAGGAAATTAATTTTGTACTATTTCGAATGTCACATTCATTAAAAGTACCCTTTACGTCTCTTATATCGTACTGAGTACTGAACCTCGTTTTTTCTAGTGGGGGAAGGGGGGGCTCATTTGAAGGGTGCGCTTATTCCAAATTTTAAGCCTTTAGGAGTCGAGGGGCGCTAATTCGAAGCGTTGCAATTATTTGAAGCTGGGCGCTAATTCGAGCATTTACGGTAATAAATAATGTAATCGCGTGCCAACAGCCTGCTTAACAGGCGCATCAAGCTAGGAATGCGGAAAAAGCCGGACGGTTTAGATCAGTTCAGTCTCGCGCTCGACTCTGGGCTCGACTGCACGTGGGAAGTGATGTAAACGCCACTTATGTAGGCATGCGTGGCGTCGCGTAGCATCTTATTGAAAAGAAAGATACAGTCAAACCTCTCCTTACGGACACCTCTATAATAAGGACACCTCTATATTACGGACAGTTCGTTTTGTCCCAGAAATGCCAAAAATCATACATTCCCTACCTCTATAATACGGCCACCTCTGTAAAGCGGACACTTAGTTCTGTCCCTTTGGTGTCCGTATTAAAGAGGTTTGACTGTATGCCTGAAAACATGAATAAAGTTGAAAGAAATACTTTGTCACTTTGAATAATTTGCTGTCATTTTCAAAGCTCTGTAGCCGGGTCCGACTCTGCGTGCGAGGAACAGTTACATCCGTCACGAAAGATTGCGTGACTGTCAATGCAAAGTGCACATCAAACAGATGCCAACACTGTATTTACATACATTTTAACTCTTCTCTGTCTCGTGTCTTCCGGCCAAAAATCGCCAGACATGACGCAGGTCGTGCCTCATTTTTCTGCTGCAAACGTGCCTCAGGATACCAATTTTTCCTATTTGTTAGTGGTTCTGATTTCATTTCTAGCTTTCCGTGGGTTATATTTCCTCGGTAAAGCTACTTTCACTCTGCCGCCAGGTCTTTCTTCGAAGAAGGAGTGGCTTTATTTGAATACTTTGATCTCTTTCATTCACGCGTGCATTTCATCCGTGTGGTCGATTTTTTGGTAAGTGAAAATAACGCCATTATATTTCTTGGTGTTGATACATTAATGCTCAATTATTGTCTGTCGTACGTGAGAATTATTTGATAACGCTAACAAAGAATGTACAAAATTTACAGTTTCTACCATAAACCGTCAATGCTCACTGACCTGATGAGATCAGATCAGTTGAGATCAGAGTGGAGCTTGCCTTCGACCTGTTTGTTAGCATTTCTGATAGGTAAGAATCGATTTATCCTTATTTTTTTATGGTTTCACGTGTGGTTTGTTTGCCGATATGCAATGAAGACACATTTGTCATCAGGCATTCATTACGTAACATTGAGTAAATTTCGTGTCTTTAGTATTTTGCCCGATCGAATTTATTCATTTTATTGCCCCAGCTGGAAGCTATATGATATGTTTTTATTCATACAGGAAAGAAAAGGGTTGTAATAAATTCGTGCTTCTTCGTATACATATTCAATTTTAAATTTGAACGTTGGACCCTACGCCACTTGTACATCTCCCATAATGCACCTTATTTGCCCCCCAAAATTTTGCATAACCTTTGTTTTTCATTGCAGCCATCCCAAGAGAAATTGAAAACAGTGCTTAGGGTAAATAACTAGGTCACACATTATGGGAGATGTGCAAGTGGCATATGTGCCATGATTATAGGTATCTTGACACATGTAGCCTCTGGGGGATGGGGGTAGTTAGCTGGGAAATTTTATATTTGATGGTATGTCTTAGTGAGAGCTCTAAATGTGTATATATTTGTGAATTTGCCAATACTATTATGTGGAACATGCTGTAATTTCACAGTAACGATAATGATTTTATAGTACTGCAATGGACGATTTGTCATCCCCTATCAATTAATTACTATATACTTATCAATATTTTTACCCAGTTCCAAAAATTTCATTGAAAATTATTGTTATTAGTATGTCCTATTCCTTGTCAGATTTCCCAAGGCTCTTTATATATTTTGCTTGATAACACTGAAACCAATTCTCTTTACACTGTAACACTGTAGAAAAATGTTGCCTTAAAATGTTTTACAGTCAAGCCAGGTCAAGCGTACCCTCCAAAATGCCATTAATGAATTTATTATTCAAAAGTTGAATCCATTGGCAGTTGTAGATTTCAGATTCATCTCTGAATTCTTGCATTTGTAATGAGCCGTGAATTCACACGTGATTCAGTTACGAAATTTCTACCAGCTCAGTTTCCCTGAATTTGATGTAAATGTCTTCTTAGAATTTTAATCCATTCAAAGAGTTTTAATCTGATCAAATACAGAGAAGTTCTCGTAAAATATTCACTGCTCATTACCCATGCAGGAATGCCGATTTGAATTTGACACCAGTTACGGGAATGACATACGGATACATTTTTCAAATAATCAATTCATTAATAGAATCTTGAGGGTACGCTTGACGTGCTTTGACTGTAAAGACTACCATATTTCCTTGAATAATAGCCTTCCCTCGATTAATTACCTCCCTTTACTGGGAATATTTAAAATAATCGCCTCCCTCACATACCGGTAATTGCCCCCCCCGCCCCCCCACCCCTTTCTCCATCTTCTTTCTCTTATCCAGCAGAACTGATCAGTGGGGATTCAAGCTCTGACGACAAGGGTATTGACATTGAAAATTAATCAAGGAACCATATTTGGAACACATGAAAAGCCCATGTTCAGTTTATTCGATGTGAAATTTTTTTTAATTTTAAAATATTTAGGGCAGACTTCCAGTGAACAATATAATTTTGAAATAATTGCCTTCCCTCGAATAACTGCCCCCCTTTGGTGTGAAAAAAAAAAAAAAATTCCCCTGGCTATTATTTGATGAAATACATTAACTGCCATTCACTACTATATCTTGAGACTCACAATTTCACAATCTATGTCTTGCGTTTACGAGTTTACAGCTGATTTCTCACACTTTCTCACAAGTTGCACTCCAAATGTTTTTAGACCAATCTCTAGGGTTCCTTTTAAGTTAGACAGTTAACTCAATCTGAAGAAAATGCCTAGCGGTCACAGTTGATAAGTAAACAAAGTTTACATTCTTCAGTCATGTCTTCAGCCAGGAGTGTCCTTCTGCGAACCCCTCCGCGACTTGCCGCTGCCACCAAATGTATAGACTCACTGTCAAAATGAATCTAAATCTCTTATCGATGGTGTTTTTTAAGTAGCTGCTTTAGCTTTACAATGATAATAATGTGACTTCATTAGAGAGAGCACTTCTAATACTCATAATCCCCCCTGGAACTCCCCTTAAAATATATCGGATCTCACTGGTTTTCCCAGCTCTAAGTTTAAAATCTCACGATTTTTGCCTGTCGGGGGTTGGCAAGTCTTGTTTTAAGTACCATCCCTACTGAAGCTGTATTTTTGTGATGTCGTGATCCACCATTTTAGGTGTTGGTGAACCGGCAGTGAAGTACTGAAAATTGCTCTGTGAATCGTGATTGAAGCCCAGGAGGGACTCCGCATATGAAAGGGGTGGCGATGCTTGTCGGAAATTTTGAATTAAACCCCTAAAGGAGACCGATCTGGGTGTGGCCCAAGCTTTTTTTGATCCCCAAAAGAGACCATGTTAAAACAAGAAAAATGAGATTATATGATTATATGGATTATATGAATGGAGTAAATAAAATGAATTAAAAATATACATATCAAATGTATATTTTTATATTTTTTTGTGTGCAACCCTAAACGAGACCTTCACGGCACCCCCCGGGGTGGGGGTTACTTTTGGAATTTCTGGGTGGGGATTTGCCAGTGGTACCCTGGAACCCTTAACCTATACCAGAACTAGTTCAGCTGAATTTTGCTACCCTATACTAGAGTAAACTCCCCAAATCCCCCTATCCTAGAGTAGCTGATTTCTAGAAACTACTTAGGTCACTAGCACAGTCTAGCCAAAACAAAACCTTATACCACAGTCCCTAGTCCAACTGATCAGTTTCCTGAAAAATGATACCCTATTCTAAACCCAAATGCTCTGATTTATATACCCTATCCTAGAGTAAACTGCTTGAAAACCATACCCTTCAGAGCGGCACATGCCTATATAGCCCATATATGGCAGTACCCCCCCGTCGCTCCCCCCCCCCCCCGGTCCCTTCCCCTCTGCTTTAATCCCAAGGTTCTTTAGCTTTGTACCACGAGACAATTCAATCTGGAAGGAAAAAAGAACCCACATACATATTGTAAACTAGTATTTAACACTGAAAACACTTCAGTCTCAATGGCAGATGTAAGGGAGGGAACGGGGAGCTGCCAGGGCTCAGGTCCAAGCCACCTGCAGTTATGTTTAGGCCAGACTGAAGTTTTCTGGGCTGGGAATCAATGTTTTTGAGACTTCCCCCCTTATCTTAGAGCCTGGATCAGGGCGTCAGCTTGGGCAAACCTCATAATTTCCCAGAGTCCTCTCTTAGGACTCTCAGGGAGGGAGGGAGAGCTCCCAGGTAATGAAGTTGGCTAGGGTCCTTTCATAAAGCAACCATATTTTTTTTACGTCTATAACTCGTGATAGTAATAACTGATAAACTTGAGGTCGACGGGGTGCTCATTTTACATACCCCCCCACCTCTCTTTATCAATGCTCCGTTTTAAGCTTTTTTAAAGCTAGTCAAAGCTACACAGAAAAGAGAGAAGTTAAAACAAGGATGTGATCATGCATCACTGGGGATCGAACTCGGGACCTCGCTCACCGAAGGCCATGCACTAACCAACTGTGCCACCCTTGCTCCTGTAAATGCTCTCATGTATTGATGCCATCAGTTGCTTTGTGGTCAGCTTTACTGAGCGTGGAAATTTTTAAGCAATGTTTTGGGCAAGGATAGCAGTCCATAATTGCCTGCTATCAAATCTGGAATAACTTGTGGGCAAAATAGACAGTTAAGAAATGAAATGTCACTCAGGATAAGGCTAATTAGTTTGCTTCACTATTTGATTGTAATGTTATAGGTTACACTGCGCATGATACATGGGATATTGTAGTAAATGACTTCAAAGGATCACCTGGACTTGTCGTTCATCATATCGTGGTAAGTACACACTTAATAAGGTAGGGAGCGGAATCCTGTATGGAGTGGGTAGTAACAGTGGATTGCAGCCCTGAGTCGAGGGAGGTTGAAACAGATGCTAGAAAAGTTAGTCATTCGCTTGACCATCTTTACCTTTTCTATTTAACAGCCAATAGAGTACTAAAGTGTGACGTCATAAAAATGAAATTTCTGAAATTATGGGATTTGTCAGGATATTCTGAAAGAACAATGTCCAAGAGGCCTACTTGCCAAAAATGAGCATTTCGGGGCAAATTGTCTCTGAGATCGTAGCACAGTTATGCTTAAAAAACTCCATACAAACCCTTCTAAATTTTTTTGGGTCGACCCCCCAAAAAATTAGCAGCGTTTGTATGGATGTATTTTATGATTGTATGTTAACATTGGGGTTTTTAAAAACTCCATACAAACCCTTCTAAGTTTTTTCAGAAAAAATTAGCAGGGTTTGTATGGAAATGCTCATTTTTGCTAACATCTCAGAGACAATTTGCCCTGAAATGCTCATTTTTGGTAAGTAGGCCTCTTGGACATTGTTCTTTCAGAATATCCTGACAAATCCCATAATTTCAGAAATTTCATTTTTATGACGTCATCACTTTAGTACTCTATTGTTGGTTTGGTTAGTTAAGAAGTGTCAGTTAAGTTTTTGTTGATCTTTTCGCACGTAGGCCTTTATTAAGTATGTTTCGCATTTGCATTTTGCTGCTTTCATCTTTTAAGGGACATTATTACAGTCATCCTTCTCTAAGAAAGACATTTCCGCGGGATACCTGGGAACGGCACTAGGCTTCCGTCTTAGGGAAGTGTTGGCCTTGTGGGGAGTCACTAAAGATGAAATGCAAATGTTAACGGAAGGAAATACATGTGTGAATTACCGTAACGCAAATAGAAACGAAAGAAGATTCGTGTGTGAACCACCGTAACGCAAAGTGTAAATGCAAGGAAATGCATCTCAATGGGAACTACCTTTTGCGCAACTGCCAGTGCAAACGCAGCGTAAGCACCGACGCGAGAAATGGAATGATTTTCATTTCCTTTCACTTTCATTTGCGTTAGCATTTTACACGTGCGAATTGGGGCAACGCAAACGCCAATTTAAACGCAGGTTAAAGTTTCTCAGTTTCTCTTTTCGTTTGCTGATGCATTTGAAAAAGTTAGAGAGGTGGGATAATCGCGCTGAAATTTCACCTAAAACCTTTTGCCGAAATTGACCGAGACGTCCTTTGAGAAATTTTGAGAAATGCCACGCTTGGCAAAATCGAGCAGTGAAAAAACGAGATAGCAGCGCAATCCCCAAAAGGAATTCCTGCTCGTAGGCTACGATTTAGTGCAGGCCTGTCACTAAGATTTCAAGTTGCCGGGTAAATACAACAGGAAGGCGGGGAAAAATACAGCTACGCATTTCCTCTGTTTCACTTTTCTTCCATTTTTAAAACATGTAGCTCGGGTCACTTTCATGGTAACCGGATGAAATTCCGAGGCTCCTGGCCTTTAATGACAGCTCAGAATTGCGTGTTTAATAGAAAAGTAGATATTACACGAACAGTGTTCTCTTTTCCTCCTTTTCAGATTATTTCAGTCACAATATTCGTCCTACACACCAAGCAGTACCTTGCAATAGCGACTTGCTTATGCTTTGTGGAAATCAATAGTGTTTTCTTACATCTACGAAGATTGATGAGGTTTCATGGCTGGAACAGCTCCGATTTGGCCTACAAGCTTAATTGTGGCGTTCTGTTTATAACATTTATTGCGCTAAGATTCATTTTTCTGCTCTGTTTGAGTGCTTATTTTATTTCAAAGAGACAAAAAATGCCTTTATCCCATTTTCTTCTTGGAACATTTGGTTTCGCCGCGCTGATTATCATCAACTTAATTTTGTTTCCACGTTTGTGGAGAAGTGAGTTTGTGATCAAGAAATCACAGAGCAACGGTCACATGAATGGTTTTGTTGCTGAGAAGGTTAATTAGAAACATTATCAATTGATTGTTCTTGTCTCATTCAAAGATACCTACCTACTTAAATTATTACAAGAATAGTATGATCCCTTTCTGTTATTTAATGGTTTAACTCACGCCTTGGTCGTAGAATGAATGAAAAATTGTCCGTATTTATACCAGAGGACGTTACAGACTTGACGAATTAAACGTCTGGCTAGCTTGCGTAGCTGGTGCCGTTTTTTTTTTTGGGGGGGGGCGTAGGGGGTGAAAGGAGGGAGGAAGGGGGTGAGGGAAGAAAAGGAGAGGAGGCTTCCTCTCCCCTTCGCTTGTTCTTCTCGGGCGCCCTATAAAAACCTAACCGGCGCCTGCCACGAAGGCTATCGTCTGGCTTAAGTGCGGCGTTAAGCACGACCCTCTTACTTCTAGACCATGTTGTGCGAGATTATTTATCGCTCCAACTTAATATCTGAGGACGAAACCCTTTGGTGTTACCATTGAAATGAAATCTCCTTGGCAGAACTTTGCCCAACAGTAGTCATTTCGTATGATGTTACAGACAGCAGTATTAACAGAGTTAGAAGATTATCTTAATTAAACAGCGACGAAGATGATTTAAATATGCCTTTAAAAGGAAAGATGATATAAAAATAATTAAGAGAAAAATGTTGCTGGTTTGCACTTGACGTCACTGTGGCCATGTTGGTGGCGACGAACAAGAGCATTTCTCTACTCTGGGAACTAAACTCCAATCGCCCGTTTAGAAAAGAGAAGGAAAGTGAGTGACTTTTCGCAAAAACTTTTGGGACTCACACTAGGAAAGGAAAAAAAATAGCGGACTGGCGCGTCCCCAGTAACAATCCCAGGGACAATTTCGGGATGCATTTCAACTCCAGTTCTTTCTCATTTGTATGGTGGCTAATTTTCATGTAAATTCTTCGGAAAAAAAATTGTTGTATTAACCACCAACATGACCGCCTAATCACGTGTTTGCAAACCAAGAATGGTGTAATTTCCATAAAATGTTTAATTGTGCGCAAATTGTATGAACACTGCGGTCAGCCAATGATCACGATCGCCAGAGTTTGAATACTAAGTATTAGTAAAATCCAAGTAGTGGTCTATTATCAATGCTGCATTCTGATTGGTTGAGCTACTACCAGGTTATATGTTATAGCCCACTAGTAGCGGAAAGCACGGGCTTTTGGGCGGCAAAATAGGGTTGAAGTTTAGCTTTAACTAGCTAGACTTTTTTTTTAATTTCGATATTTTTGACCAACTAGTTGGATTTTACTAAATCAATTATTCCTCGAGCCCGAATGGTCTCTGAGTCAATAGCCCATTCAGGCTCGAGGAATAATTGTTAAATATTTAATTTGACAGAATGCCTTATAAAAAAGGTCAATTCTGGTACCGAATATTAATAAGAAAGAATTGAAACAAGCCATGTATTTCCATCCACTCGTCGATGTCGCGAAAATCGTTGCTAATGAATTTTTAGTTAAATTTGCTATTTAAGGGTTTGTTCACATGGAGGTGGAGGACCCCAGGTAGGTGAGGTAACCCGCGGCGGGTCACCCCACCTATCATGTAAACGTGATCAAATTAAAATGAGAGATTATGTGGACAGGAGGATTACCCCACCTAAGCGGGTTACCTCACCTACCTTGGGTCCCCCACCTTCATGTAAACAGGCCCTTAATTTCCATTTTTTTTTTATCGTTGTGCAAAATTAATTATGCTGTTTTAGGATTTTTCAAATATAACGTTTTTTACAGCCCAAATTAGGGATGGTTTCTTTAACTGTATCTCTTGCTGACAGAGTAAACGCAAGAAAGAAAATAATCATAATCGTAGCCAAAAAAGAAAGAATGAATGAAAGAAAAAACGAATAGACTTGATGTTCACAGAATCAATCATAAACACGCTTTATAAAGATAACGCCCATAGTTTACAAGAAAACTATACATTGTACCCATTTTAATAAAGAGTTCCCTTTTGGTCGAATACGGCAGCCTATGACCATTTGTGCAGCGTTTAGTCGAACTTTCATCACGTTTGCCTTGGTTTAAAGGTACTGCCTTAGCCCTGCAAACGGTTTAACCACGTAAAACGGCGGTCCCGTGTCCGGTAGTAGACATAAACCGTATAAGTAGTTTTCTCAATTACGTGCTAAATATAATACATTGACACTCAATTGAAGTGCGTTTCATTTTTTATTACTCAGTAACTTGCATTTCTTTAAATTTGGATTTGAAGAATCTATCTGTGTTAATTACACTACACAATACACAAGTGAAACATTTTTACTATGTATTTTCAAGCTTAGGGTTTTTATCTCGGCCAAATTCTGCATTAAACAAGGAGAGAAACAGTACCACATTGACCACTACCATCCCACCCAGCCCAAACACTCCGAACAAGTAACATGGTAAATATTGATCCTGACCATGTAATATGACATATATTTCCATAAAGGAGACAGGAATAAACCGAAAAATAACGAAAGTGATGAGTAGAATTGCCAGATTGAAGCGGTACAGAAGACTTGATCGGTCTATTTGGTGATATCGCATGATCCTTCTGAGGTGAAGTGGAATACTGTTTACTTCCAGTAAGAGACAGCCGGTTGGAAAGGCGAGATACAGTTGCGAGAACGTCGTGAAAGTACACGCCATGCAGCTCTATATGAGAACATAACAAATACAGTTTACTATTAGGAAAGACATACCACTAGCATGGGACCATGGTTGGCAATGAGGGCAGAAAAATCGGCAAGCGAGGGACTGGGGATGGGAAAATCGCTCAGCTCTTCTCCCCACTGCAGCCGAGCCTGGACCCAGGCTAACATGTCACAGTACACTGTCGTAGTGAAGTTACAATTATTATAACTGAGTAGCTACTCGATACAAGGTATTTGTAGATTGTCATAAAGCGTAAACTAACGTCAGTGAATGATGAACCTGGCTTACCTTGAGTAACTAAGCTTGTGTACCTACTAAGGTAGGTGCACCAAGTGAAAGGCAAAACGACTATCCTCTCTTCTTGAACGCGGTCAAAAAAAGAATTTGTCAACTATGCGAAATGAATTTTTAACTATCAGTCTGAATTTTTATTGCAGGTATCCCTATTAAAAAGAAGACTTTACTCTTCTGTTTCAGTTTAAAGCTATGTGTCGGAAGCAACCATTCAACTAAAAATGTTTGAGCATGCTACCGGTTTTTCTTCGAGAATGGGACAATCCTCCTTCCCTAAAACAAATACACAGGAACTTTCAAAGGTTTCATTTTGGTGGAGGAAATCTTACCATTAATTCGCCCCACTCGAGGTGTGGGAGGTAAGGGAAAAGAATGCTTTTCGACAATCCGTCCGCTGAAATACTGTTGCTCCGAGTATTAATCCTACAGTAGCATCTTTAGTTGGTTGTGGGATCGTAGGCATAAACCAAGATACAATGGCTGTATGATCCTTTAAGTTGATCATGAGGCCATTATGCCCATGAACTAAAGCTGATACAAGAACGAACGCACAAACAAAAGTTTTTATTTCCTTCGGCTTGTTCTGGCGCAACGAAAAGGTCGGAATCAATGAAAGGAAGGAGGGGATCCCCGCAGGCCCTTTGCTCTTGTCAGTTCCATCGAGTTTTCTTCCCAACCGTTCAGCGAGTGGCGCAAAATAAAGAACAGTAGCACACATCAGACTAAAGTAGCCTGCCAGAAAGCTCTCCATTTGGGGATATCGTTAAAAGTAGACGCGCGAGAGGCTTGCTCGCGCCTTCTCGCGCGGCTCGCTTCGCTCGCTCATATAGGAGAGCTTGCTCGCAGGCTAGACTAGAGGTACGGCAAAACGGGCAAAAAAACCCGTGCAACTTGTTTTGCAACACTGCAGCAAAACGAGTTGAAACGCGATGTTACGGGGCGCGTTTTACCAGCCACGTTCAATCCTGTCTCAGCTACAAATCAGGTTGCGGACAGTAGTTCTACCCCGGGGGGAACTTTAGGAATTTCTTGGTGGGGATGTGCCGCTGATATCCTGGAGACCTTAACCTATACCAGAGCTAGTTCAGCTGAATTTTGCTACCCTATACTAGAGTAAACTCCCCAAATCCCCCCTATCCTAGAGTAGCTGTTTTCCAGACACTACTGAGGTCAGTAGAACAGTAGTCTAGCCAAAACTGAAAACCTTCTACCACAATCCCTGGTCTAGATAAGATCCTCAACCAACTGATCAGTTTCCTGAAAAATGATACCCTATTCTAGACTCAAACGCTCTGATTTATATACCCTATCCCAGAGTAAACTGCTTGAAAACCATACCCTTCACAGCGGCACATACCTATGTAGCCCATATATGGCAGTACCCCCCTTCTTGGGAGTTCTACTTTTTGCAACAACATATGTACATGTGGCTCGTCATTTTCACCGGCGCAAGGCAAACTTGTTTTGCAACAAGAACGTATATAACTCTCGTGTATGGCGTGACTCCCGCGTAATTTTAACCAATTAAAAGTTAGTATTTACGCAAATTGCAACAACGTGATTTGTTGCAAGACGGGTTTGATTCGTGGGTGGTAAAACGCTCAACATTGCCATTCAACTATTTTGGAGCAATGTTACAAAAGAAGCTGCAGAGTTTTTGTTGTCCATCAGTTTACCGTAGCTTACCTTACCAGTACATGATGGAATAGGAGACCAGGAGAGTTACGTAAGTCATGCAAAAGCACGTCAAAAAAATCGTGGATAAAATAGCCTGTGAAACAAAAACAAGTCGCAATGAATCCATCTGTATATTCTGTCCCAAGGTTTCATTTGAAAGTTGTTTCTCTTGGCATCTCTTCCAGCAGTTTTAGGGCTGCTCGCCACCGAGTACAGGGTTGGCTGAAGCGCGCCACAAGCAGCGAAGTCGCCAAAAAAACTCTGTTACCCAAGGTAAATAGACTGAATAGATGATCGTTGGTGACAAGCCAAGGGCAGCTATACAAAGGCTACCATAGCCTGATTAGCAGGCGCCGGTTTTTTTTAAGACGAAGGAAGAAATCTCGAGGACGCGCGAGGGGAGAAAAGGAGAGGTTAAAAAAAGTTAACCGGCGCCTGTAACGCAGGCTAAGGCTACCACAAAAAAAAAATAACAACAACAAATCAAACAAACAAACAGACAACAACAACAAACGCGGCAAAATCACTGTCCCTTAATGAGAATTGACAAACCTCTGGGTTTTCACGGTCTGCGAAAAGTGAGTGTCACTAGACACAGCACATGAAAAGGCTGTGGGATCCAGGGCAACACCTTTTGCTTAATTTCAGCCGACCTAGAAGTCGATCAAAAGGGGGCCTCTGCTAGCAGGGAACGGACTGAAGAGGATAAAACCGCCTTCAGTGAATCATATCAATCAATTACATAAATTTGGATGTTATTTTACCTGTATTTTCCATTGCATTTGTGCTCAAATACACCCGTTAAAAATGCAAAATGTAATTTCTATTCCCAGCAGAGTTGTGTTATAGTACAGATTGGAAAGGAGTTACTGCAAAACAAAAATTTTATAAACGCCCCATCCACAAAATTAAACAGTTTATTTACCTGCCGAGAAACAAACCACGTAAAATGAGAGCATGCTCCACCTGTGAATCATATCATACACCATTGCTGGGTCATCGTAAAAACTGCAGTTGGGGATCAGAACAAACACAGAAAAATCACGTTACTTTTTGTTATATAGAGGAAAGTACATGGCCGCGCGGAGATACGAAATTTCTCTGCGAGTGTTGAAATATTTTTCTATCGTTTTATTTTTTCAACACGAGAAGAGAAATTTCGTATCTCCAAGCAGCCATGTAATGTTCTGTTTATTATATAAACACCAATGAAATACCACACCATTTCACTTTAATAGTTTTGTTGCTGAGAAAGGCGCGATTTATTATGTAGCCATAGCAACGGTGATATTTCAAGTGTGAAGATAAAATGTAATTTTCACATGTAAAAAAATCATGCTTTTGCGCGAAAGCTCATCTGGTATTTCATTGGTGTTTATATAACTAATAAATTTAACTGGTCACTGGTGTATTTTTTAACCAACATGGCCGACTCCTTGTCACGTGGTTACAAAATAAGAATTGTTAGGATTACATTAAGACAGAAATCAAAGAGAAGACTGAAGGATAGGTTCTCATAATCTCCTTCGTTGCCGGCCTTCTCTCCACTGATCCCTGGTACGGGTAGCCAAGCAAACGAAACGTTAATGCGAGAGTGGCTCGGTGCTGCACGCGTAACGTAGAGTCCAGTTCAGCTTTTCTCAGTCCAAAATTTAAGGCATCACGCTTTTTTGGACTTTTCTTTGCCGTCACTGCACGACTACGACGTGAAAATGCGTGATTTCAGGCTATATGGAGGACGTAGTATGGCGCATTGGCGCTTTTGGTTGTCTCCTTCTCCACACCTTTCTTTTTTTTTTTTTTTTTTTTTTTTTTTTATAGTAGTGTTAGCTTATTTCATTTCATTATTTGCTTGTAATGTAGTGGAGTGAATCTGTAATAAATACGTAAATAAGCGACGACGAATTTTTCTTTCTCTTTCTAAACTTGAGTGCGGTCCCCAAGAAATCAACTCTAGGGAAATTCGCCTACAATCAAATTTTCAGCGGATTGGAATAAACGCGACAACGTTTGAAAAAACGCGAATGCCTTTTCAAGTAGTCTGTGAACAGGCCTTTGGTCGAGGCTAGACCGTCGCCGTCGTCGATGCTAAAGCTCCCTAATGTACGTAGCCTGTGCAGCTGGCGGACTGGCAGGATGGGATATGTTTTCTTGGTGGCGAAGCGGCGTGGGATTTTCATGAGGGGCGAAGCCTCGAAATACCCAATCTTCTCGTGGCGCCGCCGTCAAAACAATACAGCACTCGCAAAACAATAATTGCACTCACCCGCTAATTCCGCCAGCTACGCAGGCCCGGGGGGGGGGGTACTGCCATATATGGGCTATATGGGTATGTGCCGCTGTGAAGGGTATGGTTTTCAAGCAGTTTACTCTGGGATAGGGTATATAAATCAGAGAGTTTGGGTCTAGAATAGGGTATCATTTTTCAGGAAACTGATCCGTTGGTTGAAGATTTTATCTAGACTAGGGAAACAGCTACTCTAGGATAGGGGGGATTTGGAGAGTTTACTCTAGTATAGGGTAGCACAATTTAGCTGAATAGCTGAACTAGCTCTGGTATAGGTTAAGGGTTCCGGCACGTCCCCACCCAGAAATTCCTAAAGTACCCCCAGGTTACGCAGGCTGTCAATAAAACAGTGGTTTTCATTCATCAATAGTGAATAAATAGTGTGCGATGTTTTGTTTCAGTTAACATCTGCCTAACGACAGCACTATTTTAAATACAAATACAAGTCATACATGCAACTTACCAGTACAGTACTAGACATGATGAGAGACCCGAGTGAACTAGAGATACCAGAGTGTTATGGTACATCCATTGCTTTCGACTTGAGCTTTGCAGCAGTGATTTCGGAATAGGAACAAAACGTCGCACTGCAACAAAACAAATTCGGAAAAAAACTAGAGATGGTGTTATGACGTAAAGAGCTGTCGGTGCTTCTGTTATGGTATGCATGGCAGCGAAGAAGAAGCTTGGAGAACTGTGGCTGGAAAAGAGATATGTTGCATTTGGTGTTTACAGGGTGTTTTGTGTCAGTTTTTTTGTGTCAAAATCTCCCTGATTGATAGAAAGTGAACAGACCTATCACATGCGGTAGCTTCCGGCTCAAATCAAACTTTCCACACAGGTGATTTGCTACTTGGTTACGTAATATGCGCAGCCGGAATGATCGAATTCGACAAGTTTCCATGAAATAAATTGATATGCTTATACAGGTCTGAAAAGGATTTTTTGCTATTTCTGATTTATTTTTTTATATTAAATGTAAAAGTGTTATAATTTTATGAAATTCTTTGTCAGTGGCATTTCAAGATTATAACAGTTGTCATGAATTTGTATCAATTATATATTGCAAAGCCCTTTAGAGTCATTGGCAAGTTTACACCGGAAATGGAACGCAGCCGAAGTGCGCGGAAAATAAGTTTGGGACTGCTGTCATGACAGTCAATTGATCAATTATAATCTCGGGGACTTGGGGGCCCGCTTATCTAAGATAAAAGGGGAATCAGCTTCGAAAATAATATTTCTCGGCCCTGCAGGCTTCAGTTTGGCCAGGAGCTCATCAGCGGGAGCCTCCATCTCCCATACCCTAAAAATAAGGTGACGAAGGCCCCGGCCCCATGCCTCCCCCGCCAACCTCGTTCCCAAGTTCTCTCTTTCGCTCCGTAAAACAAACAACAGAAATGGAAGTTATCCCTGACACATTAAATTCCGACCAGCTACATGGCCATGAAACAGCGACATAGGACAGCAGAAATGCAAGCTGGCAACAACGACATGATGATGGGTTAAAAATGTGACAGCGACGAGGAAAATCGCCAAATATTAATCCAATAGTAAAATAGCAACACGACCGCTTCCCCCACCCTCCCCCCCCTCCCCCGCCTAAACCCTGAGAAGGCCTCATTCACTTCGTGCCAGTAGGAACAAATACCAGCAAGACAAGACAAGACAATTTTTTTATTTGGGGTCTTATACCACTTCTGGTACATCGACTGTTTCCCAAATAATTTCAAATTGTAATCATTTATGTTAGGCTATTTGTTACATTATACATAAAAAGTTATTACAAATAACGAGAGTTACATATACACAGACACATATTTGATCGACTTTTTGGCTTCCTTCTCGTTTCTTTGAACATATGATTCGCTATCAATTTTTTGGTTTTCAGACTTCTCGTTAGGGAGATTTATTAAAAACATGAATATTTCATTTGGTGACATTTTGTTCACTTCTATAGGATGTTCATTTTTTAAGTTATCGAATACGGTGACAACGTTTCTTTTTTCCTGGTAAGCAGGGCGTACAGTTTCGATACAGTCATATTCCATTTACATTTCATTTCCAGTTATATTCCATTTCCTCCATTTCTAGTTTACAATTTGGACATACTCTTTTTTCAGGTTTTTATAAGGTCTTAAGTATCGGCCCCGTTTCTATGGCGAGTTTGTGGTTGCTTAATCGCAATATTTTGTTAACGTTATTCTGTGGCGGGTGTTGGTGACCTGGCGAAGGTAATGCTCACGTTTGTAATTTTCTATTGTTTTGAATATTCGGTATGTTCTCATTTTGCTATTTTGGTCAGCATCTCTTCTAATGTCGTTATTCATTTCACTCAAATGAAATTCAGAGGTTTCGGAGAGCTACGCCCGTTAAAAATGCAGCTAAATTTCCAAACTTCATTTCATTATTAAATACTGAATAACAAGTGTCACCATACAAAATGTCAGCCAAAAGCCGACGTTTTATTAATATTTGGAAAATCTTATCTTTGGCAGGGGAACTTAAAAGTTAAAACCTGTTAATCCAGCATACTACATAGTACAGTGTAAAATTACGTATACCCATAAAGGGGTTTAATTTCACTAGAATCATCGCAATTAAATACTTTGTCCTCCTGACAGTTGAATAGTTAGGCCGGTGGAGAATACATGTATCATGATATCCCCGCTCTGTAAAACGTCTTTTCTTAAAACTCACAATGATTTGACATATACTAAAAGTAAGGTAAAAGAGTCCGAAGAAACGTCGTAGAGCATAATCAAACGAACGCGAAGCAATTAAGGGCAACTAAGACAATTAAGGTCTCGGTAAAGGAAAACGAGGTGCCCACAGAAAAAAATTCTAGTCGCGCGAGTATTTTCGCTACAAAGGCAAGTTACATATCAAATTAAAGCTAAAAGACTAAATTACCTTATAAAAGATTTTATTTCATCGAATTTCAAAAGGTGCTTAAGTTTTTTGTTCTCGAACTCAGAGGTATCGAGTTTACTGCTGAAGCTCCAGCCCTTTCGCGTTGTTAAATATTCACTTCCTTTTTATTGCATCTGATTGACAGATAAAAGACCTAAAAAAGGGTGTGAGGAAATTTGCAGATGTCTCGTATTAGCGGAATTATTGCATTTCAAACTAAAAGGTCGAATCTCGAGCGCGATTTACGCAAAGAAACTGACGTAAAATGAGTTACAAAGGGAAATCGGAAAATTCCTCACACCCTTTTTGAGTCTATATCATTATCCATCATATCTGAAAGTTTCAAAGCGATAGCTTAAAACCTGTCCCGACTGGAGGTCGGAGAATTTTGATTTTTGCGTCTAAAATAGAGTGAGAGAAAATCAGCTCTAAAGATTTAGCGCGAAGTCCACGCTTGGCTGGTTAGCTCAGAAAAGGCTCATTTTAGAAGGGTTAAAAAGCACTTTCTGATTTTCTTTTTCTGCCAAATTAAAATTTAGGACCCACTCATGCCAAAAATCCAAAAAAAACAAAATCGAGCAATGTACTAAAATTTTCATTTACCGAGACCTTAAGCAAATGTCATTTCTGATATTCCTTAGATCGTTCTACAGATCTCTATAGGGCGCTTATATAGCCATCGGAGAGTGTATTATTTTACAAGAGAGAGGAGCTGAGTATGAAAGTGTAGACAGAACTGATGGCGATGAGTCAAATTGTTTTTTTCCCCTGAACGTTTTCCACCTCCCCTGCGCAGACTTAATGTATCATTAATAAATCATGTTGAACCGTTTGGCCTGACCGTGAGACTGACCGGACGCTTCAGGTAGCGCTCAGCGTTTTACGCGCGTTTTCGCATATGTGTATTTGTTGTTAGGCTAGTTAAGATCAGTTTTTTTCTTTGTTGACAAAGTGAAAGCGTTAAGAAGAGAAAACGATGATTTAAAGAGACAACTGAATGATCTGAAGAAGTAATACTGTTAGTTAGTTCTCTAGCCATTGTCGTCAATTCAGTTAGTTTCTTTAGATCTCTTGTTTCTTTTAGTTGTATTCAGTTGTATTTATTTCCTGTAGACATGACCCGCCTAGATTAGCTTAGCTACTCGTGGCATGTTATAATTGTACCACTACATGTACTATCATTAGTGAGCAGTTCATAAATTTGCCGCACAATAATACAACCGTTTAGGAATTCAACGAAATGGGGTTGATTGTTAGCTATGTGTTTTCTTTTCTAGAGAAAAAACCGAAAGCGTTACCTAATGAGTTTGTTCAGACTGAATTGCTGGCAAGTGCGGCAAAGGCAGCATCTCCTTCATAATACAACTTGCAGGTGACTCGTACATTATTCATGGTTTGCGTTTCTTAAAAGCCGAAGGGGAAAAATCATAATCCTGGCTGAGAAATTCGCTGTTTTTATTAGCACCCAAAAATATAGGAACCTTTTTAGCCAAGCAAGATCAAGCAGGATCTTTTATGTGGGTTACAGTTAAATCATGATAAATAATTTAACCAAGGAGTGCAACTTTAACTGTTGTTAATCATAAGTATAACAAGGACATACTGTACCACTACTGTATGTAAATTCTGTAATTAGTTTTGTTAGGGTTATAATAATTGAGCTGTGAATAAATACTGTATATAAGGACCACAACCAAGTTATTTTTTTCCTGGCAATCAACAATCGATTATCCGACTTTTCTCCCTCATAGAAATTTTAATTTATGAAAAGAACCTAATTAAGAACCTACGTTGCAAAATTGCCAATAAGTACCCCGAAATATAAGAACTTATCCGAAGTTGTCAGACTTCAACAGTAAAGTAGGTTTTTATTCGCAAGCGCTTACTGTATTTCAGTATAAGGTCACGTTCTTTCTAATAATTCCATGCCTGCCAAAACGCTAAACAAAGCTGGGGCTTGCGAAAAGCCACACAGTAAAGACTCCGTTCGATTGTTGCTAAACAAACAATGCAGCAAAGAGTTTATAAAATTATGTTTTTTATTCAGGATTTAAATAAGTAAATTTAAACCCTAATTTTTCCATGCGCCTGCTACACACGTTAATTTAGTCAAACAAAAGTCCATCTTTTAATGAAAAATAGAGGCACTGAGGTAAAAGGATGCCCAAGTTTTATAACTGATGAAATTTTGTTTCTTTTTTATACCTTTTAAATGTAAACCTAGCGGTGGTGTATTATTTAACATATAAATTGCAGTATTGCTCTTCGGATGTTAGTAAGAAAAGCGCCACAATTGAAATAGCCAATCAGAAAGTTTATGTAATATTTGAGAGAAGGCCAAACCTTTCAAGTAAAAAACAGAAAGCAAATATAGCTCTTGGTTGTTTGATTATGGTGTATATTAGTGGCAAAGTTCATTACGGATCTCCAGTCATCACTTTTAATTACCACTCATTTGTCTTTCATTCAGCATAGAGATTTGCTAGGTGTTGACTCAAGGTGCGGGAGGGGCTTACGTAAGAGAGTAAAATACGACATGGAAGTTTTAAAAAGAAAAGTATGTATGATATGTATCCACAGTTGGATGAGATTTAATGTGGACAATTAGCAGATATAGGCATTAGCAGCCATCTTAAGGATGCATTTTTGCATTTGGGCGGCCAAAGTCAAAAAATGACTAAAGGTGGGATGATTTCAAATTACTTACCGAAAAGAAAAAAGTAAATACTGGGAAGTTAAAATTGGCAAACATGATTGACAGCTTGACACCACTGAGCATAAGTCGTTTCCCTGCCTTAGGTGTGCTTGGGTTCTGAAGAAGAGCTACAATGATGGATATCAATCTTAACAATCGCAGTCTCTTTTTAACCATCGTGGAAGTCAGCTCGCTTGTTATCTTAAATGCTCTTTCGTTGTCAGGAAACAGCTTGGTTTGTATTTCAGTGTACAAGAGCACAAGGCTTCGTACAACAACAAACCTTTATATTATCGCATTGGCTCTGAGCGATTTGATTTCAGCTGTGTTTGTAATGCCTCTTGTAGTCGGTGTGCTTGCAACAAGCGATTGGGTTTACGGGCGAGTAATTTGTGACCTACATGGTTTCTTCACTAGCTTTGTAGTTTACGTTTCACCTGTAACTATGGGCTTAACAGCTTTTAACAGGTACATGAGAATTTGCAAGTCGGACGAGCAATATAGGAAATTCTTTACACCGAGGAAGTCACGCGCATGGCTGGCTTGTGTATGGATCCTCGTTGCTTTATATTCTGCTTTACCGAAGTTAGCTGGTCTCCAAGGTTATATGTTCGTTCCAGGTTACGCCCTTTGTGGCCCAGCTCATCTAAGCGAAGCTGGGAAAATGACCCACTATGCCATTGTGCTCTGTTTGTTCCTTTTAACACCGTTAGCAACAACAATATTCAGCTACATAAAAGTTGCAAAGACAATCCAACAGCACAATGCGGATGCATCGTCTACGATCCACAGTGATGAAGTGAACAGAGGCATGATCTCCACCCGCGAGATCAAGCTCAGCAAATCTCTCTTCGCTGTCGTTTTCGCATTTATGATATGCTGGATCCCATTTTGGGTAATCGTTATTTTAAAGCGCTTTCATCTCGTCGCAACGATGCCACGAAATTTGGAGCTATTCTGCATGTTTTTCCTTTACTTGTCCAACACAATAAATCCGTTTATCTACGCAGGGATGAATCCCGTGTTTAAGAGAGAATTCCGTAAATTAATCTGTTGTGAACAACGACATAATGGTGTGGGTGTATCTGGTGGAGGCAAATCAGAGACTGAAGAGGGCATGAGGAGGCGGATCGAAACGTACAACAGCGTTGACATTAACAAGCGACTGATACTACGCCCGGCTAAAACGGAAACTTAGTGCACTTTCGTAATTTTTGAGTAGCACTCACGCAGCCACAAATGCAAAAACACACTTATAGCACTGCGCTAAAATGTAAGGAGAGATTTTCCATGAATTCTTTATTTTCCTCGAATTTCGTATATAGCTTTCAAGTGTTCGCTTTGACGTTGTTCTTAGTAATTCATACTGAATTTGTATAAAGAGGTTTTAGCTCCGCAAAAAGGCTCCTGCGGCGGTGCCATTTTATTGTACCTGTTTGATTACTTATTAGTGTTCGTTAACGCAATAATTCTAGAAAAAGCCAACAGTGTTTACAGCTCTCAAAACTATTTGTCACTGACGCTTTTTCACTGGACACGTTTTACTTCAATTGTTGACTTTTAGGAAAAAAATCATTAGTTTTCAGAATAATGGCTTTTAACTTAGTTTATCTTTTAATTCAAGCTTTCTTTCTATTCTGCACCACATCTGTTCACATTAGCACCTTTTTACAGATGTACCTCGTTTTAATTGCATTTTACCTATATGTATTTGCGAATATAACGTTCATTAGTCTGTTGGTTAAATAGTGGCAACAACTAAATTTGAAATATGAAAGGTTTTACTGACTTGCAAATTCGAAATGTATTTGCTTTGCTTTAAAACTAGGAAACTAGTACTTAGTCTGCGTTTCTTCCTGCTTGAACAGACCTTAGCTAGCCTTGTAATTTCATCAGGGACCGCGCAGGTGGTGGGGCTGGGAAGGCTTTAGCCTTTAGAACATTGAATGTTCAACTGGAAATATTTAAGGTGTTGATGAAGGAAGGAGAATTTACCTGTTTTGATGACATTTTAGCCAAGATCAAGCAGCTTTCTGACGCCGAAAATTGTATGATAACTGAAATCATAACCCTATGTAAACTTCTTCTTGTAAATCCAGCAACCAGTGCAGCAGGGGAGAGATCCTTTTCTTCTGCTCGGATACTGAAAACGTGGCTACGCTCGACGATGACACAAACAAGATTTAGCAATCTGACAATACTTAATACCCACAAGCAGAGAACACACAAACTTTGTCTTATAGTTGTTGCCAATGAGTTTGCAGCTCTCAATGAAAATCGAAAAAGTAACTTTGGCACCTTCAAAGAATCCGACTTAAAAGAGTCTTAAAAATGTCCTTGTGACACTCATCCGTTGCGTCTGTTGGGTTTAGCTTAGAGGTTAGTCTATTCATTTAAATTTGGCCAAACGTGAAGGCCAGTTTGTTACTCGTTGTTTTATAAGAATTAAAAATTAACTTCACTTTTGGCAGTTTTAGATCCATTTCTAGCCATTTCAGAAGACTTCAATTTCAAATTTTCCCGGGGGAGCATGCCCCCGGAGCCTCCTAGTTGGCTTACGCTAACGCGTTCGCATTAGCCCCCCTACTTGAAAATTCATTTTGGCATACTGGAAACATACGTACGTCAAAGATTGACGGAAATTGTTTTTTTATCCCAACTATGGAGTTTGTGTACATGATCAACAGTTAGAATGTTTATTAAATTTAAGAAAAGCAGAGAGAGCACTGGGTAGGAAAGAAGATGATCCTTATCAAATGATTATGTTGGGTTTGAATTTTTTTTAAATATGATAAATCTAAACGTCAACTGAGGTTTTGAACAAAACAAACGAAACTGCAACTTAAACGTCATATCTCAGCTGTCCTCACATATAACATTGTCATACAAAGTCAATGATTCACGTCATAAACGACCGTCAAATAGCAAAGTACGTGTGTGGAACTGACCAGATGGTGGAATTTTATACTGCACTTTACTCACTTTATATAATGTAGACGATTTAAAATAAGCTACACTTAACAGTTTTGTAGCCTGTTAACAGGCCTTCGTTTTGCCAAGCAGCAATGCCATACGAAATGTATGGATATGTCAGGTTATAATAATAAAGCTGCTTCAACTCTAATAGGGTAGAATCAGAAGAACATGATGAAGTTTGTAAAATATACCAGTATTTCGTGATAATATAGAGCAAACAAATGAGCCGTGATATTTCCAAGATAACTGGTCATCAATAAAAACACTCATCTCTTTGTTCAATTGGAAAGTTTGTGTTTTTGCTGTTTGATAAAGTTACTTTGAACGGCGAGGTTTTTTCGGAGACTTGATAATCATAAAATTTGTTTTTGTAAGGTTAATTGAAACTTTATTTAGGTCAAAACAGTGTTTTACTTTAATTAGCTCTTGGTTAAGAGGGCTTTTGATCGAGACCCCGCCGACTAAGGATAGTCAATGTTCTAGCCTGCGAACCGAAGACGTATTTCCGGTCGTCGGTTTTTCTCGGCGGGTGAAACTAGAGTCGAAAAACCCGAATGCTCTCGCAGGCTATCAATGTTCAGGTTAGAGCCCAAACATGAGCGTGTCTTCCTAAAATTTATAAGTTAAAAAAAAGATACAGTTTAAGATTAAAGATTTAAGATTACTTGTCGCGTGTTCGGCGAATTTAGTTGTCTTTTCCATGGAAACAATTTTTTCTGCGCCTTGCCCCATTGCGCTCGTCTGGCGCTTCTCGCTTGCTTTGGGCTCGGTCTTCGTTCGCCTGAAAAACGCGAGAAAATGGCCCCTGTTATACAGGGTATTTCCATGCAAGCTAACTGTTTACGTTCACAGCCATGTTTTTGAAAAATTTGGAGTTTTCATGTCAATAAAATAAAGCTATTTCGACAGGTGTTCCAACAAAATGGCAAATAAACAAGACCAAAACATTTTAAAGAAATTAATATCAACGGTTTGCCACCCACTAAAAGATATCATTCCTGTTCAGAAGACTTATGTACATAATCTTAGGAAAAAAGGCTGCGTACGCCCGAAAATTAATACAGAGCGTTTTATGAACACCTTTGTAAATAGGTTGATTTTTAAGCTCCATTTATTGTAATGATACACTTTTTTAATATATACATATAACGTAGATATTTTTATCATAGTTTTTATCTTCTCTTATTGTAACATAAGATATGTAGTGTTTATCTTTTGGTGAAATAAAGACTCAAAGAAAAATTACCTCCCAGTAAAATCCCCGGAGGACGGGGGAGTACTCCCTATAATGGCCTGTACGGGAAGGCTCCCTCCGAAAGTAGTTCCTTTTAGGTTTCAGTTATATGAAAGGGTAGGGAGGTCGGTAGGGAGTATATGAAATGGCCTACACTTGCCACAAGTCGACTTCGTGAGACGGACGCTCGCCAGGCGGAGCGAGCGGACGTAAGCAAGTCTAACCAGCAGAAAACGGAAACGGGCTTTGGGATTATCTAGAAATGATAGGGAAATCTCTCTTCTAAAATGGTATTTAAAAGGGTTAGGAGCTGGACCGCGGAGCGGAGTCTCCCCGCAAAAACGTTGTTGAGTGTAGCCTGCGAAAACATCCGTTTCTCCTCCGCGCGAAACGTCCTCAGCGACGAAGAGCGAGGAGAAACGGATGTTTTCGCAGGCTATGTTGAGTGTGCACCTCTTCCCTTCCCCTCGGGGTGAACATGATGCAGGCTCTTTCTGGTCAGCGGATACACAATTGAGTAAACGAAAAAAAGATGGCGGCGGATTTCCTCGCGATTTTTGGATTTGTTTACCGTTACTAGGAATCGATTTGAGGGTTTTGTTCTTTCTATCTTCTCGTCTTTGAACATGAAAGCAAAATTTAAAACTCGACCTGCTGTTGTGGGGATTTTATGCCAATATGGATGAATCGGAATGTACGGAAAATGAGCTTTACTCAGCTGGGAAATTACCAGCTACGCGGGTATGTCGCTTATTCAAAAACAAAAACTGTCCTTAGTTTAATCAAGCTTTCGTATTATTACTTGTTTATTATGATTGTTCCCTGTTTGTATTAGAGTTGGCAAAAACGTTTTATTATGTCACATGTTAACCTCCACAGGCCACAGTTATATATAAGTCAGCATACTGGCTGTTTAAGATGAAATTTATTAAAGCGACAATCTAAATCATTGTCATAAATGTGCTTTGATTTTAACAAAAGAGGGGTAAAGCTTCTCGCATGCAAATATGTGCTGGATCTTAACGTTTCTTTATTTGGACCATCAATCCCAGTTTGCAGAACAAAAATTGTAAGTAAAGGAATTTGTTCTAGCCGTAAGGACACTAAGAGAAAAGTTACGTGTGGTTATTTGTAAGGAAGTTAGTTATTGAAGGTTTAGATATATAAAGCACAAAATTCAGGAAAATTACTTATTATGAAACATTTTAGGATTGGTTACGCCATGCAAACCAGTCACTCTCCAGGCTGAAAGAAGTCAAGAAGACATCGTATCGGCTTGGTGGTGGACCAAGGGAGAGAGAGGTGAACTGTCATTGTAATTACAGGAGTAAAAGTAAAAGCAGTTATTTAAGTTTGGGGCCAGAACCACCACAGCTGGCACTTGACAGTCAGGAGACAGCAAGGTATGAGTACATCAGAAACTATTTTCACTCCGGATTTCACTTTGAATCGAGTTTTATAACCCCCACAAAACAGTATTAGAATACTGCTTCTGTGAGGGTCATAATATGAGTACAGTGGTCTACAGTGAAATAGCAAAATAGCAGAATAATGAACCCCTATATAATGATACCCTGTAATAATGAATGGCTTTCTTTACCACCAAATAGTATACAACTATCCCTACATGTATCTGTATGGATATACGGAGACAAGAAGCATCAAGGTATATGCTGAATATTAGGGGATAGTTGTTTTAGTATTAATTGTTACTAAATCAGTTGGATAAAGATTGAAAAAAAAAATTTTTGCAAGTAAGTGTGTTGTTTATATACTTCTCTACCTACCAGTGAAAATGGATGAGCTAAATTTTTGTTGCTCTCTGTTGATAAAGCTGTTTTGTTTGTTCCAAAAATTATTTTTGTCTCCAGAGGCTGTTGCAAAAGGGGTTGCCAATAACTTGACTCCTGGTCCAAAGCAGTTTATTACAATGTAATTGCCAAAGATATTCTGAGTTACAGGAACCGATTATAATATTATTAACGTGCAAAAAATTGCTATCCACTCATTTGGTAAACACGTACTCAAGTAAAACACTTGGAACACTTCAGATACTGAATTATTTATACTGGGAATCATTATTTATTTGTTATATCAGGTACCATTTCTTGCTGTGCTGTAAGAAAGTAGGAATTCAAAAATACTGATTAAGTTCTGAAGATATGAAATCCCAAGTGTGTTGTACCAGTATTATAGTTTTATATAACAACATTTCCTTATTCACTATGTTTCTTACCCAAGGGCAAGGGTATGGTAAGCCTCCTCAAGGGGCAAGCAAGTTAGGCAAGAAAAAGGAAACAAGGCAAAAATGCCAAGAAGCAGTGAAACGTGCCCTGTTTTTTTCCTTCTACAAATCATGGTGCTGTATTTTGATTTTAAGCTTTTTTTTTCAAAAACAAGGCAAATAATATTATTTATAATAATAAATTAAGACCAGTGGTCCATTGGACAATACTTTTAATGAAATCAAGGTCAAACTGTTCACTGGCTCACTGTTGTTTTTGTATTTTAAATTGAATTGTTAAACAGTTTGCCAGATTTGTCCATACCTGAAATTGTTAAGCAGTTCAATGAAAGACAGTCGCAGAAGAAGAAACCAAAGAGAAGACCTCATTCCTCATCCATTTACACTTCATCAACCAAAAGTGCAGCTATGGTGGATGAGAGAAATGGCAAGAAAACCTCATACAACTGCAATACTTTTATCACAGGTGTTGAAAAATGCTTATTACTTTGGTCCTTGTGCCCAGCATTTTACCAGAATAGAGGGTTAGGAAATAGTCAAAATATCCTTCAGGTTTAGGTTGCTTGAAAGATGGTTGACTTTTAAAACCCAAGGTTTCATAAAATTAGAAATAAGCTTTTCTCTTCTTGAATAGAAACATAGAGGCTTTTATATATAGAGACCCAGTGAAGTTATCCTAAAACAGTCCATAATGAGAGTATACTCAATCATGGGCTTCAAGTTTGACCCTGGATTAGTACTTACAAGCATTGGAGCAACCATGTTCAGATTTACATGTATAAATAATTACCTAACCTCATCTTTAGCTTGTAATCTTTAGGTGATCTACATGTACTTTGAGCACAGTGCCATCATCCTTAAGTTACTCCCAAGTTTTTGCAGTTTTTGTGCATGAGCACTAGTATCTGCTTTGGTTGTCCATAGCAGACATTTCGTGAGGGTCACCTGAGCATTAGGGTTGGCTTGGGTTGTGGTGTATAAGTCAGGGAAAGGGATCCCGCTTGTTCTTTTTCCTATGTCCCCACTCACTATTATTTTACTTTCTACTCTCCTCAATCCCCCTTTGCCTTAATTAATAATCAACGATAGACTAACTACAAGTAGGAAATACTTGCCTATAAAATACACCTGGCCCTAATTGTTCAAAAGGTGGATAGCACTATCCACTGGATTAATTTCTATCCACTGGATAGTGATATTATTGGTTTCCCTAATTCTTAACTGCTGGATAGTAATTTATCCGATGAATAGTGCTATCCAGCTTTTGAACAACCGGGGCCTACATACTATATAAGTTACTGAGCTGTAGGAAAATCCCAATTCCGTCAGGGCACATAGCTGGTTGTAAGATACTCACACCACTTGAGCCTTGCTTTGGTTTGAGCCAAAATTAAGATAATGTTGGAGACAAGGCTTTTATTAAATTTCTTCAATGCCCTCTCCTTTCAGTGAAAGGGCAGACTGTGACACCTCAGGCTCGTCCACCTCATGGCTGGCTACCAATTGCCGATAGCAGAGAAGATTATGCATCTTATAAAGGTAAAAAGTATGACTGCAAAAATAGCCATGTACACTTGCCGAAATCACAGTTCAGGGTTCTCACTAAGATTTAAAGTTGCCAAGTAACTATTAACAAGTAGACCAACCTTGTTTGGGTAGGAGAGAGAACCTGGGAACGAGGTTACAAGTAGGCAGGGAATCAGACAGAAAGGGATTTCTTTTGGTTCAATTTTTCTTCAATTATTGTATGAAAACAGCCGGGGGATCACGTTCATAGAAGCCAGGGGAAATCCCAGTCCCCCACCCTTATTGACAGCCCTGCAGTTAATAACAGATAAACTAAAACAGATGTGATCTGTTTGTTTTTCTTGCATCACTAAGTCATTGGTGTCCCAACAAGGTGTTTTTGTACCATGTGACTGTAAATACATGTGGCCCACTCCTCCAGAGTTATCCTCTACTGCGTCATATCTCTTTACAAGAGGTTATTTTTGTGCACACTTGGGTAATGCCACTTAATACTGAGCCCAGAAATAATGTGCTTACATGGGGGTAGTCCCATCTCTTTGCGTCATCCCCACAATCTGAAGACGTGGAACAGTCTAATGTGGGGGGTTTTCAAGGGGACTTTTCAGGGCTAGTAAAAGAAATTTCTACTTTGAATGTACTTTTAAGCGACTTCATTTGACTTTATCATTTAATATTATTCTTTCATATTAACCAGTCTGTTCATTTTTTTGTATAGGAGTAGTCTATCTTGATCAACAACCAGTTGAACACCAAGCGTCCGCGTTAGAAGGACTTCGGAGATATTCGGCAGCGTACGGTGATGACGAAGATGATCCGAGTGATATTCCGCCCGCTCCTCGAGTCTCACCTGAACCAGGCTCCCCGAGGACAAATTCACCAGAATGTATAGACCCTATCGAAGAGTCTTTTGGTGAAGATGATGACGATGCCGAGGCAATCAATAACTTTTCGGAGACGAAGTCGGTATCTTCGGCAGGCTGTCGCTCTTTAGTGTTTGCTATCCCAACAGGGGGAAGTGAGGGTGGGAGCGATGAGGAAGAGGTCATTCTAGATGATTTTAACCAGGGCAGACTTTCAGCGGATTACGTAGAGAAAAGTGAAACTTTGCTCGGTGAATTAGACGAGAAAAATCAAGCAGAAGCTGCTGAGATATCAGACATGTTCAGAGACATGGAAAATGCCAAGGAAAAAATCAGTAATCTTCATATTAGCCCACGAGACTTAGAACTACAATCGGCTACAAGCCGCAGTAGTCAGGGAAATAATTCTCCTCATCAAGTCAGCCGGACAACTACCCCTTCGATTCACCTGGTTAACATGCAGATGGAATACTCGCCAGTCGACCGTGTCTCTGACGTACCTTCTGATGGTTTGTATGAGACGTTCTGGGTTGAAGAACCTGTAGATAGATACACAACTAATGTTCTTCCTTCAAGGAATAGCCGCGTTTGCTCGGCAGGGTACATGAATCAACATGCGAAAAATACAGCACGGGTTAAAAAACACCAGAGTGAGAACTCCTTGGTGCTGCAAGGTAAAACTATGGAGTTCTTCAACTCAGAGGACTTAGCAGCGAAGACGAACCTCAGAGACTTGCGAAGAACCTCAGAGCCTCACAGCGGAGCCCCACAGCCTGGTTTAACCAGGCTCGGGTTTACTGGCGAAAAGACTGGCCTGTCTAAGAAGAACGTTGAAAATCAAAAGGTAAAATGATGAATTCTGTGTAAAATGAGGCGGTCTAGCAGCGCAAAGAAAAATAGAGTCAGAGGGCCCCTTGCTGCTCACAGTCACGCAGTCTGTGAGCAAGCTCTCCGGGGCGCTCTGGTGGCGGGGCAGAAAAGGAGGAGCAAAAAATATCTCCTTTTTCGCTCCGTCTCCAGAGCGCCCTGGAGAGCCTACACACAGGCTAACAGTCACGCGACCTGTTGTTAAACAGTACAAGAGATAGAGAGAAAATGAGGAAATAAGCTAGAAAACCAACTTTTTAGATGACTCATATAAAATTAAGATATTACGGGTGTTAGACTATCTGGAAAATCATTAGGATTTGTGAATAGAAAAAAAAAATTGCTGGATCGCAAGGTGTTCCGTCCAGTGACTTTTTCCATTGAAATCGTATGTTTCAATTCATCATAAACTCTTACTGTTAAGTGTTTAAAACTTAAAAATTGGCAGAGCTACTACATTTTATTATGCCCTTGTTATATCTGTGGTATTGTAGGGTTGTATCCCATAATTCTGGCAAGAGATTGGTCACTTGACCCCAAACTGCGACAGGCCTATTCCGGCTTTCTATGTGAAAGACTTTTGAGACTGGCACTAAGGCCTCTATTGGAAGATTTATGTTTCGTAAGGAAGACCCTATCTCCATTAAGTAGGCCTTGTTAGAACATTGTCGACGTTTGGCCATTAGTTGGGAACGTTATAACAACTTGTGTTCTGTATTGCACCCCTCTCTTTCAACCACATGCTGTTTGTTTCAATTTTTTACGTGTTCTTTTGATCTTTTGTGTCAGGTTTCTACAAAACCTCCGCTACCAAAATGTAGCTCCACTAAAAACAACGCCAGAAAACAGACTTCGAAGCAAAAGCATCGATCTGATAGGAAGATGAGTGAGACAGATGAGCGGCCGTTCAAGCCATCTTTAAGAAAATCCATTTCTGATGGAAATATTCATCTCTCTGTAACGAACAGTGAATCGTCAACTAAGAGCAATGCTTTAAAGAAGTCAGTGACCTTTAGTCAAGATGTTGTTAGCAATGGTAGTAAAGATTTAGACTGCCGTAAATTAGATAACTCCGTTAACATTTCCGAACAAGCAGAAAATGACATTGCCAAAGACGAAGCGACAGAAGAATGTTCGCCCAATAGTCGTCTGTCAGCTGTGCATCACGGTGTTGTTATACAAAACGGCTTGGAAATGGAAGAAGCGGTCTTGAATGCTAAAGAAAGCTCTCGTGATCCAGATTTATCTGACCAGTTGTCAGGAGTAGCAGGGCATTTGCACCGAAAAACTCAAAGTACCAGAGCAAAGATTTTGTCTAAAATGAAGGAGATACCACACGAGGGAGAACCGTGCGCTTGTAGAAGTGTGACCAGGCCTACTACGGCTTTGCTGGAAGAGTCGAAAAGTGGGAGACTGGCGACAAAAGAGGCGCCGTCAAGAAATGAAAAGCTCTTGGTATGTGTTTAGGTTCATGTACGTGTTACTGTCATAGAACATAAAGAGTGACTGAGTCCATCGACTTTGCTCAGCCATATTGTGTTGGACAATTTTTTCATTTTTTCCTGGGATTTTTTTCGTAATATGGTGGGAAAACATGAACAACCACCGTACAGTTCTCAACAGTCAACTCTCTCGTAGTGGGCTGACTTATATGAGATGAACACCAAACAAAAATAGAAAACCAGAATTGTTCCTGTCGTTGTTGAATCATTTTTTTGGCTCTCTGTAAAGTGGACACCTCTTCATGATAGACCCTTGGCACTAGTGAGTACCAACGATGTGCGAGGTAGAGAGAGTACTGTAGACTGTACATAGCTGGTGGGTGAAAGGAAACAGTGCTTGATTGTAAACTAGTCTTTTTGTCGTAAAATGCTTCACACCTTAAAGTATGCTTTGAGAAGTGGGTGTCAACAAGACGGCATTTCCTCCACTTTTAACATGTTATAAAGCGTTTTCAGTAAATCACCAAACATTTTAGTCACTTTTAGCTCAGTAAGAAAATACTAATCAAGTATCAAACTATGTACAGTTTCTACTTTCAAAATGATGAACCGTTTTTTCTCGTTTTATTGAAGTCAGCCATTTACCTGAGAAGTCGCCGAAAAAGCGCACCGAAACGGCCTTTTGACCGCAGCATGATTAGCTCATTCGGTAGAGTGCGTGACTGCTCGGCTTGAGGACGTCGGTGCGAACCACGAGTCCAGACCTCTACTCAGGGGTGTAAAATAACTGAGAAATGAAGGTATACTTCCTTTGCTCAGCAGACAGCCAGACCTTTGCGTGGTTCGGATGACCACGTAAAATGGCGGTCCCGTCTCCAGTATAGCCGGAGACGTATAAATAGTGTCCTCAAATACCCCTTGAAAGAAGTATGTATTTTACCACTATTTTATTTTTCAACAAGGAAAGTCGAATTGTTGAGTCTTCTTTTCTGTATAGGTGGATGCTTTCTTAATTTATGAACAACTGCCTGGGCATTTTGTTTTTCCCATAAACTTTTTCTGCCTTCTTTGTTTGTCAGTGTGGTATTTCTTTGTCTTTTTTAGAAAAGTCGTCCAATTCGACCCAGTTCTGCACCAATCAAACGGCAATCAGGGGTGAGCGAATCGAAAGTTGAAAGACCAAAGTCTCCCCGAAGAAAACCGCGAGCAATGTCTTCTACAGTACAGGTGTGTGCAAGAAGTAGACCAGTGCATAAACCTTTCACAATCGTTGTCACTGCTGAATAAATATATACTTGTAAATAAATAATTTGAAAAATGCTTGTTTTTTTTAAGAGAAGGGAAGACCAAAGAACCTGGACAAACAATTTAGGCTACCTTCACCCGGCAGCACCGCGAGAATTTTCGACCCGTTGAAAGTTTGCGCGTTTAGGTGTCGCGTTCACACGGAACAACCTCAACCGTACGAAAATTTAGACGCTTAGAGCGATTTTCGAATGACCTTGAAATGAAAACGCGCGTACAAAACAGAAACTACAAACGAACGGAAATCGAGCGATTTGATTGGTTTATCGAACGGATACAAACGCGCGTGGCTTTTGGCTGGTTAAGCGAACGTTCGAGTGAAAAAACGTCATGCCCGAGAACTTTCTAGAAATCAATCGATACTTCGCTTTGACGTCATACTGCAACACGATTGGCCAATCGAACAATGCCTTCTCCATATTAGGGTTTTCTTTGGCGGGAAAACGAAGAGTCCATTGGCTGATAAAGCAAATAACGAACACTTACCGAAACCATTTTTCAAGATCATACGAAAATCGCTCTAGCCATTCAAAGTTCAGTGTGAACCGAGCGAAAATATTGAAAGGTCCCGTGTGAACAAAGTGTCCGGTCAAGTTTTCAGCCGGTGGAAATTTGTCCGGTGCCATGTGAATGTAGCTTTAGAGCAAAGGCAGCCCTGCATATTCTTGCGATTTTACAGGTAGATATGAGTTTTACTAACCTTACAGTTTGTACTTAATTCAGTGTGGTGAATTCATTGATGAAGTTTTTTTCTGCTAACTCTGAAAATGTCAAGAATGTTTAAAATGCCATGTTTTCTAAAGCTGTCTTTGAACTATCGGTCTCACTTTCCGTAGACGGTGCCAAGACCTACAAGACACTTGCGATCTTGAATGGCGGCGCGCCGGGTTGACAGCAAGCAGCCAAACCTTCGTTGCAACTGTCAAAAGAAAAAGAAAATAAACACACAAACAAACTGTAACATTAAATCCCACCTCCCCGCCACAAAAAGTCAAAATGAAGAGATTTTAGACCGGAGGAGCCTCGGGAAATATTTTTCTAGGAAAATGAAAGGGCCGCTGTTTCTAGAAAGGTTTTTGTGATTTATTGAGATGCAAGGCGGCATTTATCAGCAATAAACAGTAACTAAACTTTTACTACACGCTAACAGAGAAAGAGGACTGCATCCGAGGGAGCACACAGTCGCCCCAGACCCTCCTCAGCACACGTGGGCAGAGCGAGGTGAGAATGTGACTTCGTTATTTGGCGTCGTTATTAATTTATTTCCAATTTCACCTTGACGCTTTGCCGTTAGTCAATTAACCCCTCGTTGACTCGTCTTTTAAAACTCCAACAAAGCCCAGCGCGATGCACTCAAAGCGTATTGTCTAGTACGCTGGGTAACAATGGGAATGTCACTAATTGCAGATTCTCTCCTGGGAATCTTGTACAATTCACTTAGCTCAGTTGTATTTTTTAATTGTATATTAAACTTGTTTTACACTAGCGGTATTTTGCTGCTAGAAGTCTGCTGTGTGTCAGTAATGAGTTCCTTGTGTTCACAATCCCGCAGTCCTAATGCTAAAGATGTCCGCCGCAGCCGTGCAGCAGCGCAAGTTCTCAAGGAAGGATATCTGTTCAAGGAAAGACCTCCGCCACCGTTACCGCCAGGTCTGTTTTCTGCTTACGGTTTGTTGTTGTTAACACTTGGCAACTAAACGCTTTATCTTTTATAAGTACTACAGTTGAAAGTTTGAAATGCGTAAAATCCTTTTATGAAGTGAGTTAAAAAATCAGAGAGTGTCCCGAGAGGCGATATTTAGTAGCACTGAGTCTAGTGAATATCTCTTGACGATTTCATACACGGACTCGAAGTTATATTTTGACTTAAAAATTCAATCCACAGAGCACAACTCTAGCACTATAATCTCTGCGGAATATTTCACATCAGTCGATATAATTGTTCGAATGATAACTGTGAACAGTGTAAGTGCCGTCTACAGCATAATACATGGGAACAAAAGGAATAACAGTCAAGTGAAAAGTTTTATGAGAAATGATCCAGAGGGGAGCTTTATCCTCTCTTTGAAATGATGTTTCTCTCATTCAGTGACACGGTCAAAAAAAGAAACTTGTGTTTTCCCAACAGGAGTCGAACCAGTGACTAGTTCAGCTCCTCTACCACCGAACTGCAGGTGACACGTTGGAGCTTAGGCCAGAAAAAAAAAAAGCTCCAACGTGTCTCCACTCATCTATGTTACGTCATAATAAACAGCAATATTCAGTCCACTCTTCAAATCTGTCCCAAGATCAAGTTCTCCCTTTATAAGCACCTGGCCTTGGATTACGTTAGATAGTAGTACTGGTCGGTCACGCTTTACGAAAATGGCTAACTGGCTTGTCTTTTGCCAGTTAGCATTCTTACCTTTGATATATATAGTTTGAATTATTACGCTAGGATGTTACGCCCCTTCGCTGCGAACATTATCGAGTATGAGTGAAGAACCGTAGTTACTTTGATCATTTGATACTTATTTTTTATGACCTTTTTTTGCAGCTTCGAAAGAACGCCAGCCAAAGAGAGAAGTGAACAGAGTCGAGAAAGAAGAAAACAACAACGAGCGAAACTGCCGCAATAAGGTAAAAGGCTGGATAATTTTGGTTGTGCACTGGCACCCCACCCAGCAAATTCCTTCCTGCGTTTTGTTTGGAGAAAACTCTGTACCGTTACGATCTCTAAAAGTATTTGAGTCAAGCTACAGGGTTGTGTCGTATTCACGAGACTGAAACCAACTGAAGGAGTTAGTTGAGAGTTGAATGTTTTGTGTTTGAGAAGCGTGCATTATTAAATAGTATAACCAGCTCAATGCCGTTTTCAGTACAAGGCAGTTTGACATGAGGAATATTAATTTTGTTTAACTTATTTTTAACTGTTTTATTCCTCAGAAAAAAGTGACCTTTTAAGAGACTGAATTGTAAATTTTTCTTCAACAGTCAGAGCAGATTTCAAATATCTCTTTACAAATGCGTTATTCCTAAGGTGGAATTCTTTTTATTTCTGAAAGTACAGCTAAACCATTCCCTGCAGGGTTGTTCGGTTCGTGCCATAGACTCATGGTTGTTAAATAACACGTATCAAGGAAAACCTGTGTGGAACATTACACTTTTTACGTTGTTTTGTACCGTTTTACTGTCCGGTTAGAATACTAAGTATTTCTTGCACTTATTCGATGTCTCATTTTAATTATATTTGAGAGCACGTGTGCATTTAACGTGGTGCGCAAATTAAAAAAGGCCAAATTGGTTTCGTCATACCCTAGCGGTATCTGGTCAGCGGTTATATAATGTGAACGAAAAGGCGTTTTATTTTTTTCACATGAAACCGTTAAAATGATTTTCAGTTCAGTACTTGGGGCAGTGTGTCACTGGAAGCGTATAAATTGTGCGTTTATTGCCGGCAGCTTTTCCCAGTCTTGTGAGTGGCTGTATTCTCCGCATAACACATAACTTGTTCTGCACAGCGGGAAAACTTCTTTATTTTCCTTTTTTAGTGAGATGCGTTGAAAGCTATTTTTAAAATGCTTATTGCCTTATTTAAATTTACACTTTTTCATTGAAGGAAAAAGACGAAGTTGTGGCTTCAGAAGAATGCCAAGAGGTGTTTGCGCGGCTACAGGAAAAAGGGATTGAGGTATCCATGGAGACAATTAAACGGTATGACGACAGCGCCGTTATCGATGTGCGCTTTTTTGGCTGGTAATGTGAAAATTTTTGTTTATGAAAACAAAAACTAAAAGACATCTGTCCCTTGAGAGAATATGCAAGTCTAGTGTCCCTAATAAAATGTTACTGACTACCAACATACTGGCCGTTTATTTAAGGTGGAGATGTTCGATACCGTAAATTACCTAATAAACGCACATTCCCAATAAACGCCCGTTCTATGCTTTTAAAATTGTGTTAGAATCCCCTCTCTAATAAACGGCACTTGTCTAATAGACACTCCCTATGAGAATTACTACAAAATTCTAGGAATTCAGTAGCAAAAAGGAGCAAAATCATTCAGTTTCTTGCTTGATTTGCCAGGGTTTGCGTATTACATCTTGTTCTATGTCAAATTCAAAGTAAGGATTAGACTAGTGATGGCAACACAATAACCCTGAGCAAAGATTCTGACATCGATGTTGGGATTTGAAAGAGCGATATGGATCTCTAGACGGTCTAGACGTATCAATTGATGGAGTGGATATTACGCTATTTTTAAACTCTCATGATATTTTTGTCGAAAGCATATTAGTTTTGTTGAGCTTGTTACAGTTATGAGACTTAGACCCCTAAAATTAAATTGACACCCCGGCCGTTTATACGGGTCATTTACGGTACTTGAATTGATCTCTATAGTCACAGAGATACTTGCATCAGTAGGATGACTCCAACGGAAGGGGAATGGCATTCTTAGACTGGATAGCACTAGGGTTCTACTGCCCTCCATCGCCACTACCACTATCACTTAGACGGCCACCAAGCCAAAACCAATTTCGCTACCAACAACTCCACTGCCAACATCTTCCTACCACTACCTTCACACCACAACTTCCATCTATTGCCACTGCCACCGGCGTTAGCACTGGCGCTAGACTGTACTGTCACTAACACTACCAGCACCACAACTTCCTTTACTGCCACCACTGCCACTACCACTTCTAGTAGGTGGTTTAACTGAGATGTGTCAACGGCGACAGCAACGAGAACGTCGATAAAAGTAGTAGGCTCTATGAGCAAAACAACAGCTGTACACAGGCATCACACTCTGCCTAATTTTATGGAGAACGTCAACAAACGACGACGAATTTTCCTTTCTCTCTCTGAACTTGGATATGGGTCTTAGGAATTCATCTCCGAGAGACTTTCTTCATTTCACCTACATTTGACAAAGTAACCGAGTTAGAGTAATCGCGGTGAAGTTTGAAAGAATTCGAATTTTTTTCAAATTTACGTTTGACATTTTCGCTAGGGTCGGCGTCGCTTGATCTTAAAGGGAACCTCCACTCTTACTACAGAATAAGTTTAAATCGAATAAAATTATGTTGATAAACAAATTTGTTCGAAATTTGTCTTAAAAAAAGTGTTTATATCAGGAAAAGTGAATTTTAAAATCGCTTATTTTCACTTTCAAATTTCGCGGGCGCCGCCATCTTGAATAATTGTGACGTGTTACGGTTGCTCTATTGTTCTGACACAAAGAGCTTTTGTTTAATAACAATAGGGCAACCATTACATTAGCCTGCGTTGCAGCCGGCCCACGCACTCGTCTAAACCCTTTGTATAGTCCGTCTGCGAATTAGTGCACAAAAGCTCGTTCTAATATCCTGCAGAGTCGCAAGGACATATGTGAGCGTTTCTGATAAGCGGGTTTCTTACGGGTTTCTTACGAGCCGCACGATTGGCCTAATTTTACGTGTGCGTGACGGTTGGGCGCAGTGACATGTCAAAATTCACAGAAGGGAGTTGGCAAGGATCGTTTACAGTGAACAATGAAAGGGTAGTTCGAACTTTAGAGCCGTCTTCTGAGCAAAAAAACGCTTTGAGATAATTCCTTCAAGGCCAGAATTTGCTAGTAAATTTGCCGGCTGGTTTCCCAGCGTCTTCCAATCGCTGCAGATGTACTACTGCGTATTCTGTAATTTAGCCGACAGTTATAGAGTCAAAACAAATGAAGAAATCATCACGTTATTCACGATAAAAAAAAAAAAAACTACACACATGTAGCTGTTCAGGTCCAAGCGTTTCGTTGAAAACCAAAGAAACTAAGGTTATTTAGCCGCAATAAAGAAGCTTAAGGCTTAATCAGAGGTAAAAGAACATCATTTATGCATCTGTGATCAAATCGTCTTAGAAAACATTTGCCAAAAAATAAACTACTGGAACTAATTACTCAATATGTATGAAACTGACCAGCTTCACATCCTCTAAATGTAGCTAAAGGTGAGACTCAAAGCGGCAAAAAAAAATTTGCTCAGTCAAATTGTAGAATACTCCACGCACTGTATAAATTACGCAGAAAGAGAGGAAGAAAAACATCTGTTGTTCAAGCTACTCTAGGGGTCTCTAAAGTCACGTTTCACACTATCACGAGCTCAATCTCTCTGGTCACGAGCTATGAGTCATGTTTGGCCTGTCAACGCTTAATTCAAATCGGACTAATCACAAACTGCGAAAGAAAATAGCCAATCAATAACGCCGACATATTTCTTTGCGACTCTACGGGATTCGAACACGATATTGTGCACTAATTCGCAGACGCTATATACAGAAGGTTTAGAGCGTCTGCGACGCAGGCTACCATTACATGTCACAATTATTCAAGATGTCGACGCCCGCAAAATTTGAAAACAAAAATAGGCGAATCTAAAAGTTATTTCTTTCGGATACAAACGCTTTCTTTAAAAATATTTTAGTTTGACTTGACTGTAACAGTTATTTCCTGTGATTTAAAGTTATCTTTTTGTTGAAGTGGGGGTTCCCTTTAATCGGGGACCTTACGAAACTACGACCGCGACGGCAACAAAAACGTCAAAAAAGGAATAAGTTAATGAGGAAACCAACAACTCTGCACGTGCATCACCCTTTTCTGTAAATTTCTTTGCCGTCCCTGCACAACTACGACTTGAAATGACCAAATTTTAAGTTTACTTGAGAGCGGGAAGTGCAAGGTGATAAATTCTAGCATCTCTGTCTGAACTCGGGTGCGGTCCCTTCTCCTCAACTCCAACCTAAATTCTCTTCTTTTAAGTAACAGGGCGACTTGTGATAATCGCGAAAACGTTTGAAAGGATGCAAAGTCTATTTTTCAGCGACGTTTTCGTGGATGTCACCGTTGTCGGATTGTAAGATCCCTAATACGACCATCACACAATCTTTCACTTACACTGCCACTACCACTGCTGCTGCCACCAGTGCGACCACTACTAACCAGCGATCAGGCGTTTGGTAGAGATATAAGGAGGCATGATCGCAGACTAGACTACTACAAATTCCACCCCCATGTCCACCCCTACCACCGCCACCACCACCAGTAGCACCAGTAATACGACGTACGTCCACTGTCATCTACTATTACCGTTGCCACTGTCGGAGCTGCTGTGACCACAGTATTAAAGCCCTTCAGGCTTTGCATGCAGAAAACTCCATTTCTAGTCTATGTAACTGAAACGAGTGCATTCCTCACCGAACTAAGAATTCTTTGTGAGAAACGTGGATTTCCCAAATGTTTGAGCACCTCCAGCTTCAAAAAGTTTTTTTTAGTAAACTAAAACTTTATACTTATATGTCTATCATACTTCTTGTTTTCTTTTCCTAGAGGTTTGATGGCCCCGGCGAGGAAAGCAAATGATTATAGTATGGCCAGTTTCGGTAAAACCTCAGGGTAGGTTGTTGTGTTTAGTAAGGTTGACTGTTATGTGGTTTTCATAATATCCTTATGAATTGAGAAGGACAGTATTGATTAGGGACTGGGAAACAACACGACGATACGCGAAAATTTTGGGAAACCATGTTAAGAGGGACTACAGTATCCTCTATGACACTGGTTATCGAATCTATAGTCCGCTTAGTTACTACTTGTAATGAAGCTTGAATAAGGGTAAGAAGTAGCTGAGAGGATTAAGGAACGCACTGACGGTTGTGTTGGGTTACAAATATACAGTAAAAACCCAGGACATCTATTGGCGCTTTTCATTCAACAAAAATTCCGGTTTGAAATTTTGGAAATTTCACGTGCCCAATGGACAGGTACATTCCGGTGGCACAGACCCGTCCCAAGCCACCGCGCGTTTGGTTATTGTTCTTTGTAAGCAGGATACAGATGAGTGGTATTGGGGACAACAATTTTGTCAAATAGCTTCAAATGGAGAGGGACATTTCGGTCTGACCACCTTCGCGATAGTTATTAACTAACTGGGTCTCCTTCTTCAATGGTTTTTCTTTCTTCGCAGGCTTCTAAGTCGACCTGAAAACTGGCTACCAGAAGAACACGCTCGTGTGCAGGTTTGGGATAATGTCCTAAGTAAGTCTCACATCCGTTCCTTGATCTTGTTGACCTGTTATACTCATTCATCCCACAAAGTGGCGTCCTTGTATGCTAACGTCTTAGCTTACTGTTACACGTACCTTATTCGTACTTAATTTCGCGCGTCTTTAATTTTGCGATTTTCGCGATTGTAAAAAATTCGCGAAATTTACACACGCGAAATTAAATACCATTGCGACATTTCATTTTCATTCATTCAAACTGAAACTGACTGACTGAATCATTTTGTGTGCGTGAAACTTGCCTTGTCACACAAAGTGCGCTGGGGCATTGAAGTTTTTTTTTTCTGTTAGCAATATTTGCAAATATTATCTTGTAAACTAGAGGGAGCTACATGCCTATGAGAAACCATCTCTTCATGGTGGGAAGTGGGATTACAAAGCTGAGATATCACCAGTCTGTCCGTGGGGTGGTGATCCCTTTAACACACTTTAGATTAATTTAGATGTCTAGGAAACCGCCCTCCTACCCCTCCCCTAAGCCATCATTTTGCCCTAAGTGAGAAGTAAGTGTTAATGTCAGCTTAGGGGAGGGGTAGGTGGGTAGTTTCCCCATTTCTCTGTAAATTGTGCGCTAAATTACCCAAAGCGTTCTCTGTAGTATCTAGTTTCATTGTATTTGTTTCAATCAAAAGTAAGTAACTTGTATAAATGAAAGAACGCTCTTTCAATTCTATTTCAGAGGGTTCCAAGTGATGTATGTGAAACATGAACATTAGATTAAAGCCTCGAAGGAGTAATTCACTGTTGGAGCACCGTATTTATAGTTGACATTGTAAATAGATGTTCGTGATGGAAAGTGCATGGATGCTCCAACTAACTCTTGGTTCTTTTCTTCCCTAGTACATGTTTCCGAAATTACGTCTGTCTAAAATTGTTTTTAGTTGAGCCAAGAACACCCTAAAAACTGTTTATAGGCGTGCTTTTGTGTCAAAAGAAAGTTGTGTATTTCTGTAGTTTTTATTTGGTTAGTTTAATCCTCTGAATGATTTCAGTAGATAGAAGGTAGGACTAGCATTTATGTTATGTGGAAGTACTGCTGAAAAGATTTCGTTGGAGAAGATGCTGATAGAACATGAAACTCTCGAATTTAGCCGGTCTAAAAAAACAGGGCTGCAGGTGGTGAGTCTGAATATGGGATAAATCGTATAACTTGCGAATATTACCTTAACTTATTTAACGTATAACTTGAGAATCGCAATTGCTATGTTAGACACAGAATTTAATCCTTTGTATCGTTCTACTGTGCCGGCCTTGTTCTTGATTGGAGGATTTGTATTTATTGCTCTCTGTGTTGCTATTGCGTAACTGACTGGTCACCATTGCTGTCAGAATATTGTTTTGAATTTTTCGTTGGAAGCATCCATTTTAACTGGCCATTTCGAGGTTGTGTTACACTGTTTGCCGTCCTCCTTTTCTCTTAAAATCAGTCTAGTTCTTATCTGAGCCAGCGCGATTGCATACAACGACGTTACGTTATAATAATGGATACGCCGTCGTTTATCGCGGCGCTCGCGCTTGCGTGCTTGGGTTTCGCGTGCAGTAACTTTTCAAAGAAAAATAAGAGACTGCTCGCAGGCTAAGGTTGTGTTAAAGACTGGGTCGGTGTTGTGTCGAATTGCACTATGGGACTGTTTCAGAGAACGAATTTTGACCCAGTTTCCTTTGCGACTTCGTAACAGCGAATGAAAGAAGCGATAGCATCCCCAAAACACTCCAATGGTGCTCTTCGATACGACTCTAGCTCTTACCGATCAAAATGGTACGCACACCTTCAAAATGGCCAATAATCAAGCATTTTTAGCTGGTTCAATAGTTGTGTAAGTATGAGTGTTTTTTTTCTCCCTTTTTTTTTATTTAGTAAAAAAGGTATTTTATCATACTTGGGTGTTGAAAAACTGTAAATAATTTTATCATATTTCACTGTTCAGAGAAGAAAGCAGATGAACTTAAATGTATTAATATATATAATATATAAACTTATCATTTTTACTACGTTTACATTACATATGGTTAATTCGTTGTGCTTCATAGTGTAATATATCGTTGTTATTAAAAGGTATGGGAAAACTGTTTTGTACATGACGTTAAGTTGTCAAAAACATAATGAACGCTATGTGCATCTGTGCAACGTCGAGTGACTTTTAAAGTTGTGTTTTCCTAACTTTTGTAGAGAATTTGCTCTTCTTGTATGAAAACAGTTGATCTGTGGAACTTTGAACATCTACAAGGCAAAATGTTCCATAAGAGACAATTTACAGGAAACGAATTTGCAGTTTTCTCTTCACCCTTTTCTTAGCTTTAGATAGAATTTTTTTTTTCAGTTTGTTACACCAAGGATACACAGCAGAGTACAACATGTGCTTTGTAGTAGTCTTTATTCAACAGTAAGCGCCGCACTGATTGCATCATCAGATTGTGTTGCATCAAAGAGGTCTCCCGATATAATAGGCTTCTTCGACCCATTAATCCAGATTTTCGCTTAACTCCGTAATCCCGACGATTAAAAGTATCGACCAATCTCGATCCCAAAGTTAACGCACCTTTTAGAAAATGCCTCACGGAAGGTTCAGATTCCCCTACCTTTTGAAGAATTAGTGGCAGATCTGAGTCGGATAGTGGTATGATCATATCACTGCAATGTGCGTAGCTTGCGTTAAACCGAACCTTAAAGCTCGCTTCTCTTGGATCTCGCTTCTGTAAGACATCATTTACTGAATCCCACATCATTAAACCGCCAAATCCCTTGTCCCGTTCATAATAATCCTAATCCTCAGTAAATTTGCACTCGCGTTTTCCTCTGAAATCCCAAATCTCGGGCTTTGAATTTGCCCGCATTCATCATAGTTAAACACGCATTGAAGCCCTCTACGAAAGACCTTTTTATTGAAATCAAGGTTATTGCGACGCGTCCGAGATTAATCTGATCACTGGAGGTCGCGCAAAGCTGAATTAGCTCATTATTTCGATTAGGAAGCTAAACGGGAAGGGGGGCGGGGTGCATGCAAGGGGGTTTAGAAGTTCTATATTTGAATTACCAAAGTGTGAAGATTCGAAGTAAAAATGGGCTGTCGGCTTTCTTGTGAGTCTTCATAGTATCCACCAAAAAGGGAAAAAATCCTTTGGTCTTAGCCTGTACACAGACGTTGTTTTATTTTTCTTTTTGTTTTTTTCAAAAACATCTGCAAGCGACGCGAGCGCGCGAGAATGAGAGCGGAGCGCGAGAAACAAAGATTTTCTTCTTCACTCTGACCCCTACCCCTTTGCACTGACGGTCAATAAATCCCCGGCGGTTTACATTTTATCACCCGCGTTTCAACGGACTTTGAAGAGAAAGTAAAGGGTCTGTGAACAGGCTACTTTGTTCTTTACATTTGTGAAACGCGATGACGCTAGCCCGTTGATGAAACAGCACGTGCCCACGTTTATGGTTCTTTGCTAGTGACTCCATCATGTCTTGTTTTAGTATGCATGACAGTTTCCATTGTATTAATCAGGAGTATTAATTCACCTACATCTTCCTTGTTTCATGCAGTTATAACTGAGGCAAATGCTCAGTACAAATCCTTGCCATTTTATGCCATGGGTCTCTATCGTAATGTTGTCTCAGTTATGCAGAAACTTTTTTTGTTGACCCTGCTTTATCTGCTTTATTCAGCAGAACATCAACCTCTGGCTCACCTACTCGCCTTACTGGTCATTTTATTTTCTAAAGGAAACATAACGGGGGTAATTTCTGTCGCAAACGAAAATTGTTATTTTAATGGGTAAAATATAGATAGTTTTAAGCTTACTACCACTTTCTGACACAAAACTTAAAATTTGTTTGCTTAACAAATCGTAGATGTTTGTCTTCTGTTTCTGAAAACCTCCTCTGCAAAAGGGATTAAACGATTACTTTTAAAAGAAGATGTCAGCTATTTGCACCGGAAAGAGTCCAAGGAATGCTTCATGGGAAATCTACTGTTCCATTCTCTTTAGTCATATTAACCTGATTTAATAATTTTTCCCCCGCTAGCGGGAGTCAATACAGGTGCATCAAAGGTATGTGTACGCAACGTTTTTGTGTATGCAAGGACAACTCAAAAATGTTTTAAAGTACTGAGTCACCATTTGGTAAAACAGTATCGTATGTCTCACAAATGTAGCATCTTTAGCAAAGGAAAGCGTTGAGTCGAGGGACATCGTTAGTTTCAGTCAAACCTGATCAAAAAAGTTACAACCGTTTCCGCAATTTTATAACTTAAGCCGAGATTTAAGATACGAGTCAGGCGTTTTTTCATCTTAAAATCTGCTTGCAGGCGAAAAGTTTAATCATCTTTTTCTTGACTCTCATCTTCCAGCAGAGTCATTTAAGATCATTTAAGGGAGATATGTAAATTAGATCTAAATCCTGTAGTCTGCCTATTCAAAGAATTCTATTTCGGGAGGCTTTACGTTTTACATGGTACTATTCGCTTTTCAGTTCCCAACTTGACATGTGAAGTTTCGAATTTTGTTGTTAGCACAGTAGAAAGTGAAATAAGTGAAAAAAAGACTGTCACTGTTATTTCCAATAAAAGGCATTTATTTAGCTTACTAAATCCTAAGAGGATTTCAAAAGGCGTGTAGTTACACCTTCAGCCAAATATTTTAGGTCATGATCAACACAATTCAGTTTTAAAGACTGTAATTCCAGTAGTTAATACCACCCGTTCAGTTAAGTTTTACGACTTTTACTGAATGATAAGGCCTGCGTGACCTCAAGATAATTACCCTAGTCTTGGTCCGCCTCGTAGTCAAAACAAACCTCTTATCTATTGTAACCTTTTTATTTCAGTTTTAAAATAGATATTTCTATCAACGAACTATTAGAACTACGATGCCAGCTGGTTCCTCCTTTGAGGAAATAAATATTTTAATATGATGCGTAATAAAAGTATAAATGGCAGGGAAACTCTGTGATTTTGAAGTTCTGAAACAGGAAAATGATATGAGGCCCAAGAGATATTTTATAACTAAATTTCCATTTTGTTGAAAAAAATTCCACGTTACATTCTTTCCAACTATTGCGCAACTTTGCGGTATGCATCTCAAAGCTGAAAAGTACGTGCAAATGTTGCTTAAAGATGCCCTTATTTGTTGCGCATATAGGTACATAGAAAATGAGTAATGTAGACCGCGAGGCGATGTTGCCATTTTTCCTCGGAATAAATGGTTTGATAATTTAAACTTATCAGAACATGGACAGACCTATAACTGTAGTTTTAAACAATGGACGGCTGGTTTTAAAGCCTTAGTTATCTGTGTTCGGCAACTTTATTTATTACTCATATTTTAACAGTAGATTTCCTTCACTTAATCAGTTAATGAGACCCAAGTCGAATCTAACTGCAAACTCTCGGTTGCGTTCTTGAATTTGGTTTAGCATATCATATTAATCAACAATGACTTCCAAAGTTCTTTGTTTTAAATTAGCCATATTGCCTGAGATCTATTCCCTTTAAGTGCAGTTGCGTAACAAAACCCCTTCGAAAGAGTGGTGTCCGAATGATAAATTCATGCAAGAGAAGAAACAAATCACATTAATTTAAGATACAGGAAAGTGAAAAGTACCGCGTGGAACATTAACTGCTGGTGGAGAAGATTTCATTTCAATGGCATGGGAGTTAAAAAAGTCAAAAATTAAAACTCCGTTTCATTTCTTTATAATAGACTCTGAGACGGGTTTAGCCAAGTGTGGGCACGCTAATGTGGCGCCAACATACGCCCTTCTCGTGACTACAGTATCAATACCTCAACTGGGTCCCTCTTTCGCTTGATCGCCTATCAATAGTTCCACCTCGTGACTGAACCTTAAATTAGTTCATAATTATGTTTTGTTTATCTTTGTGTTAAAAATCTGTCTCTAAGAGCCTATTAAATTAGTTTTTTATGAGAGCAAGCCAAACAAAGAAAAATTCAGGGCGACTTCTAGAAAAAGACTTTTATGTCTCCAGTCATGGGCGTTATTTAATGTAAAGGAATATTTTGTCATGATGTCTGCAGGCACCTGTTTGATACCCTTAAGCCCGTTTAAGATAAGTTCATGAGATAACGATAATCTAGTTTGATCACTGTCCTTAGGGCTGGTAGTTTCTTTTCCATGGAAGTTAGTGAGTGTCAATGTATTTCAATTACGGACGCTGAACGATCCATTCATCATGTCAAGTTTTATATCCACTGTGATAAGATGATGTTCAAATGGCGCCGACAGGTACTTCAGTTAATGACGCCAACTTAGTGAAGCTCGTAACAACGTTTTTTGGACTATGATGTTAGTGATGGCTGGAACAGTTTTCAAACTTAGCTTATGTGGATTTGAGAGAAGTCCTTTTTCTCAACAGAGGGCGAAACCCGAGTGCGACTTCTAATTTCACGATTTTTGCACACTTTGCTGTAGGCTATTCCAGAACAAATATAGAGGCCATCTCGAAGTCTAATTTTTCATTACCTGCGGCGGCTTAAGACCAATTCCTTTTTTTCCTAGAAAAATCCGGGAGAAAAATCAACATAAAAATGAGACGACTGACTATTAAATCTATTCAATGGGAAGGAAACTAACAGCTATAAAGCGTTCATTAACTAATTTCTAATGCGTTTTTTTGTTAAGATCGAATGCTTTAAAGTGTTTGAGAGTCTATTCAATTTATTCAATACACTGCTTAATATCATGACCATACACTCGTGAAATTAATAACTAAAGAATCTTTTCAAACAGTATTGCCCCTTGTTAAGGGTACCTCCTTTCTACACGTGATTTAATACTCCACCCTCAGAATTTTCAGAACTAGCAGACTTACAGTCATCTGTTTTAGAAACTACCAGTATCCAAACTCTCGAGCGATGGCATGCAGCGTATGTTTTCTTATAGCTGTGCTTGGATCTACGTTCGCGCATATTGCAGCCGATGCTTGGACATCATTAGTTATTCATGAGTGATTATGCTCAAAGTTGAAAGATCAAGGCCGTTAAGTCCTGTATTTTTTTTTGCTCTTTGTAAGTGCATGTGCGTTCTGGTGCTAACTTTCTCGCCACTCCCCAACCCTAAACCCCCTAAAAACCACCTACAAACACCAAAAAAATTCAACTGCACCATAAGCACTGCCACTAGTAAAAATAAACTGGTTTTCAAATGGCCCTTAATTTGAATACTAGGGATGACTGGTAATTTTTTTCCAGACTGGCGCAGTTTTTAGTAGAATAGACATAATTAAAAGTTTGACATAGTTAGATCAGGATAGCCTCTGGCAAAATGATTTTTGATTGCGGACAGTGCAACAAACTCTCAGAAAACAATTTCTTTCAGGGACCCATCCAACCTGATTTCATCACTCTTTTTTCATTACTGGCGTCTCCCGATCAAAATACAGTGTACGAGTGTACTTCGAGAATAATTTAAGTCCAGATTTGTTGACCTTGGCTAATTGACCTTGCAATACTCTTTTAAAAGATAAAAAGATTGGCTGCAGCTCGTTTTTTGTCGGTGGTCGGATTGAAATAGCTTCACTGTATATATACAGTTTAGAATGCTAGTCTGGATGAAAAATCTTTCAGTTTTCCGGGATATGTGTTTTACTGCAACGTGACTCAAACGCTGTGCAACCTCTGTAGTCAAAACATCTTTCATTAGCCTTGTTTCAGGTGCAAATTAGCGTTTACTAGGGCAAGCATCTGATATTGGTTATGCTTATAAAATCGGCATCGTCCCAAAACCTTATCACTGTGTATTGAAGTTTAAGGGTGCCAGCAGGATACCACTTCACTGATTCTTTTTGTAAACTACTACAAAGTATATAAATAATAAATAAGCAAATAATAAATAAATAGGGCTTAACGAAAGTACTGTTCATTTTTCCTGTAAATGTCCACTCTGACTAAAGGATTTTGGCCATAAGAGTAAAGCCAAGAGTCAGCCGCACACTGTATTTTTATGGCATGCGTTTTGACTGAGCCCTGGCACCTCAACTTCCCACCGAAAAAGGAAGAAAACGACTTACCGCGAGTTACGTAATAATTTTCGCTGAGGATTTAATGAAAGTAATAATAATAATAATAATAATAATAATAATAATAATAATAATAATAATAATTTTATTCAACTTAAAAAAATATGTACATAATTTACAGAAACATTTGAAGTAAGAATCAAGCACTATGCATCCCCAGTTAAGAATTATATAAATCATAAAAATAATAATAATATGATAATAATAATAATAATAATAATAATAATAATAATAATAATAATAATAATAATAATAATAAAATAATAATAATAATAATAATACACACTTAGGTCCGACTTTTTTTTACACATCTCTGAAGCAGCTGCACAAATATATTAAGAAGCCAAGAGTTCTCTTGCCGGAAGCCGAAACTTCATAATTAGGGCGAGTTTAGAATATTTGACCCGTCTTGATGGCTAGGCCAAGATGTTTGTTTTATCTTAGTACTTTAAAAGCAAACCTGACATGCTTGATGTGATAATTATTGGTGTGTTTATAAGCACCAACATTTTTGTCTCCCGTAAAGTCTAATAAGAGCCTTCGCAGCAAGTTAAAATATCAGTACTCTGTACTCATCATCTTACCTGCTCTTTTCCTTATCTTTTTCTGAATAATAAGATTGTCAGGAATATATAACAAAAAAAAATAACAATAACAATTTATGCTTTAACTGTAACTTCAAGATAAAAATGAAATGCGAAAGATTATTAAAATGGAGGCTTCTTTCAAGACGGATGGATCAAAATTGGGCATGACTTTCGTTTTATGTTACCGGCCAGGTGTTAAATTTGGATTGCAGTGAGTGGCATCTTGTTGGTTGGGTCAATATCCATGTTGTCTGGGCCGGGTGAAGTCTTCGTCTGTTGACAGATATTTAATCCACTGGATTTGTCGTCGCGTTTGTCTGTATGACGACCAAATCCCTGCTGTCTGCTACGGCGCATACATGCGAAACACGATAGAAAGTGCCCGGTGCATTCATTAACGCTCAAATTTATGTAAATTCAAAATCATTGCGTGAAACCACAGGCACAACAAGACGTATTCAGCGACCAAATCGGACTGGTGGCCGATGCAAGAGCGAAGAGCCTCCATATTGAAAAGTGAAACATCGACGGGCGCGTGGAAATCTTACACCGCCGGCCGGGGTCATATGTTATTGAAACTGTGTCGTAGTTCTTCGGGATTCGATGTGCAGACTCTTACTCGAGTCACGGAGTAAAGTACGATGGCTTTGATTCGTTGGTTACTGCTTGCATCGCTTCTTATCGCCGCTACTTCATCTACTGCGTGTCCAGTATCGTGTAATTGTTCAACAACAGATTTGAAAGTAGCCGTTAGTTGCGAAGGCGAAGAATTCACAGCGATCCCAAGCAAGCTGCCAGAGAACACGACATCGTTGTAAGTAATTGATCTGGTTTGTTATTTGAATTATACAATTTGTCGTTTTCAATTTGCTCCTAAAACACGTGTCTTTGTGAAAGTGTAGTTTATAACGTTTTAAGCCATTAATCGTCTCGTTTGAACGCTTAAGTACAACGTCATAGACAGAATTGCTAGAAAGCTTCGTATCTGAAATGCAATGTGCGACTTGTCTCATTATAATAATTGTTGGTTCGTTTGTACGATATTTTTTGGCACAGCTGCATGCTAGATCGAATTTTTCTGGGCCCTTGGTTGTCGAAATTCTCGTAGGAAATTTGGGGCTTGGAACTATATCTAGATAATAATTCTATGCCTTCCCGAAAACAACTTGATGAAACATGATGTATGCATATACTGGCATACCCTGTGGAAGAAGACTTTGTGAATTGCCTGTAATTTCTGATAAAAAAGAGATTTAAATTCGTTCACCTTTATAATTTATATGTACCGAATGGACCGGTTCCTTTTTTGCTAGACTATTAATTATAATATTGTGTTGGATTTTTCGTCCGCCTCAAAGAAAACCCGTTTCACGTCGAGTATGATGACAGCGAAGAAACTGGAACATACACACATCACCGCCAGGTTTAAACCATTATAGTTCTATCGAAAAAAAATTCCAGGTTTTGCTTTTTGTTTAAATCGTATGGTGTTCGATTGGTGGGGTCTCTAAATAAGGCTTAGGCCCGTGATAAGATCAGAAAAGTGTACTCACCTCGAGAAGCAGAGAATAAATAAAAATTGACTTTATTTGACAGAATCCCCAAGATACGAAATGCAAATACTGTATTCAATCAAGAGAAAAATGTTCTGCATGTTAACTAGGTATAAATATCATATGATTGGCGGGAAAATCTTATAAAAAAATATATCACAAGAAAAGCAGAAAGATAGATTGTTATCTGCCCGTTAAAACTCTTGTTAAACGTTTAATTGCTAAACATGGCATAATTGATTTCCGAAGCTTCGAAGCAATATTGACGTTTCACGATTTTCTGTTTGATTGTTCAAATTAAAATTCACTACACAAACCGAATTATTCGGATTTTCATCACTGGCGGTGTAAACCCAAGCCCCCGTGTGCCCTGATATACAATCCTCTTATCTCATAGCCACAAGTGAGAGCTCTCGGCATCAAGGATCGGCGATGACATTTTTTTTCATCGCTAGACGCTCATATGTATTTGTGTTTAAGTTTCGGGAGGAAGTTCTTGTCATAACCTTCTTGACACATTAATGAATCTTCATAAAAGGGCATATGCTAAAACCCAGACGAATGCCATATAGAAGTCATTTGTTTTATTGATCCTTTCTCAGTGGTTGTGGTTAATTTTGTCTGGAGCGAAACCAAAAATAACCTCTTTTAAATCGGCTCACATAAAACAAGGCTGCAAGATTGTCATTGTAGAAAGGGGTTGAAGCCATCCAAACTGAGCTTTGGGTAACATTCTGACAGCAGCGAAACGAACTTAAAACGTGTGACAGTGCAGTGCTTATTGGCTTGAGCTCATACCTCTTTTCAGACGAAACGAAGCACCTTTCAATTTCCCCCCCGGGTGATGACTTGTAAGAGTGTCTGCTACATATTACTGCAAGCCTCAAAAGGCCAAAGTTAGAGTTGTATTTCAATTTTCCTTGTACAGGTTGTTTAAGAAAGTAAGCTTCCGACTATAAGCTTCTTTTCAAACGCAGTCTTGAAACTCTTAGCTCTTTCTCAACTGATATCTTTATAAGACGGTACGGACACTTCCCTAAAACGGATACTTAGAGTCCGCTCCCGACGTTCTTTAGTCATTTTGTTTCACTCTGTAAGGCGCGCAGGCGCCTCTCTAATACACTCTCTAGTACACCGGCAAGGTGCCGTTCCAAGCGGACTTGGTCTCCGAGAGAATGAACTGGGTTATTCGATATTTTCTGCTTGAGAAATTTCGTAAAAGTTGGTCAATCTTCTCTGCGAAAAGTGATCGGTTGTAAGTTTTTTTATTAGGGAGATGAAAAATGATACAGAGCGCGCATACTTCAACGAAGTCTTGGCCAGAGTGAGAAAATGGCACGCCGATGGTTAATCATGAAGAAAGCATAAATTTGAAATCGGTTTGCGCTCTTTGTTTACATTGCACGCGCGGATGGTTGCTCAAGCTCTAGACCTTGAAGGGGCGTGTCAGATTTGCTAGAAAGAACTGGCATAGATCGGCATAGACAAGAGCGTCGTTTGACTCACAGTTCAACCACGCATAAATTCTATCGGAACTCTAAGTCTCTCTCGCTTATTTCTAGTATTTCTTGCAATTGTAAACAAACGGCAGGCCAAATTTTTGTTCAGTTCCCCTTGAATAATGTAAATAAAGGTAGTATCCTATTATCTGATTAAAAATAATCCGATCAAGAGGTATTGTTACGATCATTGTGATGTTCTCAGCGTGACCTTTCGTGCTATGTACGCACGTTGGCGTTGTTCCTGTTCTTGCATGATTGTTGAGTTAGGGTTAGGGTTTTCACAGCTCGATACAGTAGAAATAGTGACACATATCTGAAAACTTTAGGTGAGTAAAGATTTGAATTCTTTCTCGTTATCATAACTCCTTTTTCAACCAATAAAAAAAATCACTTTCTCTCGGGTTTTCTTCCCTATGATTCATACTTCTACAAAACGTGTTCGGTCATATTGTACACGTGAGACACGCAACTAAGCCGCAGTCATATCGATTACCAATGGAATGGCCACATGTATGGGAATGCCGATTCTGAAATCCGGGACATTTTTGCTTGTGGAATCCGGAATCTTGAAAATTTGTCTTGTGGAATCGGGAATTCTGGGCTTTGCAATCTGGAATACAGCTCAAGGAATCCGGAATCCACGGTGTGGAATCCAGAATCCAAGACTTTTTGAAATTTCCTTACATACGGCGAAATGGAAAAATGGCAGTGTGAACTCACTTCCAACTCATGACATTGGAATGTCGCCTCCTACCTACATTTTTGCCATTACCCGTGATTACCAAATGCATAATCCTTTTTTAATTAAATTTCTACTCTGGATGACCCCTGAGAAATTAAAGGAAAGACAAGCTGAAAACAAATAGCGGTTCGAGTCGGCTTATAAACGGACCTACCTATATTGAACTTTCTACTCTCACGTTTTACACCTGTCTTCTAAGCCGGTGAATACAGCCATCTTTCTTCGCTCCTCACCACCAGGAAACGTTCCTACCGCAGCATCGCGCGACGATCGAGGAGAGACGACTGTATTTGCAGGCCAGTGGTTTGTTAACTTAATCATATTGGTAGAGGTTTTTTGTCCGGCTCTCCTGAAAATAGGCGGAAAGCCTAGTGGAGTATTAAAATTTGCAGTATACATGCTAGGACATTTTTTGTCTCACGTGATATATTTTAAAAACACGCAAACATGCTCAAAACGTTTAAAATGAAAATTCAAGGAAATATAAACTTCTCTTTTGAAATGGTTTTCCATACGTAGACTGCATGGAGGGTTCATAGCTTCAAAACACTTCTAAGTGCTTTGTTTGTTTGTTTGTTTTTGACAGACTACTAAGAGATCCTGTGAAATGTGATTGCCGGTTTTACCAATATTGGAAAACACTTAAAGGAAAAGGCGTTGCTATTCAAGGGTATTGCTCAGACTCTTCGGGCGATCTTAATGGAATTTCGATCGACAAACTCAAGGAGGGATCATTTTCTTGTGGTGAGTGTAATTTAAGTTTTAAAAACTAATGTTTGGTTTTCCTCAGAGACGAAGTCGTAATCGTAGTCATACGCTTTACGGAATCGGACTCGCCAGATCAGAAATGTTATCTTGGAGAAAACTAAATTGTTGGAAAGTAAAACATTGTTCGAGTGAGGCCTTAAACTCCTATGATTACAACCAATGGGAAGTACTACTTAGATCTGGGTAGAGACGCGCCATCAACCTCGTTCCCAGGGTTCTCTCCTACCCGTCCCTGCGGAGCGCACGCGCGAGAGAGGGACGGATAGGAGAGGACCCTGGGAATGAGGTTGGTGCGTCACCAGTATGGAATTTTTGCGCTCGTTTCTTATATGTCATTTCCCGGGAAACCAGTGCCGGTGGCGTCGCGAAATGTCGGCTGTTTTCTCAGAACAGTGTATCCATTTTGATGGATCAATTGCCAAACATTGAGTCTATTGCCTGAATTTCAGCTTCTCCTCGAGTCTCGAGTCGCAAACTCCCGGGAGAGACGTCGTCCCAGTGAGTGACGCCGGTCCTCAGACTATACCCACTGCTGGTCTCTAAGTTATTCCTGGAACGCGCAAGAGGTTTTTTTTTATTGCAAACTTACATAAGTGAGCTTCAAACTCTCTGGGAATAAAGTCTGTCGCAACATGAAAGTTAAGACCTTTTCTTCTCCACAGATTCCATAAATGTACTTCCCAGTTCATCGACAATTTCAGAGAAGGTATCAAGTCATATTGGTGATGGAGAATTACGGTCATCTCCTACCGAAATGGCGCCAGTCACATCTCAAGGTGCCTCCGCGGTCACATCATCTCAGGCTGTTGTTGTGATGGCTGCATCTCCAACAAGTTCAGCAGTAACGCCATCTCTATCAAGCCTGTTGTCGACTTCATCTGAAGCCCCTATAGTAGGACGGTTACATCAAGTTAACTCTGTTGTAGTATCATCCCATTTCAAGCCTTTGATGAGGTCTTCTGTAAGTGAACATGCACCAGAGGGATCGTCCATCTTGAGTTCGTCCGTTGAACCTACTCCTGCTGATGTCTCGCCGACTGTTAGTGATATCACTAATGCTTCGGCCGCTGTCACAGCGCCACCAACCATCAAGGGTAAGAAATAAAGGATATGTGTTCGTAGTACTACTATAACAAAGAAATCAAATGTAAAAATGTATTTCAGTATTACGCTTATGCCACAACATCTGGCTAGTGATTTCGCATTACCCAGTTTACACAATCTAAACAATCCGTTTTGCGCTCCTCTCTGTGGCCACAAAATACCAGGCCAGATTTTAACCAGATCTCTTCAAGACCATTTCAGAAGAGTAGAACTGAACCTTGGCTGTCAGCAGCCAAATTGTAAATTGTAAATATCTTATTATCCACTCCCCACAGGGCTTTTCAGGGATAATTTACAACACTGGTTGTGGGACTTTGCCAGACTGCTTAAGGTGCAGTTTACAAGTAAAGAAGGAATGAGTAATGATGCCCCTATACATGAGTGTGAAAGTGAGATAGACCACTACACCGGGCACTACGTGCCCTACTCTTTACGAAGAGTGTGTGGGTTCTTTAACGTCCCACAGATTTATTACATGTGCAAGGGCCTGCGAGACGGGGCCTACGGTTTATCGTCCTTATCCGAGAAGACTAGAAAGTCTAACCATTTGCAGATGTTATTACAAAGGCAGCACTTTCTCCTCAGTTATTTAAAGACCGTGAGTGTTGGTCCGGCCGGGGTTTGAACCTACGGCGTTCCGCTCAGCAGACCGGCGCTCTTCCAACTGAGCTAACGGGGCGGCGGTGAAATAATATTTCTTTTGAGGCTTTGCATGAGCAACCCTCAACCTGGGCTCGATTTCCGCCAGCTCTCTCCGTTTTCCTCAGAGAAGGAACGTGGGCTCATTACCTGGTCAGCGGCTGGTTATCGAGCCTGCCTTCCACATTTTTGTTCATTTCACATAAGTTTTGATTGCTACTCACGTCCTTTACAATAAAACAATTTTCTGTTACTTGTTTGTAGGGCCTCCAGTTATCGTCAAGTTCGTCGAACCTAAACCAGTACCCCTGACTAAGGAGGTGCAAATTAAATGTGTTGCCACAGGCAACCCACCCCCTAAAGTCAGCCTTATTTTTAACGATCAGCCAGCAGGAAGTGTGGATGGTGTGACTGTGACATCAAGTGATTCAGAGGCTGAGATCAAATTCAAGGCTGTTATGGATTCTTTCATTTTTTGTGAGGCGACGAATGAGCTTGGAAGGGATATACGCAAAATAAGGATATCAGTGAATCGTAAGTAAAAATCGTACTCGCTTTTCATTTCGTTACGTTACGTTATTTCCAGTAACCCCTTGCCTCTTCCGTTCTATTTTAAAATTCAGCTCATTCTTCTTGAAAGAAACCTATTTGTAATTTTCTCTTCACTGTTTTCTATTTTCTCGAGATGCGATGAACGCGAAAACTGGACGCGCGTGTCAGTGCGGTGGGTGTGTCGGTTTTGCTTTGTTCACTGCGGTTTATCATAGACTGTTCAAAGGCTCCCTTTTATGACGCAAACTACAACAAACAGCGAGCCAAGGGAGCGTAAGCGTGAAACTCAAGGAATGAATCGCGCTACCGTTTCACATTCTCGTCAGCTCGCGCGTTCTTCAGTTCAGAATACATGTATGAGAAAATACAGGATCGAGAACATTCGCGTCTGTCGTCGCCATCATGTATGAGAAAATATAGGATTTCGCGTTCTTCGCGTTCTTCAGTTCAGAAAAATAGGACGGGAACATTCGCGTCTGTCGCCATCCTTTCGCGTTCTTCAGTTCAGAATACATGTATGAGAAAATAGGATCGGGAACATTCGCGTCTGTCGCCATCCTTTCGCGTTCTTCAGTTCAGAATACATGTATGAGAAAATATAGGATCGGGAACATTCGCGTCTGTCGCCATCCTTTCGCGTTCTTCAGTTCAGAATACATGTATGAGAAAATATAGGATCGGGAACATTCGCGTCTGTCGCCATCCTTTCGCGTTCTTCAGTTCAGAATACATGTATGAGAAAATATAGGATCGGGAACATTCGCGTCTGTCGCCATCCTTTCGCGTTCTTCAGTTCAGAATACATGTATGAGAAAATATAGGATCGGGAACATTCGCGTCTGTCGCCATCCTTTCGCGTTCTTCAGTTCAGAATACATGTATGAGAAAATATAGGATCGGGAACATTCGCGTCTGTCGCCATCCTTTCGCGTTCTTCAGTTCAGAATACATGTATGAGAAAATATAGGATCGGGAACATTCGCGTCTGTCGCCATCCTTTCAGTTTACGTCAAGAAAACAGAGAGTTTGAGGGCAGTCTAACGTCAAAGAAACTTTTGAGAAATAGCTTACAATTTATTTTTCTTATTCGAGTTTATTTACCGCAATAACCTCGCTAAGTTGTTTCTTTCTAATAATCTTTAGAAACCGGAGCAAGGTACTTGCTGATGAAGGTGAAGTTAATAAAAGAGGAGTTCAACGAAAACCTGAACATCAGAGAATCTAAAGAATTCCAGGACCTCTCCGAGAGGATAGTTTCGCAGGTAAAAGAAAATGAAAGCTTCCATATTAGGATAAACAACAGTATATTTTACTGGTAATAGTCAAAGATTACGTTGTGCGTTCGACCGATCTCAATCCAAAGCTCTGCTCTCCTTCAGCAAGTTGTTAATGATATTATTTACCCTGGCAAAATCTGTGGGGATGCCAAAGGCGGACTCCAGACGAAGCTTTTCCAGTACAGTCTCACTCCCATCTTGTTTGGGAAAAAGTCCCACGTATAAAGTGAAAATGTGTAATAGGGTAGTTAGTTAACGTAGTTCTAACACCAGAATATTTAGCATGATGGAATTCTAATATATGACAGGTTACGCTGCTGTTGGTTGTCTCTTTTCGAGTTTGGTCTAAGCGTTCTTTCTATTCGTTAGGTGCGGTCCGTGTTAGGTTCTCTCTCAAGTTTTCTTGGTTCCAGTGTGGCGAGCTTTCGGTATGTATGCATATGTTTATTTAACTATCGATCATTCGCTACTTTCACCTTCCCATAATACACCTTGCTTGCCTCCCAAACGTTCTGCATAAGCATTGTTTCCAATTTCTCTCGGGATTTACAATCCTCCCAAGAGAACTTGAAAACAATACTTATGCAAACTCTTGGTGGTAAACAAGGTGTATTATGGTTAATGTGAACGTAGTGAATAGAAGCACTTCAGTGTGTGGTATAGTTAGGGCGACAGGCATGTTCATGTAACGCAATCTTCGTTGTAAGAGAAACCTGTTCTGTTACTTAGAAACGAGGCCTGTAAGATATATATTATTTCTGTGTGATGGTTTGAATCGGATTTCCCCGCAGTATAAAATACCGCCGTCTTAATTGACCAGTCACAGAGTGAGAGCTTGTATTAAAAGGAAGATGTTTCCGCTGTCAGGACTACATAGGCCTCTAAATCGGGGTTTCGTAAGTAGGAGTCTTTCACAAAAGAAGAATTATATTTGTCAACTTTATTTTATGAAGTATCAAAGAAATAAATGAAATGAATAAATAAATAAAAATATAATATCGACTGTAAGCTCGCTGTGTTAAATCTGAGGCGGCCTGTTTATGTTTTCTTAGTAAAAGCGAGGCTATTTTAAACCTAAATTAATAACGTGAACTTATATTTCCAGACCAGGTTCAGTAAAAGCAGATATATTGATAAAGACAACCGCGGACGGAGGTGACTCAGTTCAGAAAACACTTCAAGAAGAAGTCAACAAAGCCAAGCTGGGAGACATACCTGTAGATCGCTACCTGTACTCCTTTGAGCAAACACAAGGTACGAAATAGGAGATCGGAGACCCGAAAATTATAAAAGGCAAAGCAAAGAAGAACGGGACAACCGAACCAGTACTAGGAAATACTTTCTGGCCAATCAGGAGCGAGCATTTCAAATTTTTCCAGAACTGGTTCAGCATTAAGCGAATTAAATATATCTGAGCCATCCTGTTGTTGCTGTAATCTGATTGGCGATTTCGTCCGAAATGAGGGGTAATTGAGGTCACTGTGATTTTGTAGCAATTTTGCAGCATTGCAGTTTTACATGATCAAGCGGTATGCGGTTTTTATAAATTTTGTTGTTGTTGTTGTTTTTTTGCGGTGTCGCGTATTTTTATGTTTTTCAATGCGAATTTGCGGTTGTTATCCCCCCCTACGCCCCCTTCTTAAATGTCCCGTTTCTCACCAGTTAGCTGCTCCTGAATTTCAAAAAATGTCGTAGTTATCAATACCACATAGATATTTGTTAATGCCAATGTAACCTTAAACGTCTCTAGGTCGACTGTAAAATGTTACAAATAGCTAGCAACTTATAAAATGTGGATCCTCGCAGAATATTTCTGTAGAAATGCTAGACGTTCGTTACACATAGGATACTTTATCGATCTTTGATTGATTTTCTCCAATCAGCTTGCCCGTCTGTTTATGAGAACGTCACGTGGAATAATGCAGCTCATGGTACTACCGATGTCCAGCTTTGTCCCAGGGGACTCCCAGGTTAGTTTATTTGCTCATTTCAGAGCTATCCCTAAGCTTCCTTATTAAAGCGAATCCTAGTGAACAACCGTTCTTCTGAAAATAAATCAGTAGGCCATTTCTGAGTTGCCCTAAGCCTCAGTTTCAAAGCGAGGCTAAGTGCGAAACCACTGATATAAAAATGACTTGTTACGGCAAGGAGCCCAAAAGTGTGACCGCTTTTGATTTATTCACATTCTTTCGTACAGGCTTAATCCAATCAGAATCCAGCTGGAAACTGTCCTCGGCTTCTGATTGGTTAATGTCTGCATGAAAGAATGTGAGTTAATTAAAGGAGGTCACACTTTTGGGACTCATTTTTACAAGATAGGTTTTGCACTTAGCCTCGTTTTGAGAGTGAGAGATTTGAAACTTGGAAATGGTCTGATAATTTGCACGTCCTGATCTTTATTTGCAAAGTACTAAAGATCAAGAGGAAATCCTCCCGAACTATCAGAAGATCTCATTTTTTTCTTCCATCAATTAAATTCGATTAACCCGGAAATTGGAAAGTAGAAAGTGTTACTCATTGTCTTCTTTATTCACCAGGTTTCGCTCGGCGCAACTGTTCGTCCGGGATCTGGTACTATCCGGACTACACAGATTGTAAGACCAGTGACTTTCTCAATCTCAAAAATGAGGTACGTGAAAAATAGTCATATATATATTCTCCTGTCAAGAAAGAAAAGAAAAAATCATGATAATAATGATAATAATAATAATAATAATAATAATAATAATAATAAATAGTGATGATAATAATAATAAACTGTGGATTGTGGGATCTTCTGGATGTAAAGAGTGAAGCAGGACTCTTGCTCGCGATCATGTCATTCAGGCCTCAAACCTACGCGAAAAGACCGCATGGTCTCGTGGATAGCAGTAAATCCCTTAACATTTGGTTGCTTCACGGCATAGAACCTCACAAACATTTACCTTTGTCGTTTTATGACAAAAAAATTGGGTCTCATAACTGAGTTTGGGATTTTTTAAATTGAAATTTCACTTATTGCCTTGCGGTCTTGTGGCTGCGGGTTTCCCACAACGTTACCTGAAAAAGCCGTTCAGTTGGACCTCTCACAACGGCCACCCTGGGGACAGACGAAAGTGGCCGTTGAGTCCTTTAGTTGCTCCCTCGCTTAACTAAGTGGAAGCATCTAAATGAATAAAATAAATAACTTAAATGTATGGGCCGTCCACCGAAAACAAGTGGCCGTTAGTTTTAGAGAAGTGGCCGTTAGTTGAGGTTTGACTGTATTTGTCTCCTTCAAATGTCATTCTTTGTAGATAAACAAATCGGTGTCTATCGAAAATAACAAGGATGAAACGGAGAAAGATATCCTAACAGGTCTAAAAAGTCTCTTAAACTTCACAACGCCGAACGAGAACCACGCAATACTCGCTGGAGACCTCGTCACAAGCACAGAAATACTAAAAATAGTTGTGGATTACACGACACGTGCAAGTAAAGACAGTGTACGCACTATCGAAGAAGTAAAGGTAAAAAAACTATCCCTGCTACTTCTAGCTGTTATTAAGTAAGTGCGTAAGTGTTTTCGTGCTAACTAAATTAAGTGAGTAACTACGTTTGTGCTTACGTGAGTGAGTGAGTGAGAGAGTAAGTAACTAAGTGTGTTTTTTTGTTAACGGCAATGACTCTGCAATCGCTGCACCTCGCCTTTATTCGGAGGCGGGCTGAGTACTTAGGGAGAGCAAGGGTGGCGCCGGCGGTGGTGAGACCACTCGCCTTCCACAAGTGTGGCCCGGGTTCAAATCACGCGTCGACGCCATACCGTGCTATGTGGGTTGAGTTTTGTTGTTGGTTCTTTCCATTGCTCCGAGAGGTTTTACTCTGGGTACTCCGGTTTTCCCCTCTCTATATTATTTTCCAAATTCCAATTCGACCAGGATTGGTAGTCGAAGAACCACTCAGTGGATATGCTACCTCTAAATCGTTATTTAGTTATTTATATGTTTATTGATTTATTTACTGCCCACTTGCACTTTAAGCTCAGGAAAGGTTCTCTGATTCTTTGACATATGATAATGTTTTTTTGACAGAACATAATCGAAGTGGCCAACAACATCCTTCATCAGCATAATGAACAGGAGTTTATCGTCGCGCAAAAGGTAAATTTGTCGGCTGCAGGCGTTAGGCCTTACCACATTATTGTTTTCTCTCGGGCATTGAACAATTAAACACTGACACTCGGTTTCAGCCGTTCACTCTTAATAGTGAAATAAACATTGAATATTCCTCCGTTTTTGTTCGTGAACAAAAATTACGACCATGCATTGGCAGTTGTCGAGGCTTCTTTATGATTGATGCTTAAGTGCCGAAGCTTCGACGACTGATATCGGCTCTTACACTTCAGGTATTACAGACTGCATCAAAGTTTATCTTAGCCCTCGAGAAATATGGTCTCCAATCCGCGCAGGTCTCTTCCTTCAACGCAAACAGGAATCTCAAGATATTTATCACTGAATATGTTGGTGAGTAGTAATAGTCTAAAACAATTTACTTCCATGAGTAGATCGTGCACACTCCTGTCTGTAGTTGGCAGGGTTCCTTCAGAGAAAAAGTCTTGAAATTTGAGCAGGAAAAAGACTGGAAAATAGAGATTAAGTCTGGGAAAATGGTAAAAAGTATTTTATTTTTTTTTCGAAGCTACAACAATTGCTTTATAAGTGAATTTTTTTGTTTTGGTCAAATCTTATTCAATCTCGGCCTCGTACGTTTCCACCTATTTGATAGCCTTGAATCTGTGAAATAAAAATATTGTTTTGGAAAAAGGTCTGGAAAAAGTATTGAATTTTGGATCCAAAATCTGTACGAACTCTGAGTTTTACCCTTTACTTTTTTCTTTTCTTTTCTTTTTTTTGCGCAAAATGAAGGATCCAAACCATCCTCTTCATCATCATTTAGCGACACACGCGGAAAATAGCTGCCCGAACACCTTGAGACACAAATCATACCAGCTTTATACTTTTATAAGAACGTTACCGCCGGCAGTAATTTAGAAAATTTAGGAATTTCTTCCTTCTACCTCTCCATTTTTGAAGTATGAACACATAACTCAATTTTAATGGCAGGTGATCGACCATCGTCTCTAAATATAACATTCACTGATTTACGTTTTCTCATATTTAAAATTTTTACTTTGATAGTTATGGGTGCCGGGGTAGCAGATCCGGAGACGATATCAGAAGACGTCATATTTCCAAATTACAACTGGCCCGACTTAGCAAGGGTCAAAGAAGAGTGGAATGTGACCACCTTTGTGGTGTTAAGCACGAAGATGATCAAGGACATGAAAGGTATGGAATCTTATAATGGTACGATAATTATATCAAAATAATCGAAACTGATTAGTTTTAGACGGCTCTTATTTGACTGCGTAATTAGCACATCTGTTGCGGTACCAGATTGTCTGGTTTGACCTGTCCGAGCACCAGGAGCTTTGCAATCGGAGAGTTAAGCAGGCAATGAAAATTAAACTTTCTTGCCTATGCTAACCAATCAAATTAAAGCTAGAGACTGACTGGTCCAATGACCTTCACTAAGGTATGTTCAAGTGCCGGGTTTTTTTTTTCATTTAGTTTGTTTATTTGTTTTTTTAATTGAACAGTCGGATTACAGTTTTATTATAAAGATTTTCTGGATGGCGTTCATACGAGTTTCAAAACAGTTTAAATTTTTTTGCTTTGGAAAGTTTGCTGTAAGTTGATGTAGTAACAAGGTGAAATTAATGTACTTACATTTACTATTCTATTACTGAGTCTCTCGCATTTTGTTACTGACACAATCATTTGGTCAGTAATAGGACTTAAGTCCTACAACTCAGAGAATCGTGCTCGGACAGGTTGAAGTTAACTTCCTGAATTTTACTCAACTCTGTCCTACTTTGTCCAGTCACCATGGCTTATTATGTCGTAGCTTAAAAGTGTCGAAATTTCTCATCACTGGTTTATTTGTTATCAAAACACTTAACATCTAACAATCTGATTTTATTTTTGTACCAGGTAAAGATAAGATCAAAATTGCGGCATTTTTATACAGGACACTGACAAGGATTCTGTCGTTTGAAAGGTACGTTTGGCGTGCGGGGCCGGCTTGTTCAAAGCTGGGTTATGATAATCCAGGATTAGTGCGAAATTGGAATTAAGATATGAAAGCCGCTTAAAAAAACAAATTCAGCTTAATTCTTTTCGTCTGTAATTTGATGACTGGATGAACTAAAAAGAATAGAGGAAATCATGCGAGAAAAAGAGAAGAAACAAGGCTCTGGGAGGTATTGATATATCTGGTGTGAGTGATTCGCTTATTTTAATGGCGTTGTTTTTTCGATAGTGCGTACAGTGACAAGGGTCTTAACTTTGAAGTCAACTCGGCGGTCATTTCGGCCTCCACGGACCCGAAACCTCCTACAAAATTGAACGATCCTGTCATCATTGCCTCAAGTAACCTCCAGGAAATGGCTGTAAGTTGACGTAAAGAAATTGAAAACCATATTCAATATATTTTTTTTGTATTTTATTTGCCATCTTTAATATTTATCTGTCATTTTTTACATCTTTATGCGCGTTTAAAATAAATTTCCTTGTTTTTTATTTTATTTTCCTTATGTCTAGGATAATGATCAACCGATTTGTGCATTTTGGGACTTCAATTTGTAAGTAGCTCCCGTTAACTTTTCACATGTACAAAATTAGGTAACTAAACTAGGAGAATAAACAGAGACCAAAGGAGTGTGTTCGAATTGTAAATTGATAGGTTATTTACGACCTACTGATTTTTTTTATGTTATGCTGTGATTTTCTTTCTTCGCCCTGAATACTCTGAAGACCAGTCTTCACGTGAATATTGCGTTCGGTTCATTTCTTTACGATGGGAAATTTACAACCAAACTTTTGTGTTTCACTACCCCACCTACACAGCACCGCCTTTTCTTTAGCGACTAACCAGACTACGCGCTGAAATTGGTTTTCAATCCTAGCAGTGTGAAATGTTTTTATCAACCAATGATATTTTACATATATTACAGCATGTTGCAGCACTGCTTCTTGAGTTATCTTCTTCGTTCTATAGTCATGTCTGGCCTCGCGATTGAAACCCCCTGCCAAGATACCTCTGCTTTAGTTGAATTGACAAGGAGTAGAAGTTACCTTTTGGGTTCAAAATGTTAGAGAGCCTTAGATTCTGTGACAAGGACCACTACGAGTACGAGATTTTCTCAATACTGAGTTCAGTTCACGCGTGAACCAGCGTCATTTTGGCGGGAAAACGAAATAGCCGTCGTCACTCTACTGCGAGTTTTACCGTCGTAGTGGCGGGAACAAGTTAACAAATGTAAGAAGTTTTATCATTTTACTATCGGGAAAGGGATTAACCTCCTTGCGTATAAATAACCGTACTAACTGTTTGGTGGAAAAAGTAAAATGAAGCTTCCCGCGCTGTCTTTATTTTTGAGAACACACGCAAAAACTTTGAGTTAAATCTCCTACTCGTACTCGTTCTCGTCCTCAAATCTAAAGTTCTCTATTATTGTTAAAAATGTACCGATTGTAACTTTACGTAGGAATGCCCCGCATGGAGGGTGGTCTGAGGAAGGCTGTAACACAACTAACTACAACACTCTGCGAACTACGTGTCAGTGTGATCACATGACTAATTTTGCCGTTTTAAGAAGTAAACCTCTTTCTCCCGTAGCGATCACGGTAAGTAGTCAGTGCGTAACTTACGCTTTTATGTCTTGCCTCGTAGTGCTCAGTTCAGAAAAAAATTGTATATTTGAGTGTTTACTAAAAACAAGTGAGGAACACATGATTGACAACTGGAGTGAATAGAGAAGACGTTCTCATTTTTTATGTCGTCTTTAAGGGCTGAAGTGATTTTCGCGTTATAAAAAGGGAACCAGAAGAAACTCATACTAACAGACGGGCGTGGTTTATTCCGCCAATGAACTGAACAGAGCTCGAACCAGATGGGCTAGGTGATAGCGTTGTTGGGAAGGAAGAGGGATAGAGGAACACGCGATGTTGTAAACATTTGATTCAAATGAATCGCCTTCCCTTGAGTAGTTCTTGCGCGTTGTAATCTTGTAATTTCATTTTTTTTTTCAAAGTTATATTTGAAATTTTTCTTAACTTTGATCTTGCACATTCTGGGTCAACAAAATAATGGGAGCTTTTCGGCCAGTCAATAGTACAGCTGTACAACTAAAGGATGCACGAACAACAATTCTTCGCAGTATTTAATCGAAAGCCTGATTTAAAGTTAATGCAGTTGAACCATCTTGAACATACAGAACATAGAAATGACGTAAAATGTTCCGGTTACAGTATGATTAAGCTACTTTCTTTACTTTGCATTTATTTGTTTTGTTCTACAGGGAACAGGCTCCACAAGTGACTTTATGCATTGTATTTACATTGCTTGTTGGATTATCATCGCATTTGCTGGACTCACGTTTTTGATTCTTTTGATTGTTTGTTGGTAAGAACCTCTTAATTTAT